AAAATATAGCTGTTTAAAAACAATTCAACTGCAATTTTGAGGGGGGTTGTAGGCTGAGGTGTGACGTCATTTTAGGGGAGGGGGTCTGGCTTTTTGTGACGACGTGTGACGGAGGGGAGGGGGGGAGGTAAAAATCGTAAAAAAAAGCGTGACATCATTTATGGATGACCCCCTGTATAGTAATTTTTCTTTTTTTTTAATATAGTTGACATGAATGACTAATAGATCTTATCAGACTTAATAGTGTGCATCCAAGACCACAACAATTGTTGGGAGGTCGAACTTTTGAACACTTTATTTGCAGTAAGCAAATCAATATTAGATCGCTCATAAATGACGTCGCTCTTAATATAGTAATGATAGCGTGTATTATTACAGAGCAAACATATGAACATATTGTTTCAGATAGAAATATTGATTTGTGGTGGGGAGAGGTTGAGTATAACTCAGCGATGTGATTTTGGAGACGGGTCAGGTTTTTTTTTTTCGTGAAAACGGGATGATTGTGGGAGAAAGACCAGCTGTAGAAGTATGACGCGTCATTCATTGGTGATCCATTTTCTCAGTGGGGATGAAAGAACTATTAAGAAGGGTCAAGAAATCTAAAAAGCTTGCCGAGTCGCATTTCTTGAACCCCACCTTTTTCATTCCCCCACTTAGCAGATCGTCACCGAGTTAACACTCGCACGTGACGTCATGTACCGGTACCGCCGACCGTTAGGCTAATTTTATAAAAAACAAGTTAATTAAAAAAGTCTAGTGACATTTGTGCGCAATTTCCTTATGTTATCTAAAAATAGCTCTGACGTATAATGTTGGGGTGCGTTCAAGCTAGAAGAACAATCGGTTTGTAGGTGTTTATGAAATTTTAAAATTTGTGACCGAACGAGAGAATATTTTTGAAAACTTTCTTCGGCAATATTGTTCTAAATTATGACAGGAATCGATTGGTACATGTTTCAAGTCGCTAAGTGGTCTGGTTGCCGAGATATGGGCCAAAAACTGATTTTTTTTCGAGGTTTTTTGGCTTTTCCGGGAAATACATGAAAGAAACCCGGAATTTTTATGGCCTATGCTCATTCTCGTAACTTGCTTAACATAATTGCTTTTGGAACTATTCATCGATATTGCTTCGTTGAGGAGGAGATACGACTTAAAGCCCGGACACACATTCATCCATCCATCCATCCATTCCCAGAAATGACGAGTTAATAAACGCAATTCTCCAGAATGGAAATTGCGCTAAAAACAACAAGCACTGTCTTTGTGACGCTTATGCGACGTTTAATTTGATTACATAAGTTGGTGTTCATTAAACAGCCCCTAACACATCTATCACTCGTCCATTTAAACGTACGTAGTTATTTCTGCAAGCTTGCTGTCTTGAGACTTTCGGCCCTTTAAAAATGTATTAAGCTCACACCGTATAGAACTAGACTACCCATATTAAGCTCCAAAAGAAGCTTGGTGAAAACAGGATGGCCGCCCGATTTTGTAGCTGCTCTGCGCTTTATAAAAACCACAATAAACGATAAGAATACACTTATATTAAAGTAAATTATAGTTCTGAATCTTGATACATTAAAAGTGATATTCGGAAATTATGAGCCAGACAGTCAACATGATATTTTAATTTAAGTCCAAGAAAATAAATTTCCTCAAACGATGGAACATTACTAAATTTTCGCGCAGTTTAGCGAAATTGAATTTAAGTATTTACGTCATCTTACAAAGCGCAATAGCCTACTTGTGCTCTAACGCGGTCCATGCTAATGGCCGTATTCCTAACGCCCCGCATTAGACGCGGCTTATTCGTCGGCAGGCATTTGGTGGCAAGCCTTTTTGACGGGGATAATGTGTTGCGGCCGTTTTGCCGAATGTCTTAAACTAGCAGGCTTGCAACATTTGTGATGATTCGTTTTAAGCAAGGTATACGTATACAAATGCTTATTTATCGTTATTTTGATCGAACAAAGCATTATAGAGGTTCTCCATCAACCACCTAGGTATTTTTCCCCGTTCACCTCCTTTCATGAGACCGACACGTCATAAATTGCAAATCCGCCTGAGTTGACGTCACAAATCTTCACTCACTCCCGTAGCAAATCATATGTGACATCATTTATGGACAACCCCATATCACTCACTTGTGTACTTGATATTGACAATTTGACAACAAAGGATAACCAACATGTGTCTGGCAGGTGGAGACTTGCGATCGACCATAATGACAACACGCACTTAAGGGGTGGACTGGCTCATTGTTTTAGATGATGTTTTACGAGGGAAGCTGGTGGATAATACATTTTGTCTCTCTGTATATATAAATGATGACAAACATTTAATGTTGTCAAAATTATGGTTAGAGATCTTAGATAAGGCAGAGTGAAGCTTAATTTTTTACATTATGACTTGTGACATTGACAACAAAAATATGACGGAGTTTGGGGTTTAATTAAGGTAAAGAGAAGCAAAAAATGTCATAAGTTACGATAGAATCACTAATTGATGAAAAGAAAAACCTGAAATGAAAATAGTGAACATTCAAACAATAAGAAAAAACTCAAACTATATAGTAATAGTAAGATCAAATTAACATTAGTAAAAAAAACGTGATTTAATACATGAATACAAGTTGCATCTCACAATGCTTCTAGAATTAATAAAGTTGTTTGTTAGGAAATTCAGTTTTTAAAGAGCAGAATTAAAAAAAAAATGCTTTGTAATACGGACTATACAACAAGACAATCATATTTAAATACATTTTCATACGAATAGAAATAAAAGGGAAGCTACTCTAAATAACAATTTCTTAAGATGGCTGCTGTTTTTAATACTATCTCGAACAGGGTTGATAAAAATTAATTTCAGGATATTTAAATTGATTTAACCGTAAATGGTGATCTATTATTCAATTATTTATAATATTTTATCAAAATATACGAAAATATACTCATATTAAATGACATATTCATTAATTCACTCTCTCCTACATTACTAGTTTTGGCCGAATTTACGACGCTAAACTAAGATTTTACCTATTTTTATATATAGGCTTTTATGTGTATCTGTGTATGTGTATACAATATACAACAACACCTAGCGTGTAACAAATTGTTAAACAAGTCAGAATCCCTACATTGACAAAAATTGCGAATTTATTTTGGATCTAGATTAGATCTTACACATAACCGAGGGGCGATCACTCGTTTCTATTTTCCAATATCCGGCAAAGCTGGTGAAACACGACGCAACAAAGCCCTAAATTCCATATCTACTTTATCTAGATTCTAAATCTAGATCTAGGCCTCTATGTAACTGGATATAAATTTAACATAAATAGCTCTCCACTTAACTATTTTTCTGAAAGTCAAAAGGAATCTGGAGATCTGTTCTAGATCTACTCTAGATATCAACAACATTCTTTGCTGAGGTTATATTTTCGACTATGACTTTAGAAATTGCAATTAGCAAGGAAAAGCCGGCCATTGGTAAATAATAAATTAATTAAAATCCTAGTCTAGATCTATCTAGAAGTAGTACAATACTTAAAATTAAATAGATCGGATGATATTTCGAGTCGTCCCTTTGAATCCCGGTCAGAACGTCCCCCTGTTGTGGCCTCAACCAACCGGCGGGCTCGTTGCATTGAGTTAAATATAAACTCAAAACAATAATATAAACAATCTCTTTTCCGTCGGTCAGGCCACAAACGTGTGTAGAAAAACACTAGGCTTATAATTTCTTTATGACTTTTAGTTTTAGGTAATTTAATTTTGTCAAAGGCCAAGGCTATTCCCAGTCGGTTGGGAATAGCCGTATTGGGGCTATTCCCAGCCGACTGTGAATAGCCTTAATACGGCTATTCACAGTCGGCTGTCATTTCATACTAAATAGGACTGTGAATAATATCTTAAAATAATATAGGCTAAGCATTTATTGTGACTGGGGAGTGAGGTATAGAGAGCAGTGCTATTTTTATTTTGTTATATTTTTATAAAAAAGTTATTACCGTTAAAGTTTTAGTTTAACTTTTAGGCTCATATCAGACATATCTGCTACAGGCTACGTAGGTCATAGATGATTAGATGATCAATTATACACTCTAAATCTATACACTAGAATAATAGATCTAGTAATTTTTAAATAAATAATACTAATTAAGCATCAGTTTATTTGGTTGTTCACATTGCTATTCAACTATCAATTACCATTAAAAATTCACATTATCACATAGAGGTCTAGATCTAGAATAAATATCAGGTGAAATAGGATGTCCTTTTTCATCAGCTATTATTCAGTTTCCATCACACTTTTGTTTTTTCTCTTAGCAAAAATCTACGGGACAGGTCTTTTTTTTTTTTTGCTGATATGCCAACAATTACGTCAAAACGAAAAAAAAATTAACAAAAATAACCCTTCCATGAGTAACTCAAGTAGAATCTAGATCTAATTGTGAAAAAAATATTTTGATAAGATTATGAGGTATACATTAAGGGTCAGACCATTTGGCATCTGATGAATTTGAACCCCCACCTTCTGGCATGACAGCCTCTCCCTATGACCACTCGACCACACATCTTCATGCCTAGTTAGGTATTTTTAACATTAAATCTATCAAAAACGGTCACGACTGTGAATAGCCCCAATACGGCTATTCACAGCCGGCTGTGAATAGACACTTCGTTTGTCAAAACTTGAGAAAAATCCAAATTTGGAATATTGAATGTGCACTATTGTCTATTAGGGTTGTCGGTATCGGCCGAGATTGCTGTAAGAACATGACCCGAAATATCCCATTACTTTTTGATTCAGGGCGCACGAGATTTGGTTTTGCATACTAATAAGTTTTTAATTTATGGTAATTAATTAAGTTTAAAAGGTCATTTCCTAATGTTAAATGAAAAGTAGACCAATGGTTTTCCCATTGTTTTGATGGCTTAGCGATCTGACAGCGCCCTGTCTTTGCTTTGGTCTTCCCCCTGTATGGAATCACGATTTTTTAAAAGGTTATTCTAGATGAGAGAAGATTACTGAGCAGACATATCTTATGTATGTGGAAATGATATTTGTTTTTGGATATTTTGACTCAGACATTAGATATACTCATCCAGAGGTGGTCACTGTATGTAGGTCGCGTTGCCACCATTGTTATATTTTTTCATCCCGATCTTCCGGCCTTTAAGTTTGATCAACTAACAACAGCATTCTTATGGAATGTGCAAACAAATCTCCTAATTTTTGTTTTCAAAATATATTTACTTACCCATCTTTAATTTTTTAAGCTTTAGTTCTAGTTTTGCAGACTATGTTTTTCCTAAAATCCAATTTTGTCAGACTAGATCTAGACTGACAAGAGTCAGAACTAGGTTACCTGTCTGTTGCTATACACTAGCATTGTGCTAACTGTAATTTTAAGTATTCAAGTTCTACTTACCCTTAGATATAGTTATATGCTGAAAATCAGAATCCATACACAATTCACACATAAAAACATTGATCTGATAACTTCATTTCACTTATTACAAAATGGCTTATATGGGCTCTACTTCACCTGCCCAAAATAACAAGGCAATTATATACACATTACAGTGTTCAAGTCATTTAGATTTCTGACTATGTAGTTCTTTCATTCACTGTATTTATATAAAATATTGCTTTAGAAACATTTTCATATTTGCGCAGCAGTTTTATAACAAAATGGCTTAAAGATGGACTCTACTTCACCTGCCCAAAATAATGAGGCAATTATAATATTATATGCACATAACAGTGTTCAAGTCATTTACTTTAGATTTTTAACTTTGTAGTTCTTTCATTTGCTGTATTTATATAAAATATGGCTTTAGAAACATTTTCATATTTGCGCAGAACACAGTATTTTGGGGTTATGGGAGGAAGCCAACAAAAAATATAAGTTCTGTATTATTTTTATTCATTTCAAAAGCATTTACAAGTTCTATATATCATTCTAGCTAAACTCTGCAAATATGAACAAAATACAACTGCAATTAAAATAACTATGCTCAATTTATTCAGGCATACGATGACTTGTCACAATTGGCCAATGCAAAAACAAGGGGATTCCACCCCTCATAAAAAAATTCGCTTAAAAAAAACTATTTGAGCTAGACAAAAAATCTTTTTTGTTTTGTTTTCATATAGTTCAGCTCTACCAGAATATGTAATTTTTATTTTTATATGATGATTAGTGCTTTTTTACCAAAATCCCTAGCACTATTTTTTTTTTTTTTTTCTTTTGAAAATATGTTTGTGTCAGTTAAGATTTTCATGGGTAAAGTAGAAACTCATGATTGCAATGCGGTTAAGTCATTTTGTATTGTTAAAAGTATCTCAATCTTTCAAGCATGATACAGAGTCTATAAATAAATTTATGTGAACTCACAATGACCCTAGCCCTCTAAGCTATATGCAAATGCTGATAATTAAAGTCAATATGAACTCACAGTGTACCCTTGATAATGTAGGGATTTTTCTCCCGACGACAATCACATGCTATTTAATAGGACCTGTAATGCTTATTTATATATAATCTTTTTTTTTACCTTCTCTAATTAAAACACACATTAATCCTAGTGTTTTCCTAACGTTTTTGTGTGTTTTGGTTGTGCTTATAATAAAATACGATCAACTGGAGGTGAACGTTAAGCAGGGAATAAAATACGCTAAAATGGAGTTTTACCCCTAGATTTTATATCCAGTCACTTTAAATATATTAAGGCCTAATGATTAGCCTAATCCTAATCTATTCTAGCTACATTACACTAGATTTCACTAGATCTAGCATTAGGCATTTTTACTTTTGCAGTTTTGATTTAACCACTTCTGGACTTTTTAATGTAGATCTAGTCTTTGTAAAAACTCACCAAAAAGCATGACATGGATTATGGATGACCCCTTTTTTTCTGCCCTATATATAGCTTGAACTGCCTTTAACTAACCAAACTTGCTCTCAGTAATTTATGTGTAATGATGACAGGACAGTATAGCAAAATAACAATCAGGGCTATACACATTTTTTAACTACCTTGTTAAAAAACTAAACAACTTATGTCTTGTACATTTTAAGTGTTTGAAAAATCTACATGCATTTTGTTTTACAGCTGCAGCACTAGCATCAGCTATTCTATCTCTCAAAGGAGAAAAAGTTAAATGGATTCTTGGAGAAGCTAATTGCCTAAAAGTAAATAAGTAAGTTGTTAATCAGTATTCTTGCTATCTTTTACCTAATCTGGTAGACCAAGAATGTTAAAAATCTATCCATTTCTATGATTTCTTGTATTTTATCTTTAAACCGTTGCTTTTGCCAGCTTTTTTCATACTTTGGCTTGGCATTGTTCCTTTTAGTTTTGGGAAAATCTTTGCATATCTTGATGATCTTATGATTTGTCTATACCATCCAAGTTTTTAATAATTTTTTTGTTAATCGTCACCAATTTAGATAAGTTTTTGGCCTAAATGATATGTATAAATTTAAAGAATACATTTAACTTTATTTTCCAGTGATGTCGTGTTTGCCAATTCTTCCTCTATTCTTCGATATTTGGGAAGGGCATTTCCTACATCTGGACTTTATGGAACAGACAGCCTCCAAAAAACTGAGGTTTTCCTTTAGCAAATTTTGTCTGCCATTAAGACTCAAATCTTCTGTTTTAGTTAGAATAAGGAGTACTTGTAAAGTGCCAGCATATTTTAAAGAAGCTGTGTTTTGCTAGTATAGCTACCATAACCCTGTCGCCTTAATAGCAGCTGATAAAATATTTATTTCAATATTGCATTGTCCTTTTTAGCGCAATTTCCATACGGACAATTGCTATTATTAACTCGTCATTTCTGGATGGATGGTTGAATGAATGGATGTGTGTCCGCAGCTTTAAGTCGTATCTCCTCAACGAAGCAATATCGAGGACTAGTTCCAAAAGCAAATACGTTAAGCAAGTCCTGAGGATGATTGTGGGCCAAAAAAATTCCCGGAATTCCTTCCTGGATTTCCCGGAAAAGCAAAACAAAACTTCGAAAAAATGCAGTTTTTTTGCCCATATCTCGGCAACCAGACCACTTAGCGACTTAAAACATTTACCAATTGATTCCTGCCATAATTTAGAACAATATTGCCGAAGAAAGTTTTCAAAAATATCCTTTCGTTCGGTCACAAAAAAATGTTTAAAATTACATAAACACCTACAAACCGATCGTTCTCCTAGCTTGAACGCACCCCAGCATTGATTTTTTTAAACTCTAAAAATTTCAGATTGATCATTGGCTTAGTTTTGCTTATGGAAGACTAGCCTGTACAACGAACTATAAAAATGCTGTGGCTGACTTGGATAAAATGCTTAGGCCATCAACGTACATTGTTGGTGAATCTCTGTCTCTGGCTGATCTAGCCATTTGGGAGGTTTTGCATTGTAAGTTTAAAGTAATAGGTCTACCTAGTATTTCTAAAACCATCCTATATCAGCAGGAACTTAACATATAAATACTTGGTTTTCTGCGACAGCTTTAAATAAATAATTCACATATTAGCATTAGATTCTGTTTAGTACACTTAAATATATTTCAGGGATGGCAGATTTCTGGTCTATCATAATTAGAAATTTTCAGTTGGATTATCCATTGATAATTTTCAGGTACATATTTTCACCAAAAAAAATTTTTTGTTTAAATATTGACATTTTGTGAAGGAAATGTAGATCTTCTGAACCCAGTTTTTTGCATATGTGCTGGTCAGGTATATTTTTTTTCCAGCTTCCATTAAACTGCTACTGTTAGGTAGCCCCTCTGCCATTCCAATTGCTTTCCATTTCATTTTGGAACCTTAAATTAATTTTAAAATCCTTGGTGACTACTGGGCGTCTAGCAGCAGTCACTAATTTTGAAACTTTTTGTCAACTCATCATAACCCAGAGTATGAAATGCTCTATTAAATTTAGAGCTCCACATTGAGTCTGGTCAGAAAAATATTCATTTTTTTTTCATTGATGAGTCACATAGCCGATACACATATTATTCATTTCAAGTATGCTTTAATTTTAAAAATAAATTTCAATGTTTTTACAAAATTTGGTAATAAAAGTCATTTAATCCACAGCTAGCAGTCTTTTCCAAACATCCCTGGCCTCAGATTCTGCACCTGTCAATGTGACACGCTACTACACTTTCTTAACTGCCCAGAAATATTTTAATGAATTGGCATCAACTTTTGCTGGAGCTGAAGTGAAAGAAACAAAGAAGAGAACTAATGAAAGCAATGTAATCCTTGATTAGTTTTGTTTTAAAAAGCATGTTAAATATATTTTGTATTTGAAGTAAGTAACCAATATTCTCATGCTAACTTCGTTAGGTAATTTACTTTTAAATATATTACTATTTATATTTTAGATAAAAAAAGATGAAGGCAAGTTTATTGAGCTCCCTGGTGCTGAAGTAGGCAAAGTAGTAGTCAGATTCCCACCCGAGGCTAGTGGGTAAGTGTATTTCTTACTAAACATTGCACAGATTTAAATTTTCTAAAATAAAAATGGTTAGTATCCATGGAGACTTCCAATTTTCAGCAAAAAATTTGATTATCCCACCGCTTATGTCATTTTCTCCTAATTTTTTTCTCAGATTTTAAATGTTTGCAGGCTTTTAAAAAATGAAATTTAAAAAATTTGGATAAAATAGAAATAACCTCTTGAGAAACAGCTGACATGCACATTCCACACATTCCTATTTAAACCGATTATTACTCTAGACCTATTATTATTTTATCTTTGTCGTCACTTCATTCTAACAGATATATCACACTTTTGCATTTAAAAAATTATTGTTAGAAACTGAATTTTAGCAGTTATTTTGGGACACCAATTTTATAAAATTTAATAGAAATAGATTAAAATATTTTAGGTTGGCTGACCTCTGTCAATATTTGATAAAGAAATTGATGTTTTAAAAAAAATTATGAACTGTAATTTTTAGGAGCATTGTAGTCTGAGGTGTGATTTTATTTTAAGGGGGGGGGGGGGGGGACGACACAGCCTAGATTTTTGTGACGATTGGTGGGAGGGGGTAAAATCATCCAAAAAAGGGTCATTTATGGATGATACATACTATCAAAATATTTAATTTTGGTTACTTTGTTAATAGAAGTAATTCCAAAAGACTTTTATACTAAATATTAAAACATTTTTTATTTCTGGTTGATTTAATTTTCAATCAAATGAACAAATACTTTAAAATTAAAATTAATAAGGCACTCTTCTGTTGAAAACTTAAATTATTTTACAATGTTCACGTTTAATAATAATAGGTATAACTTAAAATTCAAAACAAGATTACCGCTAACATTATAAGCTGAATGATTGTTAAAATAAAATAAAAATTGTTTAAGTAAAATTGGGTAAATTTTAAAAAGGAAATATTAAACTGCCATTTAAAGGGACTTACGTTGTTATTTTAGAGTAAAATAAACTTCTTCTATTTTCAGTTTAAAATATTAGGTATATTAAAATATCAATTAGTACAGTAACGATGTGAGACTGCTTTAACTGCCATAAAACAGATAAAACATTGAGTCCCAGTACAAAATATTTCCTATTTATTTTCCATGGTCTGGTCACATTCCTGTAGTATTTTTTAATGTATTGTAATGAAATAACTTTCTGTTTGATACCTCTAGTATTGTAATAAAATAACTTTTTCTTAGGTACCTTTAGTAATGTAATGAAATAACTTTTTCTTAGGTACCTCCAAACTTTTTCTTAGGTACCTCCAGTTTGTAAAAAAAAAAAACCTTTTGATAGATCCTACATTGTAATGAAATAATTTTGTTAGATACCTCCATGTTGGTCATGCCAAAGCTGCTCTGCTGAACCAGTATTATCGGGACACATTTAAAGGGACACTTATCATGAGATTTGATGACACCAACCCTGCCAAAGAGGATGCTGAATTTGAGAAGGTAAGCAGGAAATATCCACAGCTATAAATAACTTTTTGAGATAATAGCATATTTACATGCAGAGGTTTGCATTGCTTTTAGCAGTTTTAACTTAATGATGATCTCAACTTTGATGATGAATTTTGTGTCAACTTTTTAATCATGTCAAATTCTTTTAAATTTAGTTCAGTAAAGATGACACAGCGTTTATGCCAGTTTTAAATTATTTAATGTAGGTAATCCTGGAAGATATAGCACTGCTGGGGATCACCTATGACAAATTTAGCCACACCTCCGACCACTTTGATTCTCTGATGGTCTACTGTGAGAAGCTGATTAAAGAAAACAAGGCTTATGTTGACGACACAGATCCTGAGGTCATGAAGAAAGAGAGGGAGGAAAGAAAAGAATCTAAGAACAGAAACAATGGTTTGGTCTTACTCTACCATGTTACCTTTAGTTACATTTCAACTTCATTGTGACAGAATCTTGTGAATGACAAGTTTTTTGTTGTCGATCCCATAAGTAATCATGATTATTCAAAATGAGAAATTTATTTTAAATGTTAACTTAGGCCATTCATGTTATCAAAAGGGTGTTTGCATCACATTGACTTTAAACTTGTTTCTGTTTGTACCCAGATGTGGCCAAAAATTTATCACTATGGGAGGAGATGAAGAAAGGCACAGCACTTGGCCAGAAATGTTGCGTCAGGGCCAAAATTGACATGAAGTCAGACAATGGATGCATGAGAGATCCTACCATGTATCGCTGCAAGAATGAGTTTCATGTTCGTACTGGAAACAAATACAAGTGAGATTTTTATTTGCATTTTCTTCATTCCATAAATTTTGTTAGAATGGAATATCAGCAATATGGTCTATTATTAAGGTGTAGTATGAATTTCTTATATAAATTACTTCTATTCCGCTGGTATTTTATCAGTTGGTGCAGAATTACTATAATTCAATTATAATGTGAGAACAACTATCTTTAAAAAAAAATCTAAAGATGACTGAGTCCAATCAGTTGGAAGTAATCAAACAGATTTGACTGAAGAATTGATAATTACATTAAAGAGTTGTATTTAATAGCTCTTTTTGCCTTTATAAAATATTGTTTGCATTGGCAAATCCTAAATAGAAAGATATTGTTATTAAGTTTACTTTTACCTCTTTTTACAGAGTGTATCCTACTTATGACTTTGCCTGTCCAATTGTAGACAGTGTTGAAAATGTGACACATGCATTGCGTACAACTGAGTATCATGATCGAGATGATCAATACTTCTGGTTTCTTGATGCACTAGGTAATTACTTGACAAAACTTTGATGCTTTATCCAGCAATACATCACTAGTTATAATTTATTTATGAATATGAATTATATGTGATTTTAACTTTGTAGGTCTGAGAAAGCCACATCTGTATGAGTACAGTCGTCTCAACCTTCAGAATACTGTGATGTCCAAGCGAAAACTTACTTGGTTTGTAAATGAAGGCTTGGTTGAGGGATGGTAAGTTGAAAATGTTAAAGGACAAAGAAATCCCATCTGTTTAATGTTTTGAAAAATGTAAGCTTCATGTACATCTTTGGTTCTTCCATCTGACAAATTGTTTTATTTATGTCAGGGATGACCCGAGGTTTCCAACAGTGAGAGGAGTGAGGCGTCGTGGGATGACTGTTGAGGGATTGAAGCAGTTCATTATTACACAAGTAAGTTTAAAAGCTAAGGTAATTTTTTCTTAATAATTTTGTTTAATCTTTAAACTGACGAACATCACTTTCATTTGATCAGATTAAATTTTATTTAGTATTTTATAAAAAAAACTCAATAGATTTGGTATATATTTTCTTGTAAATACTAAATTAGTAGCTATATCATTACTTATTTTATTGACCTGTTACTACTGTTATTGTTCTTTAATGCTTCTGCTATTATTGTACTTGAATACAGGGCTCTTCTCGTTCAGTGAACATGATGGAATGGGATAAAATCTGGGCATACAACAAAAAGGTTTGTTTCTTTTTTTTACTTTCTCATGTATCCGGAGTATTCAGGAAGAATTTGTGATCGCGCTAAAAAATCAAAATAGAGATTTTTACAAATCTTATTCTTTTACACCTTCCTGAGTCCGAAAAACTTAGTTTAGTTATCTCGTCTGTCTGTAAACATGATAACTTGAGTACCTTTTAACACAGATTGTCAGAATTTCAAACATAGGTATTTAAAATTTGTAGTTTTCTATCATCATTTGAGCTATTTTTAGTAACAGGAAGAGGTAATACTCAGTTTCCTGTTTCTCAAAATTCTATAATTTGAGTAAGTTTGGTAGATGAAATTTCAGATATAAGTATAAAACTGTATGTGCTGGTTTCTTTCAACTTTTCAATGGTTTCCAGTAACTGGAAGTGGTGCTTCAAGTACTGCTTCGGTTAGGTAGACTGAATTTCAAATATGAGTATAAGATATTATATTTGAATTCTTTAAGCGATTTCCAGTAGGGGTGTTTTACTCTTATCTCCGAATTTTCTAAAACCTTCAGAAGAAGCAAGTTAAATAAAAGTTTGTAATAACTTGCTTTTTCTGTAGTGCTTTTTGCCTTTCATAGTGCTTAATGCTTTGTCATTAACTGAAATTGGCAAGCAAAATTTCAACCACTTCTAACTGACCAAGACTCAATGACAATGCAATGTGACACAAATTTTGACTTAATTAGATGTTTAATTACTTTTAAAAAATTGTTTCCTTTATAAAGTACTAATTTTCCTCTATTATACCCACATGGTTTGCGTTCATTTTGTGTGCAATTATTTTTCCCCTGGAAGTGCCAACCCTTAATGATTTATTAGAATATATCAGAAAGTTAATGGGAGATCACTTGCACTTAATTTAACTACACACGATTTAAATAATTGTGTTAATATAAATATATACATGTAATATTTTTATTATTGTTAGGTGATAGATCCAGTAGTTCCAAGATATACTGCACTGTTAAAGGAGAATGTTGTACCAGTTATTGCACAAGGAGCCAAGCTAGAATCCAAAGAAGTGGCTAAACATCCCAAGGTAATTGTGTGAATAATAAATTTGTTTTTAATTATATTTTAGACTTTTCTTTAATATCTTTATAACATATTTTTGTTTATATGTTAATCTGATATTTAGAATGCAGAAGTTGGCAACAAAATTGTGTGGTATGGGCCAAAGATCTTGATTGATGGTGCTGATGCAGAAGTAATTACAGAAGGGGAGATAGTAACATTTATCAATTGGGGAAACTTGATCATGAAAAAAATTAACAAGTATGTACTGGCCTTGTTCTTAGAGGATTTATTGAATCAGCTTTTTTGATAGTATTTTGTTGTTCTATAAGCTATTAGAACATTGAGCATGATAAATACTTTAGAGTTTGTTTAAAATTTACCTCCTTTACATAACTTAATGATTTTTCATGTCAAGCCATTTTCTAAACTTGAGTTGTATTTTTTTTTTTACTTTGGTTATCTGATTTTTAATTGGTTCTTTTAGTAAAAAAGAAAAATATTTGCTCTGTTTTAAACATCCACCTGTTAAATTCTAGAGATAGCAATGGCAAAGTAACATCTATTGAAGCTCAGCTGGATCTTAACAACACAGTAAGTAAGAAGAATAACAATTACATACTTTCAATGTAATAATGATACTTTTAACTATTTGCTTTTAATGTAATATATTGATCTAGGAATGTGTTGAAAAGAAGGTTTCTAGCTATTGAATGCTTTATTTAATAATTAATAATATTATAAAGCTCAAGAACTGCACTGAAGGATTAGAAAATTTCCATTGATCTCAGATTATTTTTACAGGATTATAAAAAGACGCAGAAAATAACTTGGTTAGCTGAAGCTGAAAAGGGTGCCTTTATTCCCACTGTCTGCATCCATTATGATCACATCATCAGTAAACCTGTGTTGGGAAAGGATGAAGATTTCAAGATGTACATCAATAAAAACTCCAAGGTATAATATACCTTGCCAGGAAACCACATTTATAAGAACTTTGCATAAGACATGGCACAAACAAAATCAGTAAAATGAAATAAATGTTAATCAGCTGTTATTGGCTTTTTTTTTTTGCTCAATTCTATGAAGCAGGATTTAAATTGTTTGTATTATAAGCAATTTATTTATTTTAAGTCTTTATGCATTATAGTGAATATATTTGTTTTATATCTAGCAAGAAGAAGTTATGCTGGGTGACCCCTGTCTTGCTAGTCTGAAGAAAGGAGATATCATACAATTACAAAGAAGAGGTTACTTTATATGTGACCAACCATATGAACCTGTCAGGCAAGTAGAATTAGCCCATTTTGTTAGCACAATGCCATTTCATGTTGCTGAATTTTAAAATAAAGGTATTTTTCAAACTTTAGTCTGAAATAAATACAATGTTCTTAACCCTATATGGCATAGCGTTGCAGTTTTGCAACAATACTTTAGGAGTAATCAAGTACTGTATTATTTAATATTTTGTTTCGTTTTCAACTTATTTTACTCCGGATAGCACTTTTTATTACATTTTATACCGGAACTCTTTTGAAAAGAAGATTTTTCTTTTTCAAATCGGACATTTTTAGAAGCGATCTACACTTTTCTGCTTTTTGCTAAATGGTAAGTATAAAATTACGTTAAACCTGGTTAAAACTATAATAAACTAGCTGAAAAAAATATATTTACAATAATAACTATGCATTAGTACTAATTTAGTTGATTCACAATAAAAATTTTTAATATTTCATTAGTAAGAGCCTAGTTTTGTATTGTTGCAGTAATGCAACTACATGCAACGGAATAAATAAAAATGGCTCTGCTCTGAGCTAGACTTTAGTTTACTTGGTAATTATTTCTATCCACAAAATAGTTTATTTTATGATGTGAAATACATTTAGTGTTGTGGCATATTATTTAAAGCTTCTAGATCTAGTTTTTGCCTATAATTATAATTATAGCCTAACAGTAACAATAGTTTTATTAGCTTTATTTATATTTTATAGGCCTATATTTATTATTTATCGTTAAGACTAGAGCTAGACTAATGAATAACCTTTTGTTTTTATTTTAGGCTTTCACATATTTATAACCATGGATCCAAGAGTCTAATTTGAAAGTCTTCTACCAGTTTATTCTGAGCTACTCCTTTTGGCTCAAAAGATACTGAGTTGTCCAATGATGAAATAGAGAACGTAAACAGTACCTGGGTCGTATCGGATGTTGGTGATGAAGATTTGTCTGATGTAGTTGAAGGTAACATATTATTATTGCATACTTTAAAGGTTTGATTGTAGATTAGTAAAGCATTTATTGTTTTGTTTACAATTATTGCATAATTTATAACCAAATAATGTTCTCAAAATTTATTTCTACAGAGTATGCCCATTTGCGAAAAATGATGAAACTCCTCAGGACCTTCTCAATTGTCTACACCAAGGTCTTCATTAGCAACAACAGAATGATCAGTCCCAGTAAACAGCAAATGTTCCACCATTTCCTGAGCCTAGGAGAGAAGCCAAACATCAGAGGCGGCCATTGGATTATTTCAACGACATCTTTACAGATAATCTGTGTTCGGACAGTTGTGTATCAATCCAACCTGTACTGTCCTCTAACATGACATCAACAGTCCTTTAGCACTGGATAAAGATTATTCCTGGAAATTAGATTTTACATAAACATTGTAAAAAATTCCTAAATGCTTAGTGTATTGGAGCCTTGCCACCAAGTTTGTTACGGTCACATACGTCATGACCATCAACAGATTCAAGCAGAATAAGAATAATCTGCACCTGTCAAACAATGTCCTCAGCAGGACAAACAATCCATTAGCACTGGATAAGAATGAGCTAAAACATTTCCTAGGAATTGTGTGTATTACATAAACATTGTAAAAACTCATATATGCCGAGTGTATTGGAGACTTGCGACCAAATGTGTTACGGTCAATACATCATGACCATCAACAGATTCAAGCGGATAAAGAATAATATACACCTGTGAAACTATGTCCTCAGCAGGACATAAACAATCCACTAGTACTGGATAAAGATGAACAAAAACATCTCCTGGAAATTGTGTTTTACATAAACATTGTAAAAAAAATTCTAAATACCAAAGATCTTGGTGCCTTGTCACCTAATGTGTTACTGTCACAGACATAACCATCAATAGATTCGAGTGGATTAAGAATAAGCTACACCTGTCAAACAATGTTCAAAGGGCAGAAGTTGACCAATGTCGGAATTCTGTGCTTATCAAACCCCATGCCATCTGAGATTCTAAGTATTCATGAGCAAATCGACCCATTCACATATCGAAGGCAAAAGCAGTCCAACCTACAACCATAGAAAGCCATATAGATGGGCTACAAAGTCTTTGTTGTGTCCAACAACTTGTATAATCCAAGATTTTGAAGTGCATACAGGTAAAGCTACAAAGGGACAAGATGACAAAGTGCTGTTGCTAATATTGAGCAGACATTATTACAGAGTGTTCCCCAATATGTTGGGCTCAAGATTTACAATAGACAATATCATTTAGTTCATCATTTAGTTGCAGGTTGTCCTGCACCAAGAATGCACAGAAGTTTTTATTTGTTGTATAGCAAACAAAAAAAAATGCTAATAAATTTTTTACTAAATAAACCTTCATGTAATTTTTCAGTTGTTTTTTTCTCTTTCAGTGTACATGTTTTTACTTTTGTTTTCATCATAAATAAGCTTACATGTTACTATTGTTACTCTCAAATGATTTGTAGAAGTTATTTACATTTCTATCAACAATTCTATATAAATATTTTTTTTGCTTATTATGGATAAAAAGTTTGACCGTTGCGCATAGTTGCAGAATTGCAACGACCAAAATTGTTGTGATATTAATCATCTATTCAAAAAAAAAATTCCCTACATCTCAAGTTAGTCCATTTGCTGTAGAAATATGAAGTCAAAAAATTTTTACCAAGTAAACCAATAATTCATGCAATAAAGGGTTAAGTTACATTAAGAAATGCATGCTCATAAATTCTTGAAATATTTTTTTTTAAACTAATGACTAAGATGTATATATTGTTATATTTAACCACCTTTATAAATTGTTGTAATTAACCACCTTTATAAATTGTTATAATTAACCACCTTTATAAATTGTTAAAATTAACCACCTTTATAAATTGTTATAATTAACCATCTTCAGCCCTCATACTGGCCGTGATAGCCCATGTGTATTAATCAACATACCAGATGGTCATCAAAAAGAAATGCCAAAAGCTGGGTCCAAACATAAAGAAACAAAAGAAGTAAATAATTTTCAGTCTTGTGTGCTTATGTGGTCCAATATGATCGTTAGCTGTTGATGTTGTCATTTTTTATGTGCTTTAATAAATTAGCCTATATTTTGGTTCATTTTTATTTTTTTTACACAACAAATAGGACTAAAGATAACCAGTTATTTGGTAATTTTGGCCCTTTTTAAAATTTGTTGTGTATATATAAGAGTTTGTGACCTAAGAAAATTGACATAACTGATGAAATACTAAGATAATTTTGGCTAATTCTCTTCAAAAATACCAACCTAATAGTGTTTGTTAGTTAACTGAGGTAAATATAAGTTGGTTGACTATACTATATATACTATACAAATTTAGGAAGCTAAATCCATTTATATAATTGAGTAAAGCTAACTATAAACATTCACATAAATCCTGGTAAACCAATGTTGAATGACAAAGAATTTTTATTATTTTCCGCTATTTAGGAAGCTCAAAGTAAAAAAGGAAAATCTTCAGAGAAGTCCCCCCAGGAAGAACAGCCCCCATCCTCAGTACTTACAGGTGACCTTGGTGATAAGATCAGTGCCCAGGGGGAGCTAGTGAGAAAGCTGAAAGCTGATAAAGCTCCTAAGGTATGTCTTAAATCATCTTACAATTCACAGGAGACAATTGTGAGTTGTGTGCTAGCTGGAAAAAATATTTAGACTGACTACTTTGAAAGTTAGGAAAATTGTATATCACACTTGCATTACACCCATTTGTCCACGGAGGGCTTTGGGCTGCTTCACCACCATTTTCCATTCAGACTTGTCCGCTGTAACTACAGGATGATGTCGGTCTGTCTCCATGTCATTAATCCATCTCAGTCTAGGCCTGCCTTTTGGCTTTATCCCTTTGGAGTTTGGGTTGTATACCACTTTCATCCCACTGTTGTTTGGCATTCTTTCTAGTCTTCCTTGTTATTTATTTCTACCATTATTGTAGGGTCTCATTTAGGGTTGGTTAAACTTACATAACAATACATCTAATTATTGCAAACAATGAATAAAACCTTTGTCAAAGCTGAGACTAAACATTTAATAGATCAGCACATTTTGTCTTTGGAAAATGTTATTATATCAAAATTAAAACAGTTTAGAGTCTAATTTAGATAAAAATTTGGTGTGCACAGGACCAAGTTGATGCAGCTGTAAAGACTTTACTGTCCCTGAAGAGTGAGTATAAAACCAAGACAGGCACGGACTGGAAACCTGTTGCAGTAAAGGCTGATGGAGACTCTGCTAAACCAGCAGCTACCACTACAGATAAAAAGGTTTGTATCAGCTAGGCATGATGGGTAATAATAATAATTTTTAAAAAACTTTTAATCTTTTTTACAGTAACAATAGACCATTATTTTTTTTTAAATATATATTTGTAAAAATGTGGAATAAAGAAATATTTACATGGATATAATACTTTATGGAATAGATGTAGCTTATTTATTACTTAATTTGTATGTTTAAAAAATTAATTGTTTAAAGTAAATGTATGAGACGAATTCGAAGGTCCTTCTTTCTGTTAAGCATTCTCGTACAAATTAATATAAAACCTGGCAGTTAGATTGCTGTTTTATCAAAACAAAAATCAGTGAAATTCCTGTTTGTAACCAGGGTAAGAAAGGAAAGGATGCTGTTAACTCAGCCAAAGGGGAGCAACCCACTGCTCCTGTTGCTTCACCAGATGCAGATGACATCAACAATAAAATCATTGCTCAAGGGGATATTGTTAGAAAACTGAAAACAGATAAGGCACCCAAGGTAAAAATGTTATTTAAAACTAGCAGCACGTACACAGAACTGTCCAGGATGTGGCTTCTGTGTAAAATATACGTTAGGTAGTATCACAATGTACTAGAGAACTCAATTTATGAATGCCATTTTAGTCAGTTTTGGTAACCCATACCAAATCTCAACCCACCCCTAATCATGGTTAAACTTTAAACCCAACATAAAATCCCGTTAAACAGCTATTGAAACTAAGAGTAACTCTAATTGAACTAGAACTTTAAACCTAACAGCAGCCAGACTTTAACTTACTTAACACCTAATACATCAAATTAATTTTTTTTTACATCATTTAACTGAACTTTCATTTGACTTCCCTTAAATGCTTGACACAACACGTAATCAAACTAATCAAACTATTAAGTGCATCAACCCATATAAAAACTATATACCGCAAGCATACTTTTTGTCACAACTCAGGCATTCATCTTTCTTTATTGAACAGTGTAACAAACCACATGTAACATTAATTACAATTCACATTCTAAATATAAAGAACACTAACTGGATCCAGATCTCAACTAATTGTAACATAACTATTCATGACTGACCTAACCTTCAGTCACTGTTCACATAAAAGAAAAATTAAATAACTAAAATCTAACCGGTCTAACTCCATTTCAGCTAAAATAATAGTGTTTATGGTTTATGCTCTAACCATGACCATAAAATAAATCTATCAAACACCCAACTCAGCTCTTACAGAAATTCAGCACCAACATTAGCTTTAAAAATCCTTTAAACCTAATCTTAACTGAACTCTAAACATGTGTAATTGTAAAATCTTTAACCTGATTATTATTTTGAAGGATAAATTCTAAAAAAAATAGGTATTTATCAAATACTAAAAGACCAGTAAATCAACATGCACATTTTCACATCAGTTTTGTACACTGCATAAAATATCAAAATAAAATGCTGGAATGAAAGTGTTTTATATCAAAATACATTTTAAAAATTGTTTTAACAAGTGATTCTAACCCTGTCTTTTGCCAAGGATCAAATTGATGCTGCAGTAAAAACCTTGCTGTCTTTAAAAAATGATTACAAAACAAAAACTGGAAAAGAATGGAAACCAGATTCAGGGAAGCCTGTAGGTGATGCTGCTAAACCTGTTGCTGCACCGGCCAGTAAAGAAACTGGCAAACTGTCTGAGCTGAATGACTCCATTGTCTCTCAGGGAAATAAAGTTAGGGACTTAAAGTCTGCCAAAGCTGCTAAGGTAATTATAACTTTTCAGAAGAGATTTTCTTCTAATCAGTTAAAGATGTTTTTCCAATCTTAGTGCAGGTATCTTGGAAACATTTACTTATAAGCTCTGATTATTAAAATAAATACAATTGTAAACTCAAGTGTAAACGGGATCTATACTAATACCTAAAATGTTGTTTCTGACAGAGTGAAATAGATGCAGCAGTAAAGACACTGCTACAACTTAAAGCAGACTATAAATCAGTGTCTGGCCAAGATTGGAAACCTGACCAAAGTCCTCCAGCAGTACCAGCACAAAAAGTGTCTGGTGAGGACATAGGAGCTAAGATTACAGATGCTGAGCACAAAGTTCAGGAGCTCAAGAACAGCAAGGCTGCTAAGGTAAACACCATCCTGCTTACAGGATTTACTAAAAAAAAAGTTTTTAATTTAATGTTTTTAATGGCAGCATCTACTGTACAGAGGTAAAGTTCCCTTTTCAAACCTGACAGTCTATAGGGCAAGTGAAGTAGAGTTCACTTGTTTCTGTGACCTCAGCATATGAAGAGATAGTGTGGTCAGGACTATTCCCAGCTGCCTTTACTTTCCCTGACATGAGTTAGGTACCCATCAGAGTTGGGTGGACTCAAAGGCTGTCTGTCTACTGACTTGGACTTACAGGTTAGCAGTCCAGCTCTCTACCGCTAGACCACTCCGTCCCATACTGTACAGAGGATTAATGCAGTATGTCCAAAAACTATGAGAAAATTTGAGTTTTTCAATTTTGAATCTAATATTAAAATAGTAAGTAAAGAAAAACCTGATGGTCAATAGGCAAGTGAATTCAGCTGTTTCTGTGACTTTGGCAATTGAATGGATAGTGTGGTCAGCTTTATGCCATGCTGCCTTTACTTTCCCAATGGTGAGTCAGGTACCCATCAGCGCTGGGTAGACTCAGGGATGTTCTATGGACTTGAATCTGGATTCTGGTTAGAAGATATTAAAATAGTGCAAAATGTTGTTTTTAAATGTTACTTTCTAGTTTTCAAATATTTTACTGCTATTCTCTACAAGCTTGCCAATAGAAGACAAATGCAGTATGTCCAAATTTTTGTGAAATCAATGTACATTTATATTTATGTTGTCAATAATACACATTACGAGAACACTTTTGTTAAATGTCAGAAAAAGTTAATAGCTAATATTAATTTGGAAGTTTTTTGCACTATTTAAAGGAGCTTTATAAATTCAATTTTCTTATGATTGTGTTTTTGGACATACTGCATTTGTCCTCTATAAAGTCAATATTTCTATCCTGAGCAGTTAAAATGTTGAAATAATGTATTATTGTCCAACTCAACTAGTTAAACTCTACTCTTTTAAAACTTATTTTACACTGTATATTTCTCTTTCTCATTGAATCTTCTCTCTGTAGGGATCATAAAACAATCTCAACATGGCTGTGCTTAATAAGGCTAAATAAACAAATTCTATGTAAATGACACCAGTAGTGACACATGGTTGTGTTCTCAGGAGAGTGGTTTACCCTGCTCTTCTCACTACCACCTCATTTGTTATACCTCAACTGTATATTCATATATTTATAAGAACAACTAATTAAAAAGATGATGAATGGCTGTATTTAAGTTTGAAAAAAAAACATTGAAACAAAAAAATCCAATTTTAATATTACTATCCTAAATACAAATATGTTTTGTAACCAAAGTCAAATAACACTAAAACATTATCCTGATCAACTTACACACCCTGTGTTATTTTAACATTTGTTATCCAGCAGTTTGTCATAATGACAGACACTATGTTTCATAAAGTGTGTGTTTAAGTCTAGATTCAGTCAGTTGATCTATCTGCTGCCCTGGTCTAACAAGTTCATTGTACCATCATTAAAAATCGGGTGTGTGGCTCTGAAGGTTCAGTTGGCAATTAGTGCTAGTATAGCAGTTAGTGGTCTGAATGTAATCTATGCATAGCTTATAAATTATATTTTAGAATACAATTATCATTACTTTGCTAATTTAAATTGTTTTCAAGTCCTGGATTTCAAAATTGAATTCAGCCACCAACGTACCTAAACAATATATTTTCTTTACTTGAGTAGACCACCTTTCTGTTAGTCCTGTAGATCTCTCTGATTTACTTCAGCATGTTGACGATTACAAGAGATTACAAAATATCTCAAGCCTTTCTTATTATCTTGTGCATACAGAATCACATAATTTTTATAACAGTTGCAAGTTGAACAAAAAATGTCAATGCTACATTGTCTGATGTGCTTACTACTGATGCAATACGATGCAAACTAAATTGTTTTAATTAGAGTAAATTATCTTGACAGTTATAGGCCTACTATCAAAAGGCTTAGAAATGTTTCATTTTGTAGGCGCTTTTGGCATAGCATTGGAAACAACTACTAAAGGACCGTAAGCCTACTATATATATAGATCTAGTGTCAAACTATTTTAGCCAAAGTTATTCCCATCCCACCCCCCACCCCCCTCCCACACACACGCACAGGCATCCACTCTAAAATATGCATAAAGATACTTAAATGGATTAGTTTTTCATAATTCTGTTTTTAAAATGCTCAAAATAAAGCAGTCACATTTTTCTCTCTCCCCCCTCCCCCCCCCCCCCCCATACACACACACACGGGCGTAACTCTGTGCGTAACCTTATTTATGGACGACCACCTTGACTAAGTCAATTCCAAAATAGAAGTGTGGGCCTACTCATTTAATTATTTTAAAATAAACGTTTTATTTTTTACTTATAGCTGTATTTACCCGCATATGTAATCTGCGAGTTGTATGTAGATCTAGATCAAGTAAACCGCGGTGTAGATACCGCTCTTACTTTCTCTTGACAACACATTACACAAAGGCTTTTATTTTGACACACTGTTCCACTCGCCACGACAATATTTTTCAAAACGAGGTTGTAAAGTTTTCCCGTTAGAAATAGGTCAGGAAACCCCCAGAAAAGAATGAAGTTAACGGGTTCGCGAGGCCGCCGTGTGTTGTGTGTAGTGAATGGGAAATAAGGAACTAGCCACGTTGACTGGGATAGTAGTACGCCGATAGATCTAAATCTATATTAATATTTCTCATTGTATTTTTATTCTAGCCAACATACTTGTATAGAAATTCGCGGTTATGTCGTCTAGTATAGACTAGAATTTAATTCACATGTAAGTCACGAATTCTAAGTCTAGCCGTCTAGCCTAATAATTATTTGTTACTTTAAATTTAAAAGTATTGAAGTAAGAACAGTACGGTTTGGACTTGTTCAAAAATTCTCATTCTATGGCCTATTAGATCTACTTTACGAAAAATCTTTTTAGTTTTAGACTTTTAGACTATACTATTAATATGTTACACCAGTGAATCAGTCGAAGGTTTATTACACAGTATTACACAACCAAATCGGCGGCTGTTGATAGGCTGGCGGTGATGCAATGAGCCTGTAATTAACTAATTAGGTCACTTTTTAGATCCAGAATCGTAGTATATAAATAAATCGCGCGAAGATTATTTAGTCTAAACTAATGTGACAGCTATTTTTTTCTGCTTCATGCTTATGAGGCACAACATAATTTCTCCCACAAACATCTACAAATTGATGTCTTATTTAAAAAAAATTGTTTTGTTGTCATCAGAGTAAAATAAATACAGAGGAAAAGAATTTGACCAAACTGAAAGAAGAGTACAAGAAAGCTGTTGGCACTGAGTGGAAGGCAGCCACCACAGAGAAAACATCTGCTGCCACTACATCTATGGCTTCTAAAGCTGATAGTGCTGAGGCTAAAGCCCTTAAGTCTAAAGTTGATGAGCAAGGGGAGAAAGTGAGGCAGCTCAAGTCTTCTGGGGCAGACAAGGTGGGACTATTTTACTGACTTTTAGAATAAGTATACTTTGTTTACTAAAGTATAATGTAAATAAAGAGAGAGTGATCTCCCCTAAATATTGTTGTATATTACCTTTTTAAAATAGAATAGAATGCATAGAAAAAAGAACTACGCGCCAAATGAATGTAAACGATATGAGCAATAATAGAGTGGAAAATGGAGGCGAGCGAGTTGACGAGATTCCTTCCATAATGTTGTTGTCATGGAATAAAAACGTGCTTTTTAGATTTAGACCGTAAAAAAAAATAAAAAATAAAAACTTAAGCCTAAAATTAATTTAGAAATTTTATATTCTTAGAATAAATGCTATAAAAGTTGCAAATCCAGAGAACTTGAAAATAATTTGTTGAGTTTAAGGCTACATGTCTATTTATTTTCATCAAGCCTAAGTTATAACCGGATGTTTCACTTTCGTAAGACAAATATTGATTGGCTGTACAGTAACTTAGTAATCGATAACTATTTGTTTACAAAACTTTGCAGATCAAGTTTTTAAATTACCATGCAAATTTAAAACCCCATGACCTAGTTTTCTATTTTTAGCTTACAATGTGTACAATAAAATCTATGGCAGCCTATCCAATAGCAGGATGCCATGTTTATGTCGCCATTACACGTGAAAACCAAATTGTTTTTGCTTTTTTTTTTAATTTTTATTTAGTTACCGAAAATATTATAAACATCAAATACATCCAATCTTTAGTAAAGTCCGAAAAAAACCAGACAGGCAGGATTTTATAACCATATTAATTGTAAATACGCTGTGCATGATTTTTTAATGAATTTATACACCTCTCAAATACCTTTGAGACTTTTCTCGCTGGTGTCCATTAGCGCTTTATAAACAAAACAGATAAATTTTTTAAAAGTTAATTAAACATCTAATTCAGCCTAATTTTTAAGTCATAATGCATTGTCATAGAGTCTAGACCTATATGAAAAGTTTTGCAGAAATCTGTCCTGTGAAAGTGATATTTTCTCAGAAATCTGAAATAGTGTTAAGTAATACACCAGTAAGCACTCAGAAATTAGAGTTAATTACCACTTCCAGTTATCCGAAATTGTTCAAAATTTGATAGAAAGACATGCATACAATGTAATTTTATATGTGAAATGTCGTTCACCTAACTGAAACAGTATTCAAGTTATTGGCTTTTGAGAAATCTAAAGTAGTCGATTTACCACTTCCAGTTACTAAAGTTGATCCAGAACTATAACTGAAACAGTACTCAAGTTATCCTGTTTGCCAACAGACATCCAGACAAAATTGCATAACTAATTTTTCTTGACTCATAGAGGTTTAAAACATTGATATTGATCAAAATCGTGATTTCAATTTTTTGCATGATTTACAATACATTCTCCATACTTAGTATACAAGAAAGCAAAAAGGATAGTACATCTGTTTTACTGTGATATTTGACTGTAGCACAAAAATATATATAATACTTGTTGACTCAAGTTTTTATACTAATTTACTTAATAAAGAGTGCTTATTATATGTAAATATTTTTGTTAATTATGTGGTTTATCATTTGTTATGTACTCAAAGATAAACCAGTATTTGAATGACATATTAAACCACCAATATTGTTTAGGCCAGTGTGGATGCTGCAGTGAAGGAGCTGCTCAGCCTGAAATCTCAGTACAAAGATCTTACAGGTGAAGACTTGGCTGGAGGTGCAAAGGGAGGGAAAAAAGGAGGAAAAGAAGAAAAGAAATCTGATACTAAGAAAGGAAAAGATAAAAAGCAAGAAGGTTCAGGAGACGCAGCTGCTTCTCAAAAGGAAGATGGAAAGCGTGAAATTAAAAAGGTCACAAGGTAAAAAAAAAAGACATTCTTCCAGATTCAGATATATCTTTTATATAATTCTGATAGCAACAAAGCATCTGTGCACAGCATTAACCACATAGTTTTCCTTGTACAGGCTGGGGCTGGAGGCAACCAAGGAGGACAATCTTTCTGAGTGGTACTCACAAGTAATCACCAAGTCAGAGATGATAGAGTACTACGATGTCAGTGGCTGCTACATTCTGCGTCCATGGGCTTACAATATATGGGAGACCATTAAGGATCAGTTTGATGCTGCCATTAGGAAAATGGGTGTTGAAAACTGTTACTTCCCCATGTTTGTCTCACACAGCGCACTAGAGAAAGAAAAAACACATATAGCTGACTTTGCCCCAGAGGTGGGTGGGCTTTTCAATCATTTTACATCAACAAATAAAAGTAAAAGTACTAATTGCAGCCCTTTTAATATTAAAAACCATTTTTTTTAAGTTAAAAAATGTATCTATTCAGATTGAGCAATTCTCCAGTTTAAAATAACTAATAATTATTATACACTTCTGATATTTTTTTAAATTTTAGGTTGCCTGGGTAACAAGATCTGGACAGTCTGAATTAGCTGAACCAATAGCTATTCGCCCAACCAGTGAAACTGTGATGTACCCATCTTTTGCCAAGTGGATTAAATCCCACAGAGATTTACCTTTGAGACTCAACCAGTGGTGCAATGTTGTGGTAATGTCTACATTATTTTGTTTATTTGATTCATTTTTATCCTAGCCTGTGCTCACATTAAAAAGACCCACACAGTGGTGCAATGTTGTGGTATTGGAAATGTCTACATTATTTTGTTAATTTAATTCATTTTTTATCTTAGCCTGTGCTCACATTAATACATACATCAATATTAGCTACATTTTTGTTTTTATTTTTCAGAGGTGGGAGTTCAAACATCCACAACCATTTTTAAGAACTCGAGAATTTTTGTGGCAAGAAGGTCATACTGCCTGGGCTGATCAGGCAGCAGCAGAGGAAGAGGTTGGGAACATTTTTCTACAAACTTCACCAGAAAACCATATTTGCGTTTTGTGGCATCCACTATTAATAAATTTTCACTAGCACTGTGATGAGTTAGCCAGTTATTATTTATGAATTGTCACATTTATTTGATTTAACCCATTCATGTTATCTTCATTTCAAACTAATGCAGCTATAAATTCCAATAAAAAATTATGTTCAGGTGTATGCTATCTTGGAAGAGTATGCTAGAGTGTATGAAGAGCTGCTGGCCATTCCTGTAGTCAGAGGCCGGAAGACTGAAAAGGAAAAATTTGCGGGTGGAGACTTCACTACAACTGTTGAGGTTTACATCTCAGCCAGTGGCCGTGCAATCCAAGGAGCAACATCCCATCACTTAGGTTTGTCAGAGTAAACTGTTCTTTCAAGTATTCTAATAAAAACATCATTCCATATTTAACATTTACTAATTAATTTTGTTCCTTACATTAAAAATTCCATTGTTTAAAAAATCTTATTTTTCCCACCAGGTCAAAACTTCTCCAAAATGTTTGAAATTGTCATAGAGGACCCAGAGACCCAGCAGAAAAAATATGTGTACCAAAACAGCTGGGGTCTGACAACAAGAACAATTGGTGTTTTAGCAATGGTTCATGGTGATAACACAGGCCTGGTTCTACCACCAAGAGCAGCTACTTTACAAGTTTGTGTTTTATAAAAAAAATCTAAAGATTTGTTGTTTTTAAGTAATCAATTTTTCTATTAAATATTTGCAGAATCAAAAAAGCCTATAAAGCTTAGATCCATGGGTTTTCATTTTTACTTTCTCGTATATACGTAGTATAGAGAAAGTATTGTAATCGTGCAAAAAAAAAAAATCGAGATTTTTACAAATCTCGGCGTTTTACACCTCACTGATACGGAAAAACATAATTTTGCAATCTTGTCCGTATGTCTGTGTGTCTGTCTGTGTGTCTGTCTGTGTGTAAACACGATTACTTGAGTACCGTTACAGCTAGGTTGATGAAATTTCATATATAAGTATTATATCAAAATTGTAGATCCGTATCAACTTTTGAGCGATTTCCGATAACCGGAAGTGGTACTTTTTCTACTTTGAATTTTTCAAAAGCCTATAACTTGAGTACTAATTCAGATAGATAAATGAAATTTCACATGTAAGTAAAAGATCTAATTCTCTACCTTCTATCAAATTTTGAGTAATTTCCGTTGACCGGAAGTACTAATTTACGCTATTTCCAAAAACGCATGTAAATTTATAAAGTACTAATAATATTGCGCACTATTACACACATTTGGTTTTGGTGCTCGCTTGGTGCGCAATTTTTTTTCTACTAGATTTTATTCTATTTTTAAAAGTTTAAGTAAACAAAAATCATGTCTATATTCCGAGTTGACATCCCACGTAGTGTTATATTAGAATATTCGAGAAAGTTTAGGGGAGATCACTCCCGGTTTATTATACTTAATACTAAAAGATTTTTTTTTTTCACCAGATTGTTATTGTACCATGTGGAATAACTGCATCCATGTCAGCTGCTGATTCTAAGCAACTGTATGATAAATGTTCAGAACTTGCTTCTACTTTCACTGCAGCAGGGTTCCGCTGCAAGGCTGACAACAGAGATAACTATTCCCCTGGATGGAAGTTTAACCATTGGGAATTGAAGGTTGTTTTTTATTCACCATAATTTCTGTTTTCATTTTTAAAATCTATGGTATTTAGATTATGTATTAACACATCCATTGCATATTGTTTCTTTTACATGTTCATGTACAGCTGCAAAAATTTATCATGATAAAAATTTTGTATACAAATGTTTAAAAAGAAACAGTGCAGTTATTCATACCATTGTTGTCTTAATTGTTTTATTTTTGACAGCATGATTGTTTTTTATTCAAATGTTTTAAAAAGAACCTAAAATTCAGGGTTTGTGTTTGTTTTTAAAGGGTGTTCCTGTTAGAATTGAACTTGGTCCTCGTGATCTTAAAGAAAACCAAGTCGTAGCAGTAAGAAGAGATACTGGAGAAAAGTCAACCATCCCCATGAATATTTTGGTGGAGTCACTTAGGAAACTGACTGATGACATTCAAGACAGTTTGTATAATAAGTGAGTTTTATCTTTTAACTTTACCTATTATCATTTGAATTTTCTTATGTGGCACTGACCAATGCAGTGTAATTTTGTATAGTACTTTCTACATAACAAATGTATTAAAATCTGTTGCCCATTAGTTGCAGAATAACTGTATTTTCAATTATTTTTAGAGCAAAGAAAGAATTGGATGAACATCTTACTGTGTGTCATGCTTGGACTGAATTTTGTGACAGTTTAGACCAAAAGAAACTCATTCAAGCACCTTTTTGTGGAGAAATTCCATGCGAGGACAAGATCAAGCAGGACAGTGCTAGGTAGTAAAATAAGTAGTAAAAGAATAAGTGATATTTTCTGTTAAAGTACAACTTTAACATATAAATGATTGCAATTTAAAATTAACTACTAATTACAAAACGTGTTGTTAGCACTGAACTACGCGATTGACAATGAAACCGTAATTTGTTTTAGGAAATATATCAACTTAATCTAACATTTTCCTTCTCTTTAACAGGGATGTTGTAGTAGAAGAAGGGGCCCCAGCCATGGGTGCCAAAGGCTTATGTATACCATTTAAACAACCACAAGAATTGAAGGCTGGAACCAAATGTATAATGCCAAGTTGCACTAAGCCTGCCAAGTATTATACGATGTTTGGCAGAAGTTACTGAATCTTTAACTTATGTTTGAAAAAATTATCATCAAAGCAAGAGAAAATAATTTTTTTTCCAAAAATTATAACTAAATGCATTTCATTTAAAGCAAATTAAGAAATGTCTTTATTCTGTTTTGAAGTACCCTATTTAGTAGTTGTAGCTATATCAATTTAAAATGTTAATTTTGATAATTTAATGGGTAGCAATGGTTTTGTTTTTATTTCCAGTAGTTTTTTTTTTTTTGTTTTTTTTTTGCCAAAGGTTGTTCTGGTCTAAAAATGTGTATTTTGCTGTTTTATTTGTATTAAATCAGTGTGAGTTAAATAAAAATCAATACAAGAAATATTAGCTGTTAGTTTTCATTGAGTGAAGGTGTGATGTAAAAAAGAGAATCAGGTTGTTAAAGCCTGAGCTTTATTATGTCAAATTATAGTTGTTGGCCAAAACCAATATATAGGGTCAGCATGCTATGACAATATAAAAGATGCATTATATTTGACAATGTTTATTTTTATCTTCATTCATACAGTAAACTTTGTTGATATACATTTTCACTGTGCTTCTTCAGGTTTTCTACCTTCACTTCTTATCTCTACTGTTACCTGTAATATTAAACAAATAAGATTTTTATATTTATTTTTAGAACTTGCATAATCAGTATTATAAAAAAATATACATCAGGAGTCTTCTTCGTTCTTAACTAATATTGAAAGGGATTTGCCCTAACATTAAATAATTGCATCTCAACATGTTATGTGACATATTGCCCATTCAGACTTAAGCCTGCTTTCTTTCTAGATTTGCTTCCATAGCCTTTAATCACACTCAAAAATAATCTGCAAAAAGCAGTTGTTTGATTGCAGAGTTCTTTCCTAAATGGGTTGCTGTAACCAGCTATCTGGCCTCATCTATCAGGACTTATGGAGTTTGCAATTGTATACTATCACACCTAACAGGAAAAAAATGATTTTCTGCCATGGCTTGTACTGATCTTGTGTTCAGTATTTGCTTCTTTGGTAATAATAATGGAAAAATCACTTCTTTAAAATATGAACCAACTAAAAATTCTAAAAATGTTAATTCAATCTATTATTTATATGACTAAAATATTTTAAACTTACTTCTTGTCCATCGATTACATGATAATCTTTGACCAGTTTGTCTATAGATTGCAAGTTGGCATTCATAGAAATAAATGCAACATTCTTGTTAAAACCTGTCTCCCAATTCTGTTTAGAAAAAAAAAGAAAAATCTAAATACTTTTTCATTTAAACTTAACGTCCATTTGGTAGACTTTGTTAAAAAGTAAACTGTGGTATCTACACAAGGGAGAAAACATACCATAGGAATGGTAACTTTGAGAACTTTTCCAAAATTTTTGAAATACTCTTGCAAGTCACCTGAAATGGTTTTGGCAATGAAGTCAAGCTATTAATTATTATTCATGATGGTGTAGATTATAATCTTTCAATTTTCAAAAAAAAAAAACATTTATTAGAGTAATAAATAATTAATATAAATAACAGACCCAATTAAAATAATTAGGATTTTCCAAAGCCTGTTAAAATTTAACAAATTAGGCTAAATGAATTATATTTTTAACTTTAATTAAAATACTAGATTTATAACAAGAATCTAGATTAGATATCATAATCATTAGATAGATCTAGTATAGAGATAGATGCTAAATTCTAGATAGATCTAGATCTATAGTATATCTAGTTTTTTAGCGCAATTTCCATTCTGGAGAATTGCGTTTATTAACTCGTCATTTCTGGGAATGGATGGATGAATGAATGTATGGATGTATGGATGAATGTGTGTCCGGGCTTTAAGTCGTATCTCCTCCTCAACGAAGCAATATCGATGACTAGTTCCAAAAGCAATTATGTTAAGCAAGTTACGAGGATGAACATAGGCCATAAAAATTACGGGTTTCTTTCATGGATTTCCCGGAAAAGCCAAAAAAACTCGAAAAAATGCAGTTTTTGGCCCATATCTCGGCAACCAGACCACTAAGCGACTTGAAACATGTACCAATCGATTCCTGCCATAATTTAGAACAATATTGCCGAAGAAAGTTTTCAAAAATATCCTTTCGTTCGGTCACAAAAAAAATTTTGAATTAATTAAAATTTGGACCGAATTAGTAGGCATTTTTTCCAACCACACCACACGCGTCATCACGTTCAATAGCTGCGCCATCGCGTTCCATGGTTGCGCCATCACGTTCAGTAGGCGCGCAATGGTTTTTAGTCATGTAACTCTATTGTAAATAAAACATGTAAAATACTGAAAAAAATTAATAAAAAACGTTTTAATAACTAACCAATGGTTTTACTAACCCTGCTCTTGATTTACGCTACGACAGAGCTATTTTTAGATAACATAAGGAAATTGCGCTAAAATTGTCACTAGACTTTTTAATTACCTTGTTTTTTAGAAAGGGCTATCAATTTTAAATGAACTATAATTTCCACATAAATTTTGCTTATAATTAGACTCTATAGGCCTAACAAACATTCTACATAATTTCTAGAGCTAGAATCTCCTAGGTCCTACTAGCTACTAGACTCTACTGACTACTCTATGATCTAAATCTAGATCTACTTCATCTAGGATAGACTAATAATATAGAGTCATAGACATAGAGTATTATAGATTATAGAGATCTAGCCTTAGAGTTAGCCTGTAAAAACTCAGCCAAACTTGAGTAAAGGCAAAAGGACGGACAACGAATTTCAACCCAGCCACATTTCAAGTCAGATCAGTTAGTTTATTAGTGTTACAAAAAATCATTTCAAATTTAGTCTAAATAAATACATTAAATAGGCCCTACAGATCTAGTACAAATAAATTAAAGTACAATTTAGAGAAACTAACTTCTCGCACAAGCCCAGCCTATGTTTCGGACAAAAAGAACGCACCGCGACATCTTATTTTAAAACTTCTGCAGCAGTACATTAAAATCTAGATTCTATGTCTACTTTCGATTTTAAATACCGAAAGTATCGAAAACAACCGAACCAACTTTTTTTTTCTAGGCTCTAGACTAGTAATTCTTAATCTTTTATGAGGTTTCACTTTCATCAGTTTCATTTGCGCATTCATCGAACGCATATATATATATATATATATATATATATATATATATATATATATATATATATATATATATATATATATATATATATATATATATATATATATATTACGGTCAAAGCCCGAAGTGCGGCCAAAGCCCGTATTGGTCGGCTTTCTTGGCCAAAGCCCGAAGAACTTTGCACTAAGAGCGTAGTTCGTACATTGGCCGGCCAATGCGCGCACTGGCCGGGACGTACAGGCCAAAGTCCGAGGTGCTTAAACTTGACAGCGTATTTTGTACATTGGCCGGCTAATGTGCGACTTGAAGGGATGTCCTGGCCAATGTTCTATCTAGACTAAGTTGTGATCGAGTTTTCATTATTCTGGGTTGGGTTTTACTGTAAGTAACGTATTGTTTAGCTCTTGTTTGTATAGCATTCTATATGCAAGGCGACATGGACCAAAAGGGCCGTCAGACCATGAGACAGACATAGCAGATGACTGTCAAAAGAAAAAATGTAAATCCAAGTTAGTTTCCATATATGGACTACAACTGTAAGTGACACCCTCTCCATGATGACGAGGCGAGACAATCATCAAAGAACAAAATCAAAGACAGTCGGCGTCACCGACCACGTGCAACAATTAGACGGAACGTTCAAAAGACTTTGCCGCGTTCGATGCAACCCTTGTAAGTTGAACAATAAAGCGACTTGAGTTGACGTGGGCGTCAGAAACCATATTTCGCCAACAAAAGGGGAATACCAAATGAAGTAGACCCATCACCGCGCTTTGACTGGACTGCATGATAAATACCGACAGAATTGCATTCCAGATTTCTGTGCGTATTACTTGACTGTTTAAGTTTAACACTACGTTTGCTTGATTCTGAAGTCACGCCTGCCAAAATTAGTAAGTTTTAGATCTTTGATTATTATAATACAGACGGGGATGTGTTTTTTTTACTATAGTATCAGCCTGTCTGTAATTAGCTTTTTTTACCTTCTCGTATATGAAGTATAGAGAAATTATTGTAATCGTGCAAAAAAAAAAAATCGAATCAAATGAATCAGCTCATTAGCTGAGTCTCAAATTAATTAAATTTATGAAAAATCGTTCTTTTCATAAAGGAATCCAACAATCGCCATACGAAGCCTTTTTGGATGCAAAGCAAAAGTGGGACTTAGCACTTCAAATCTACCAAGAGAGGCTCTCGATAATTTAGTTACTGAGGAAGATCTTGAGAACATTGAACAAGAAATGTAGGTTGCCATAAATGCAACGACATCCTCAGCTAACACATCTGCTGCCGCGGTGGAACGTCCAGACCAGTTGCGTGACAATAATGTGGCCAACCGATTCTGTAATGTTTGTGAAAAACATTGTAGTGCAGCCCATTCTTGTGGATCCTGTGGTAACGATGTCCATGCTGTTTGCGGAATACCCAATGAAGCAGACGAAGGGTGCGGAAGAAATATTACCTGCAGATTGTGTCACAATAAACAAGACATCGCGGACAGGTCAGCAGCTCATATTAGCTTGCAAACTCAAGGTGCTAAGATGCTTAAAACCAAATACAAATTTAAACAAGCTGAAGTGGTTGACAATCAGTGCCGACGCCAGGTTATACAGCGCCCTAGGCAGAGGCGTAGCGACCCTTCCCGGCGCCCGGGGACAAACTTTCAACTTGGCGCCCTTTCGATTTGCACCCCCCCCCCTCAAACTTTCGGTTTGCACCCCCCTCCTATATTTTTTATATTTATAGAGCAAAAAAGCAGTACAAAAAAATGTAAAAAAATTTTCCAACCCATTTTGGCGCCCCCTAAGGTCGGCGCCCGGGGACATATGTACCCCCCTGCCCCCCCCCCCCCCCTTCGCTACGCTTCTGGCCCTAGGCAAAACTTATTAAAACGCCCCCCCCCCCCGGCAATTTTTTTATCGAGCCCCCATGTTATATATACACACACACACATACATATACACATATATATATATATATATATATATATATATATATATATATATATATATATATATATATATATATATATATATATATATATATATATATATATATATATATATATATATATATATATATATATATATATACGGGGTGGGGGGGGCGCTAAATTGAAAGTTCGCCACGGGCGCCGGGAGGGGTCGCTACGCATCTGGAGGGGGGTCCGTAAATTTTGTGACGGTGTGTTATGAGGGGGGGGGGTGATTCAGATGGTGTGACGTCAGTTTTTTGCATTATAAAAAAGTAATGTTAGAAAACGAGTTTTAGCCGTAATGTTGCGTTTTAGAAAACGTTTTTAATAAATTGTTATGGGAATTGATAAAAAGACTCATGTTGACAGAGTTCTGACAAGATTTTGGAAAAATATCGATGTTTTAAGAAAAAATGTCAACAGCAATTTTGAGGGGGGGGGGGGGAGGGTTGTTGGCTGAGGTGTGACGTCATTTTAAGGGGGGGGGGGCTGGCTTTTTGTGATGACGGAGGGGGGAGGTAAGATCGTCAAAAAAAAGCGTGACGTCATTTATGGATGACCCCCTAAGCTAAATTTACACGAGGTATTAAAGTGTGTGTTCGTTAAGTGCAAATGTAAGTGCTGATCATCTTCACTCATACTTGATGTCATTTATGGGGGAGGGGGAGGTCTGGCTTTTTGTGATGTGTGACGGAGGGGGGGGGGTAAAAATCGTAAAAAAGCATGACGTCATTTTTGGATGACCCCCTTGACCAAATTAGTAGGGCCTAAATTAAAAGCTTTTTTGCCTTATCTTGAGTTTAAATTCAAGGAAGGAAATAAAAAACAATAGATTTTTTTTGGTGTAAAAATAAATATTAGCTAGGTATTTAAATTTAATAATAGCTTATTAGAGAAACTAACGTTTCACTAACGCAGGTAAGGAAACGCATTAAAACAAGTAGTATAGATCTACATTTATTTATATCTAGATATCTAGATCTATCTAGGAAGTAAGTTTATTTGTTTACCCCGATGAGCACTTTTTCAATACCACTTGACAGTTTGCAATTTAACTTTCTGCCCGACATTCATTGTGACTAAATAATAGTCTAGTTAAAAAAATGAAACTTTGTTATCATTTGATTCATTATTTAAATAGAAAAATTAGGCTATAAACTATAAATCTAAAATGATATCGATTAGTGAATAGCAAACGTGTGTCGGTTTTTGGTTTGTCATTTTGTGTGTTATGTGTTGAAATCAGAGACTGAATGCACAGAGACAAAGGGGAAGTTATCTGGCCAATAGAAATACATTTTTTTTTAATACTTGGAAGTATGTTGACAGCGATAATGACTGGTAAGATAAAGTAAAATTATCTTAGCCTATCTCAGCTCTTGTTTAGGTATAGTTTAGTTCTTGGTCTATTTTACAATATACTAAACAAACTCACGCAAAGAAAGATATAGATCTAGGGTCTAGCTATAGATCTAGGTATAGATCTAGATCTAGATCTAAATCTTTAATTAGCTAGGCCAATGCCGCTGCCGAGAAAATCGGACAAATCGGCTTTTCCCTACCCCCTGCATGTTTAACTGTGTTTTTTGCATGATTTTATTGTGTTTATATTAACATGTTATACACCATTCTGTTCGTAATTGAATAACCTTTTAAACTTTATAATTTTGATTTTAATATGATTTCAAACGTTGAAGAAATCGCCGATTAAATCGCATTTTTTACCCTCCGCGGCGACGTGCCGATTAGGGGGGAGGCTTTTTCACCTTTTTAAAACAGGGGTGTTACTTTGAGTCTATAGACTCTTCGAGTTTTCGCCATTCAACAGTGAAACTTGGCAGAAATACAGATTAGATGTAGACGTATACAGCGCAGGGTTCGTCGTCAAAATATATTAAATACTTTCGGAGATATCGTACAGCAAAGTTGAACCAAGTTTCCAGAGTTATTTATAGACCGATTTTTAATTTGAACCCTGCGCTGTATTGCTGAAATCTGGACGTTTATTAATATGTATGATATGTACTATAATGCCCTAAGATAGAGACGTCTATAGACTTTGAAGTGGACCGAAAATCAAAACATAACGCGCCGACCGCTGTCCGACTGAACCGCTCGGCTGTGCTTCGAATCGCCCTCTTTTAACAGACGACGCGTTACAAAATTCTTATACACGAATCGAGTTTACATACTACAACAGTGAAACTTGGCAGAAATACAGATTAGATGTAGACGTATACAGCGCAGGGTTCGTCAGCAAAATATATTAAATACTTTCGGAGATATCGTACAGCAAAGTTGAACCAAGTTTCCAGGGTTATTTATAGACCGATTTTTAATTTGAACCCTGCGCTGTATTGCTGAAATCTGGACGTTTATTTATATGCATGATTTTCTCTACAATACCCCCAAATAAAGCCGCCCATACATTTTAAAATGGAGCAAAAATTAAAATTAACGCGCCGACCGCTGTCCGACTGCGTGCTCTGCTGTGTCGATCTACACACCGTGTGGCACATCCGAATGCCTGGTCATGTGACGCTAGGCGGTCGATCCGATTGGATGATACTGTAAACAATTTCTAAAGATAGATAGGCCTACATGTGTTCCCGTGTTAGGCCTATACTCGACGGCTATTTCTATTTTATATAGATTAGATCTATAAGCCGACAGGCATGTTTCATAATTTTGTTCTTACCCATTTAAAGGGGAAAAAGTCTTATTAATATTTACGGCTCAGGTTTCAAATTTATCTTGTTTTTAAAATTAATCCAGATGGTTACTGTCCGATTATAACAATTCTGCGTTTCGCGCACCCTAATTTCATTTAAAATTAGAGCATTTCTTTTTCATAAAAACGGCTTTAATCTTTTTCCCGGTCCCCCTTTTTTTCACTACACACTTACAAGTTACATACGCTTAACAACGTGGAGGATACTAGCCTGCCAAATTGACCAAAAAGGGGTGGGTGTGGGTGGGCATTCTGTATAACACCCAACGTAACACCCATAGCCTACGTAAGCCTCACCCCGCCCCCACTAGTCCGTGACGCGACGAGCCGACGGTCGTCGCCTTTGATGTTGTACAACACCCGTACGGTACCTACTCAGTTCGTGGTGGATTCATACCCCACCTACCTCCCCCTTCACTTTGTGGAGTTGATGTTACTAACCCTCGGGCATAGATCAAGAAATCTTGCCGGACTTTTGTCTCTGAAAGTACATAATATTCGTCTGACACGTTCATCGGGTTGGCCGACTAGCCTATCCAGCGGTCGTGTTTACGTAATAGGGCAATAAAATTCGTTGGTCAGAAGATCTGGCTAGTCAGATTAAACAAAATCTAGGCAAAAGCTTGTGGTGGTACACGTGTCTGTGTATAGCCAAACACGGTAATCTTACACAATTTCTAGAATCTACAAGATCTACACAATCAAGCACTCAAACACGTGCTTTTTTCTTAAGAAAGTTTTTAGTTGTAAAAGGCCTACTGGTAGACCTACAAAAATACATAAGCCTACTTACTACTAGCATAAACATTGGGCTTAAATATAATTTATGTTATAGACCTATAACTTACACTAGATCTATACCTTGTGCAAGTTTAAAAAAAAAAAATTTCCTACAAAAAATATTTTATTGAAATTGTAAAAAGGAATAATTTTAATATGGGTAATAATATTAGGTAATTATCATATAGCACACTCTGATTCTGATCAGACAAATTTGTGACTAGACTAATTTTATAGCAAAATAACAAGAAATATAATTATAATGAAATAGGCCTAAATTTTGGAATAGTGTAGGCCTAAAGTATTGGACATAGATTACATAACATCTTTTAAGAAGTTACATAATCACAAATTTGCTATTGTAATAGCATTCTTCTCTTTGTGTTGTAAAACTTGATTAGTTATATTTTCTTTTAGTAGGCTATTAACTTGAAGTTAACTGACAATGAGCAAAAGTGATTTCAAAACTAATTAATGGTATATTTTGAGCAAAGGGTGGTATTACATAACCTTAACATTTGATAGTTATGTAACAATGTTGGACCATTTTAAATACTACCAATAGCTTCAGCATATATAATTGTCATATTTTAGATTAAAACAGCGTTACATTTAAACAATGACTTCTTATCACATTGATTATTAGATGTTTTAAAAAAAATAGAAAGGGGGGTATTACATAATCTATGAGATTAGTCGATTGTGTAATCAAAGGACACTTTTTAAATTAGCATCATTGGATTCGGCATACAAAAATCTATAAAATACCATAACATGACATCAATTGATGAAGTTTATTTGCTTTAATACCACTTTTAGTGAAAAACTCTTTAAAATTTGGTCCATACCCTCCCAGTATTTTTCCTCTTTCAGGGTCTACCCCGGTTGTCTGAAAAAACTGCTATTTTTTAATGACAAAAAAATTCATAACTTTTTTGTTTATGGTCAGATTTTGAAAATGTAAACTGATCTGTAATCAGATTGACAGCCCCTATCCAAATATGTAACTATTATATTGTTTTACTGAAATTAAATTTTTGCATTGGCCTAGCTACTTTAATCTAGGCCAGGCCTAAAAAAACAAGTTGTTTGTGGATGATCCCAACTTTTAAAATGTTTTTGTTGTAGAGACTAGAGAGCATGTAAAATTGATCAGTGACTGAGTGAGTCATTGAATAGTCATTGATTCAACCAGCAGCAGTAGCTGTAATTCAGATCTAGATCTACTAACAGGTTTTGGTAATTCATATACTATTTTATTTTTCTTAGTTATTAGGCTAATTTTAAATGGAATAAACCACCCATGCCCAGTGAGAGAAAAAAACTGCATCCTTTCATGGCAATGTTTTCAATGTACTGTGCATGGGTAAAATTTGCCCTACTGCCAAACCCTATTCATTCCTCCCTAACCAGAGTTCCTTTCAGGCATATCAGGGGGGGGGGGGGGGGGAAGGGGAAGGCGCATAGCCACCCCTCCCCTCCCAAAAAATTCGAGTCCTGTTCCACCAGTGGAGAAAAAATCTGAAAGAAACACTGTCCCTAACCCTAATGTCTAATCCTAACCTTAATGCCTCAATGACAATCCTTAATGATAACCCTCAAGCCTAAACCTTACCGGTAACTCTTTAAAAGCTCAACATCAGCTTTTAGTTACTAGATCTAAGTAAAATAAGAAAAAAATAGCAAAAAAAAACAACCTAAGAGCTCAATGAGATGGTACCCACCCCACCCCACAAAATCAAGCTTACTGATGCGCAACCACTTCAGTCACATAAATAGTTTCATCAATGCGTTACCAATCCTATATTCTTAGACGTGTGACCTTGTTTTCTAAAACTGCGTTATTTAAATGTAAACAATGCCTGTGCTTGGATCATATTTATTGGGGCACAGGTTTACCTACTCTTCCACATGAAAGCCTTGAGTGCACATTAATCACTCACCATAATAGTTAGGTAGAGCACACATCGGTGACTCCCCAAGTGTCAGGGACGTAGAGGGGCGCTCTAGTGAACCCCGACTACACTAACGCAGGGGCCCCTGGCTCCATAAAACTAATGTAGTCGCCATGGTGCTCACACGATAACCCAGCGCACCAAATTTGCACCCTGCTGAGGTGCCGGAAACCCGCATGATTCAATTTATTGAAGGACTATAACACTCCATCTTATCTATAGTCTATAGCTCTGTTTAAAATGAACGTAGGTGCCATAGTGCTCATGAGAAAACCAGGGCGCCAATTTGCACGCTGCCAGATTTTATTTAGTGAATGACAATAATGCCAAACTTATCCATAGTCTATTGCACTTTTAAAATAAAAAGGCGCCATTGTGTTCACGGGACAGACCGGTGCGCCAATCTTAGAGGAGGTAACTAAGAGGAGGCTGCTTTCACGAGGGGGGGGGGGGTTAGTGTTTTAAAGCAAATATTTTCAGTGGCAGCATTGGTACTGTCGAATTCACAAATTATGGATTACTGAAAAGTAGAAAAAACAACAACTAACATTCAAAATTAAAATGAAATTATTAGGCCCTACAAGATTAGTCTTTTTTACTAGAGGAAGTATTGTAATCGAGATAAAAAATCACATGAATTTATTTGGACAGTTTTACACCTCAGTACTTCATCATATACTGAGTATAGTGGACTTTTTTTAATCAGGCAAAAATTCTAAAATCCATATTTTTCAAAATGTTGGTGTTTTACCCATCATAGAGTTGGAAAAACTGGGCATTGCAATTTTGTCTGTGAACACCATAACTTGTGTATTGTACAACTAGGTTGACAAAATTTCATATTAAAGTATTATATCAAATTTGTAGTTCTGTTTTAACTTTTCAACTATTTCGGGTAACTGGAAGTGGAACTTATTCTACTTTAGGTTTTTCAAAAGCCTATAACTTGAGTACTAGTTCAGTTAGAAGAAATATCACTATATGTAAAGAAGATCTAATTCTCTGTTTTCTGACAAATTTTAGTAATTTCCGCTGACCGGAAGTAGTAGTTTACTATCTTTTCGATTTCTCAAAAAAAAACAACACAAAATGCCTTGATTTTTAACTTGATTCCTTTGTCTTTCTTAATTAAGTACTAATGTTTCACACTATTATACACAGATTATTTGCTGTTCATTTCTACAAGGTTCTATTCTATTTAGAAAATTTAAGTATTTAAAATTTGATTTTTTTCTTGATCCAAATGAAAGTTAAAAAAAGAAACCTAGTAATTAAGAAGTCAAACTACAACTAGAATCTACATATTTAATTTGTTCTACATAGATCTAGTAATAATGGTATTAAGAAAGCTTAGTTCCTCTTTAGATTTAGCAATCCATTGGACTGATGAATAAAAGTTAATATATTTTTAACCTCAGCATGTGAATGGATATTGTGCTCAGCATAATGCCCAGCTGCCTTTACTTTCCCCAACATAAGTTAGGTACCCATTAGAGCTGGGTGAACTCAGGGACATCCTACAGTCACAATCAGAACTGAGATCAGAACTCGAGACATCCGGGCTAGCAGCCAAACACTCTACTAGTCGACCATGCCGTCCTACAGTAATAATATTACTGACTTGTTTTTCTAGAAATGTTAGTACTTGAATCAATGTCAGCAAATAATAATAAAATTATTTTGCTTGTATTGCTACTCTTTGCCTGACCATTACACCTTAGCCTAACTACTATGTCAGTAGAAAAAAGTTTCACTAAAATATAGTTTAAATAGATCCATCCTGCTCATGTTTCCATCATTCAACATAATGTAACCTCATTACTAAGGTTTTTTCAATAACAGCTGTAAAGGGTCTTGTTAATATTTTGAAAAATAGCAAAAGGCATTTTTACCCCTCAGTATGTATTACTTAACACTTGTGGTGAGGTATGAAGACTAATGATGTTGATAAGATGGAACAAGTTTGATAATTACTAAGCTTTTTGGGTTATATTTTTATTCGTATTAAAACTGATGGATGTGACAAGATGAACAAAACTAAAAATGGCAAGATAAGTCTGAGAATTATACCATGTTGATAATCTAACTTATATACTAAAATATATACCTTACTTACTAAAACATGCCATAAACTGACCTTCTTGTATAAGCATTTTTACAAATTCATACTAAATCAAGAGACTATAATTTCAAGAATGTTAAATAAATAAACTAAAGGAATCAAATCCTACTCTTATATTTAAAGGTGCCAAATAATATATTGAACTTATTTGTAACAAAACACTACTACAAAATGTAAAGCTGAATTGAAAGTACATTTAAAATAACTACAGTAGATCTTAAGTAAAAATTTAGGACTAAATTAATTTAAGCAATAAACTTTAATTTCATTCAGCCCTTATTTGCTTTATTTAGTAGTGTGAAATAGTTTAAAATAATTTTAAAACATTTCGAAAGGTAGAGTCGCAATAGAAATAAAAACTTATACAATTTTGCAGCCAAGCTCTAAAAGTTTTGGTAAGTAAATAAATATGCACATAAGCATTGGATAGTGGCTCTTGTTATCCATTAGCAATATTTTTCCTGATTTAAAACCCTTTATTTAACCCTTTAGTTATTTGTTTATTTAAATAAGATATATTTTTATACATGGTATATAAATTAAATCTTGGTTTAGTTTTCATAATAATAATAATGCTGCTAAAGTTAAGTGCTTCTTATAAATAGTATATTATAGTTGATAACAAATACAATCAAATCTATATCAAGGATTTCACCTTATTGTTTCATTTTTGCTTGTATGTCTATTTTAAAAAGTTTTATTTATAGCAGTGTCATATTTTTAAAAAAATATTGTATGAGGTTTTTCTGAAAATTATTATAATTATTTTTATTTTAGTAGTTGAGTTTTCATTTACCCCTCTTATTTGTTTGCTTCAATTAAATATTTATGCAATAACCCACCCATATTTCTTGATTAGTTGAAGAATTATTTTTTTCAAAAGATTTAGTAAGAAGAATATGCTTAATCAAAATTGAATAAGACATTAAAATTTTTTTTTGTTCCACAATTAAATACAGAAAGCAAATGGATTTTCTGGAATTAAAGAAAAATACTAACAGTTTATAAAGAACTAAAAAAATAATGCTGAAATATCTATTTCAATTTTAGTTTTCAAATGTCATAAATCTTTAATTTTCTATTACCCTATTATTATAGTATTATTTATTTTACACAGAGTTATTCCAAAAACCATTTCTTCATGAGTTCGTTAGATAGTCCTGTAAGGGGCTCTCCTGAGACTAGCACTCCGGATGGTTCTCCTACAGAAAGAACAAGCTTAATGAGTGGTATAAACAATAGCGGCAGAGGGGATAGGGGTGGGGGATTTTTTTCTGAGAATCATGAAGCTTTACCTGAGGTTAGTATACTTAGTTAAGTGTGCCTTTCTAAAATTGTAAAAATGATTCTTTAATGATTTTAGAAAATATAATCTCAAACTTAATTACATTAGAAAGTTCCTTAAAAAGCTGTTAAATTATAAAATAAATATTTACTTTATTAATCAAATATAATTTGATAATAAATATTTACTTTATTAATCAAATATAATTTTTTAATCACTATAGTAAAAACACAGCTGAATGAATTATTGTATTTATTTCAGACTGATATAATTAACCCAAATATAAACACAAATGCAAATGAAGAAAGCGCAAGCACTCCTGCTGCTCAGGCTCAGGCTAGTGGCAGCAAGAAAAAAAATCCGTCAAAGAAACGCAAGCGGCCTAATCCACCTAGCCAACAGCAAGAGGAGGAGGAAGAAGACACACTGTTATATGGAGCTAAGCATGTCATAATGCTGTTTGTCCCTGTCACTCTGTGCATGGTTGTTGTTGTGGCAACCATCACCTCCATCACATATTACACAGAAAAGGGTGTTTACCTGTGAGTGGACATTTTAATATTTGATTAATATTTAATGAGTTGCAGTTCTTTATATTATAAACTGAAAGCTTTGCTTTCTACTAAATGCATTTTCCTTTAGGTTTTTGTTAAATATTAGTAAATTGAAAGTGTTAATGAAAGATTTTCATTTTTTTTTCAGAATTTACACTCCATTTCATGATAAAACTGAAAACACAGGCACAAAAATTTGGCAGTCTATGGCCAATGCTGGTATTATGTTAATAGGGATAGTTGTAATGACAGTGGTTTTGTTACTACTCTATAAATATAAATGTTATAAGGTATGTTATTTTCTTTCCTTTAGTAAGATATAAAGTTCGCAGCATCATGATTGGTGCTTTCTGGTTTGAAGAATCTATTTGGCAACATAATTATGTTTATTTATTAAAAAAATAATGACTATATTTTACTTAGGGCCTAATAAACTATTTATAAAATACACTGTAATTTTTACTGTCAGTATTGTGAATAATATTCTTTAATTCTGACCTGTATTAAATTATTGGGAACAATGCCTTAAGAATATGTATAGCTAATCAATAAGTATTAAAAGGATACTGCTCAAAAGTTATTGGTAGTAGATACATTTTCCAAATTTAAATTTTAGGAAAAAAAAATTAAAAACAAATTTTTGATAATGTATTTTTATGGTTCTATTAAATTATTTTTTTCAGCTAATCAATGGGTGGCTAGTGTTATCTTCAGTCATGCTGCTGTTTATCTTTTCATATATATATTTAGAGTAAGTTTAAACTAGTTTTTTGTTTGTTTTGTTAAATGGTTTCTATCACTAGCTTTGCTAATCCTCAATAACAAGCACAATTTATCCTTACTGATTTGAATTTCTTGCTTTTTAATCAGTGTTCACTTACCATAACTCATATCTTCTCAAACATTCATTCAGTTAAAGAAATGTTATCATTTTTTAAAAATGACTTGTTTCTTCCCTAATTGTAATTTTGATTTAAACTTCCAGACAAATTCTCCGCGCCTATAATGCTCCTATGGATTATATCACAACTGCAATCATAATGTGGAACTTTGGGGTTGGTGGATTGTTTTGTATCCATTGGAAAGGACCGTTACTCTTACAACAAGCTTACCTAATCATGGTAAGTGCCTTGGTGGCCCTCATGTTCATCAAATATTTGCCAGATTGGACTACTTGGGCAGTACTTGCTGTTATGGTCATTTGGGGTAAGTTTCACTCTTGTTTTATTAATAATCAGTTCTTTTATTTTTAAAGAGATCTACATATTCTTTCCTCTAATTTAATAACTACATTTTTTAAATGAAAAAAAAAACGTTTAAGATATCCAATCAGAGTCATTTTATTTGTGTTAAAACCTCTCTACAGCCATTCATTGATTTATTTTGCAGATCTAGTGGCAGTTCTTTGTCCAAAAGGTCCTCTTAGAATGCTGGTTGAAACAGCCCAGACTAGAAATGAGCCTATATTCCCAGCTCTAATTTATTCTTGTAAGAAAATAAATGTCTGTCCTATAAGGGTTAACAATAGATTATTATTTGTTCTAATATTTTAAAAAAAAAAGTATTGACACAATTAAGGACAAAAAGTTAATTCTGTTGCAGAATGCTTGTCAAAAATGAAGAAGAAAAAAGTAAAGTACTCTTTTGAACCTTATAGTCCATGGAGCATGTGAAGTAGAGTTCAGATTTAGGTGACCTAGGTATATGATGTGCAATATTGTGGCTAGCACTATGCCCAGCCCCATTTCTTTCCTTATGAATTAGGTACCCATCAGAGCTGGGTGGATCAGGGGTGTCCTACAGACATGAACCCAGGTCCAAACTTGAGACTTTTGATTTCGCAGCCAAATGCTATATTTGACCATGCTGTCCCTTGTCAAAATGAAGTCAGAATAAAATAGTTTAATATTTCATATTAATAAGTAAAGGCACTAAGTGCTTCAAACTTATAATAGTGTAGCAACCTTAGTATTTTTTATTACAATCAACTTCATGATTCTTACTTTTGATATTACATATAGCAACAATGGTTTGGCAGATAACAATGGCAGATGTGGATGATATTCCAAAGAAACCAAAAAAGAAAAAAGGAAAAAAAATTGATGGTTTGTTCTTTATTTTTATATGTATATTAATTGGCCAAAGATCATTTAAAAATAATTTAGGCAATATATTTTTAAAATTTCAAAAATTGATTTTTAAACTTAAAAATAAAATACCTTCTCCAGGTGCCCATAACATGAACAACTCGTCAACAAGTCTAGAACCTGACAATGATGGTGCTGTTGGATCCAAGGAGCAAATAGTTAATGGTACCAGAACAGAGTTTGAGTTTACAGATAACACAGATTCACAAGCAGCTCGTAGGGCTGTGCAGGCTTTTGGTGACATGACTCAATGTATGTCAAAGTTTCCCAGAATACCTAGTTGAAGAAATGGCCTTTGGCCAGAAACAATGGATAAAATATTCACAAATTCTTCAAACTTCCAGAATAGGCAGTTTATGTGCACATAATTTTGTTCAACAGCAATTAAACATTAGGATAATAGCCACAGGCTAACAACTTTTAAAAATTGTAGATTAGACATCTAATTATTTTTAGTGGGTTTTTTTTTGCACATTTATAAAACAAATTCCTTTTTTATAGTTAAAATAAGATAATTGCTTCTCTTAAACTTAATGACGTTAAAGAAGAATCTTATCTTAAATTTCTTTAAATTATAGATACATAGCTTTACAAGCTATTCCACATCGATTGATTTTCTTATTCAATTAAGTTTAGGGTCTCTTTAGACCCTTATCTATTTTGTCACCCTAGGCCTCCAGCTTGTAAAAATCCTCTTTATTTTTTTTAAGTCCTTTGCATTTTATAGCAAACTCAAAATATTTACTAGTTTAAAAAACTTGAATTGTTTTGATTGTGAGAAGTTTTGCTTCACATTTAAAATACTTGTCTAATCTAATTGATAATTAATTTTCTATTTTGTGTTAGCAGATGTTGAGGGAGCTCAAAGAAATTCTGAGACTTTAGACAGGTCATCGCCTGTTTTAAGTGAAGGAACTGCTGTTGATATACCACCTACAGTTCCTTCTCCTACAGCTGTGTCAGTTACCCTCAGCCCAATACCAGTACCACCACCGATAACATCAAACAGAAATGCCCCAACAGAATCAGATGAAGAAAGTGAGTTAATCAAGTTTAAGTACCGGAACATATTGCTTTTATTAGATACTCCAAACTGATTTTTCAAATCAGTCCTACCAAAATGTCTTTTTTTTTTGCATAGTACTAAGTTTATGTCTGTAGTACAATTAGAAAAAAAATTATGTACTTAAGAAGCAGGAGTGGGTTTTTTTTTTTTTACCTCTTTGGCCTCATAAGTACCCCCTTAGCACCAATTATCTCAAAAACTATAAAAAGCTGTATCCATTCTCTAACTTGATTCCAATAAGAGTGTACATCGACTGAAAAAGTTTTTTTTTCAAATATTTATCACAAGTTTAGCATATAATTTATAAATGTTTTTGTCTTAAAAATCGTATTCACCATTTTCAACAAAAATTTGAAAGGAATGAAAAGAATAAAAGTATCACTAACTCACAAAATTACTAAAATTCTTCTATTGCATCCACAAAATCGCTCTTCATATTGATTTAAAGAGGAAAACGTTCTGTGGACAAAATTATCCAGATAAAAATAAACTTTTGGCAGGCTTTGTGTTCTAGAAATGTATAGTATACATGTCATAAGTGTAAACGCTGTATTAATAAAGCGATGTTATTAACATAAAAAAAATTGAAAAAAAAAATTAAGATTGACTTGGTGTGTCTCGAACCCGTACCACCCGCATGGTATCAATTACACTCTCATCACAGCTATTCAAGCACCTTATGAATCATGAAGAATAAAAGACCCAATTACGAAATTTAACTTACGCAATTTTCAAAGTAAATTTTATCCCAAGCTAACCAATTCCATAGCTAAACAAACATTTCTATAAAATAATTAAGGCCTGAAGTAGTTTAATATAGAAATTTATTATGGGAATAGAATCTAGAGTAGATAGTCCGAATCTAGATCTTAGCGTCTACGTCTAGTTTTTCCGTAGATCTAGTCTAGTTCTAGAATATCTAGATCTAGAATCAAAATAAAGTAAATTTTATAAGTTTAGGCGTACCTATTTGTATTTTTAAGTTTTTGATAGCACATGGGAAATTGGTGCTAAGATGAAAAAATCTGAAATGTAGAATCAAGAAAACTTTTTTAAGCTACTAATGTTGTTTTGTTAGTTACTTTAAAAAAAATTTAAATGCTTATGTAAATTACTGGGCTTTAACACTTTTGAGGTAAGGTTTAGATAAATAATGATATTGTTTTATCTAATCATTGGAAGGCATTAGCCTTAAAAATATTGACATTTTATAACTGTGTTTAAGAAGTATTTGTTAATAGTTCAGTTCGTAAACATTAATTTGTAAATTTATAAACAAATGGAATTTGAAGTTTACATAAAGTTGATAAAACAGCGCCTAGTTGTAATGCTTAAAATACTGAGTTCTTGGAATCATTTACATTAATTGTTTATTATTTGCTTAGTTTTCCATGCATTCCTTTTTTTGTTTTTAGGAGGAGTAAAATTAGGTCTGGGCGATTTCATTTTTTATGGTGTACTGGTTGGCAAGGCAGCTTCAAATGGTGACTGGAACACAACAATAGCTTGTTTCGTTTCTATTCTGATTGTAAGAAATGTGTACTATTACTCATAATGTTGACTATTTGTTACATGTATAAAAGTATTAAAATGAGTTGTTGAAGTTCTAGCATATAAAGGAATTCTAACCCTAGAAAAATTAAGGTATTTTTGTCATACCAAGCCTGTCATTAAACAAGTTTTGATATCATATTTCTAATAATATTAACCCATTTATATTACCTTTTACATTTCAGGGCCTGTGTTGTACGTTGTTGTTGTTAGCCATCTTTCGCAAAGCTTTACCAGCACTTCCAATATCTCTCACTTTTGGGTTAGTTTTTAACTTTGCTACAAGTGCTCTTGTGAAGCCATTTATGGACAGCTTAGCCAGTGAACAGGTTTACATATAACTCTTTAAATATTTTTTTTTAGGTAAATGTTTCATTTTGTGACATCAATATTATGAAGTCCATTTTCTGTGTTTTAAGTTTTAGCCACACATTTTTTAAAAACAATCTAGCGAAGATACAAAGGATGTTTACTTGGACAACCAATTTAAATTACTACAATTTTTGTTCAAAGGTAATTTGTTTCAGATCACTTTTTTTCAAATGCAAGAATTATTTCATACCTAACTTAGAAAGAATTGTTAACTTATAGGATATACCTGGATTTCAGCATAGAGATGAGTTATGTTTTTGATTTATATCAAATGCCACTAGAAATAATTTATAACACATGAAAATAAAATGTAAATATCTGCAACACTCAAGTCTCATGTAGTGAATACTGGATGCATGTAATGTTATAAAAATTGTGTTAATCACTCATAAATATCTTAATAAAGCAATGATATGTACAATATTTACATTCCTTTTCTAGTTGTCTTATTACAAAATAGTATTTAAATACTGACATCTTAAAATGTTTACACACTGCTTGAAAATCAAATTTAAAGATAAATGCAGTTTAACTTAGGCTAATGTCATCTTTAAAAAATAAAATGTTTATACTATTTTTTTTAAAAACAGGATGCAATGTAAATAGCTAAAGCATTAATTTTCTATTAAATAGCTTCTTCTGATGTTGCTATATTCTGTTGTTTAAATTAAATATCAGTTTAATTTGTAGAGATAAAGGAATTAATTAACAGGGACTATTTTTTACTGAATTAAGGTGTACATTCTTATAAGAATTATTAAATGCTTTCTTTAATTATCTGCATGATCAAATCTCTGGCTTAATAATAAAAAAAAAAGTATTTTCATGCTAATTGTGTTTTATTTAGTATTTATGTAATGGTAGGTTCATTTTTGTAAATATATAAAAATGGAAATCAATTAGCTGAAACAAATATTCTATAATTTTAAGATTACTTAAAAGTAAATTTTAGAATGGAGTTCTGCTAAGTGTGAAGACATTCAAAGGTTGAGTGCTTTTAAATGTTTATTTGTAGAGAATTTTTCATCAGCTAAACTGTCAATTAGAACACAGTAGTCAATTAAAAGAGACAACTTTCCTGCTATTGTTTGAAGTTTAAACACAAGGAATGAAAATATGTTCAATGTAACTTTTTTGCAAGCCTCTAGAATATTTGTACACAAGTCACTAAGCAGCACTGGATAAAAGTATTTTTAATAGAATTAATGCTGCTTATAATTGAAAATAAAGCAGAAGTGATTTCCCCTAAACTTTCTTGTATATATTCTTTTAAATCAGTAAAGGGGTATGGCAAAGCTGTGACAAAATTGCTTGTATTTTTTATGAAAGTGCATAGAAAGGAAATTTGTTATCATAATCATTAATTTGCGCATTATATATCGATCTTATTTTAACAATGGACGATTAGTGTTTGATGCAAGCTTGCCATTTGTCGTAAGGAAACCGTGAATTGCTTTATTTAATATTGTTGTAAACTTACTTAAAAATACTGTAAATTATAGAAAAGTATAAATTGCGTCCTACTAAAATAAATTCATTAATTTTTAAAAAAATCATGCAGGATAAAAAACATTAAAAAAATAACTTTATCGAGACATCAGCTAACTAGGCCTGCCCGTTTTGCCAGTTGTGTATTTGAATGGGAAGAAATCTAGCAGACCACACATTTCTGCTGAACAGCGGTGAACGGTCAAACACGTCACAACACTTCTTAAAAACTACCCCCACCGTTGCACTGCGTATCAATCATATTGTAGCCATTTAAAAAACAGGTGTTTTTCACAAATAATTTTCTAGGCTACTGATTAAATTTGATAATTAAAATTGGTATCAAATTATGGTTAAATAAATGTAGTTTTTAAATGTTTAAGTCATCTTGACCAATAATGAAATTAAAATCTTAGTCGACACCCTAATCTAACTGAAACAGAACTCAATAGTCAAGAACCACTTCCAGTTACATGAAATTGTTTAAAAGTTAATAGAACCTGCGCATAAAATGTAATACTTGTATGTAAAATTTCATCCACCTACAAGAAGCTTTCACATAAAGCAACTAAAATATTCTCTTTTAATTCAAAAACAGCATTTTTTATTTTTACTAAATAATTACAAGTTAAATACGTTGAATTTCTTCACAACAAATATGTAGAATTTAAGATACTGAAAACAGTCACAGCCACAGTGGAATCATCTCAGTGCCTACCTCTGCCCCCTCTTCCCCTACCACCTCTTCCACCTCCTCTACCACCTCCACGGTCCTGGTAGTAATCCTGCTGGTAACCCCCTGCATAGTTTCCACTCTGTTGATATCCTCCCTGTTGGTACCCTCCTTGTTGGTACCCTCCTTGTTGGTACCCTCCTTGTTGATAGCCTCCTTGTTGATAGCCTCCCTGTTGATAGCCTCCCTGTTGATATCCACCCTGTTGGCCTTGATTACCTCCCTGATGGTATCCACCTCCTCCTTGGTTCCAGTTGCCTCCAACATCCTTCACTTGAGCATCACTTCCACCCCAACCACTTTGTACTCTGCCACCTCGTCCACTCCCCCGATCACCTCTACCAGCTCCAGCATCTCCTCTTCCACCCCGACCACCACGGTAACCAGCTCCACCACCTACAATGTGTAATGAAAAAAAAAATCACAAAGGTGTTCTTCATTTCTACAACCTGTTAAATATTGTAATGAGCAAAATGTTATACCTTGCGGTCCTGCATCTCTCTTTGTGAATGATGGCATTTCTGGTGGAGGTGGTTCTAGCTCCCAAGCTCTACCTCCACGATCTGGTACCTGAGAAGCAGCATAATGAAAGGTATGTGTGAAATGAATTGCATTTCTTTCCCATAAAAGTGTGTGATTGGTTCACAGGCAAATCACAGCTTCAATATGTAGTAAAAGACAGTCATAAGTGATTAAGGCAATATAGGTGAATACCATCTGTGGATGTGCAAATTAGGACACAAGTAGTCAATGTTACTGCCTTCTGTTAAGGGGGAAGTATTACCCTGACAACGGAAAATTTATTTTAAAAATTCGCCAAAAAAAAAAAAAACAACTATTATACTACACCCATACATTTTTTACCATAGTTATTAAGGTCAATCTGCTATACAACAGCATAAAATGATAGCCCAAGTATGATGCAAAAATTGTTAAAAATATAATTTGACCCAAAAAATGTTAAATATTTAGGTTTTAAATCTTTCTGAAAATTGGTAAAAAGATGTCATTATCATCTATTGCCAGAACTAAATCAAATGCATTATGATAAAAAAATTTTTTTTTTCAAATCTGATCAGAATAAGATAATACGCATTAAAATTTTAAAATTTCCACAAAATTCAAATCGTACTACAATGCTATGGTTTTAGTTCCAGCTACTATTAGAAAGCCATGTTTCAGATAGCTTCATTCATGTGTTGATAAATTGTGAATACAAGAAAAACAAATACATTTTGAAAAATATGTTACTCATTTTAGTGTTACATAAGCCTAAACATTTTCCAAATTCCAAACAGATTTTTCTGAATATTGTAACAATGCTGACTAACAGTAATATCTATAGCCTGAACTAAAGGAATCTCATTGTGATGAAAATTTTAAAATTTTGATAATATCACACAAAACTGACAAAATAAAAAAGTTTAAAGTTTAAAAAACATTAATTTTACATTAGAATGGTATAGTTGTAGTTCCAGCTGTAGGTTCTGTTATTTTGATTCTATATGCCAAATTTGAAGTACATTGGCCAATGGTTGAAAAAGTTGTTTACAAAAGAGTAAAAAATATTTTAAAAATAGAATCTATGTTAAACTTTTTATGGAAATATTTTGATTTATACAATTACATGCAGAATTTTAGCTAATGAATCATAATTACTGCTGTAAAATTTTGACAGCTGTGTGCCTTATAATTTTTTTTATTATCTTTTTTGTTTCTCTTTCTTTGTATGGGTGAAACTGCCCACTGTAAGTTACTTAAGTTATTTAATCTGTAACACTGAATTATCTTCTCAACTGTGGGAATACCGTTTTGGTTTTTAGGACAAATATATAGCAAACATTTCATAATTCGCAAATATGATCTCAGTAAACTATGGGCATACTTACATTACCAATCAGGATTTTGTTTATTGCACACTTTGTTTTTTCTCTAGCTTCACCACTACTTGTTTTTTGCAGCCTCGTTAAGTCTGCAAGCGTTAAAATAATTGGATGTTAATAAAAGGTTATATAAATAAATATATATTAATAAGAATATTATTATTAACTGATGATTCAATTTATTGACAAACTAAATTTAAAAAACTGTAAAATGAAAAATTTCATGTGCATTCTGTCAGTGTAAAATATGCATAGTCAATGACTCCAGCTAATAGCAAAGTTTGGCTAACAAGGGATGAAGTATACAAATCATATTACCATCTCTTGCAGCAAGGATCTGAGGTATGCCAACATCAGTTTTAGATATCAAGATTTTTCTGATCGGCTGGTAGACTTCAGCTATTTTATTTTCCTTGTTCTGTAGTGTAAGAATTCAAAAACAAACTCATTAACTTACACTATAATTACAAATCAACTGTCATCTATTTACAAAATTAAAATTAATTATTAAGTATTTATCAGATAACAAAAATATGTAAGAGGTCCTCACCTTTGCTAATTCAGACCATTTAAAGGACTGTATTGTAACATCCAATCTCTTCAATAACATATCACGTCGAACTCTGTACTCATCTGACAAGAAATCATTAATGGCTAAAAGCTGTGCCCACTGTTTTTCCGACAGCCGAGACTTCAGCAGTGGCTTCCCTGCTAGGTCTGGATTTAGTGACAACTGTTCTTTTACCTAATTTAAAAAGAAAATTTTAGTATTAAATATAATTAAAGTGATACCCCAAATATAAAACTGCAAAACGTCATGAAATTTTTAAAATTAAAGCCTGTCTGTACTGTTTGATAAATAACTCTATAACTATTATAAATAAATAGCCATGGTTGAGACTTAAATGATCAACTGATACATTGCTAAAAAATATTCTTTGACAATAGTAAGTTACAAAAGTTAGCTGTAAATTATTTTTATTTAATGACAACCATACAGCAATTAAACTAGTCTTAACTTTAGGGTAAGTGACAATTTTACATTTTGTTTTTCAAACCTTTGTTTCAATTTTACTAAATAGTTGAAATGCTGTAATGGTAGGTGGTGGCTTACTAAACTTCAATGCCAACAGTGCAAGTTTTAAACGCTTAGCTACATCACTCTCTTTCTGTAATCAGACAACAGATTAACAAGATTTAACATCAAAACAATCTATAAAGTGTATACTACTAGTACTAATGGATTGATGGCATGGAAGAAAACAGTATATTACAGACAACATAGGTGTATATGCCCCCTCCTTCCCCAAGTCAATGTAGTAACACAAATACTTTTAAACTAGGAGAAACAAACTTGTAAAGTACTAAAAGAACTAGCCAACTGGCACAAGTTGTGCTTCTATTTGCAAGTGTATTAACTTTAAATCAGGTGCCTGCCCATGATATCCTTATTATGGCAGAACATTATAATACTTCATAATTGCTTACTAGTGACATTAGAAAACACAGTATACTAATCAACAAGCAATATTTTCAACACTCAGCTGTTTTTTTTTCTCTTTCTGCTTTATAATGGTGTTGGACCTTTGATATGGCAGGAAACAGATTAGTACCGGAAAATGCATATTCGATCTTCGCCGTTCATAAACTTTCTAACCAGACATCGTTCGGGGATTTTGTTTATACTGATAAATAGAGCTATGTTTTTACAAGCTTCGTTAGCAACATTTTTGTGGAATACGTTTTTTTATGACATTTTGTGCCGCGGCGAAGGATGCGAAGTATGCAAATCTAGACGGAATGGATCTACTTGGAAAAGTACGTGTACTGCACTAATAAGGTAAGAAATACTATTTTGTAAAAATAACTATTATTTTTATGGATTTTTCATTAGAAATGATTGCTGTAAATTATGAAAGTAAAAAAAAAGTATATTTGAATGTGTTTTTTACTTTAATTTGAACAAAGTGAATGGCCATAATTACGACACATCGGCGTCGTTGAAAGCGGGGATTTCAGTTAATTTTTTACGGATATAAAATTGTATTTTTTTCCTCCGAGGCATGTACTTAAATAACAGTTTAGTTAAATGTATTTAATTCTGTAAAATATAAGTATTATTTTGCCGTAGATACTTTAAAAAAATTTTTTTATGATTTTCTGTCGGGGAAAATCGATATTCGCACCATGCACGCACGCGTAGTAAAACTAGACTTATCTTTAAAACACGAGAATCTTGAGTACACTGCGAATAACAAAGTTTTTAAATTTTAGTTTACTTTTGACTTTAAGCCATTTGTTTTAAATCGAAATTAATTGATAATGTAATTATTTCAAAGTAAAAATTTTCCGTCTGATTGGGTTCTAATCTTCGCCCACTGAACCAGCCTACGCACGACATTCGCGCGAGTCTGTTTCTTCGCAATAGTCTGTATACTGTATAGTGTCGAGGGCTAATTCTAAAAAGAATCGAGTCCTTACTAATCCAATGTTTATTAAAATTAGGTACAATTGTTGGAACGCATGAGAAATAACAAATTAATATTTCTTTAAATCTATAGCCAAAAGAAAGTAGAACTTTGTAACTCTGTAAATTATGAATCGAGTGACGGCTGTCGTGAAAACGGGAGCCATTTTACTCTTTTTTTTAGGGTGACCTACTTTTATTATATAATTTTAAAATTCATCGATTTGATAAGCAGCTGAGTAGCTGACTACGCATGCGATATGGCTGGCACGTTTTGGGATAGGGATCGAGTACACCATAGAATTTTTTTTCTTAGAACTAAGCGTATTTTTTTTTAAATCAAAAGATACTTACATATCAGTTGTTGATTTCAATTTCATTATAGATCTAATCACTAACTTCAGTTTTTAAAAGTGATTTTGCATCTAGATCTAGTGTATTTTCAAAATTACGTAAATCTAGATCTAGATCTACTTACTATTTGACAACCGTGTCAGTAAAATGAGGTCAGCGCTTCCAGATTCTTGGGTTTTAATTATGTTTGTCATTTTGATCTATTATAAGTAGCATTAAAACAACTGCATCTATTATCAACATTGTTTTTATATGCCAGTTCTAATTATACATTCTGTTCATTACCAATTCTAATGAAATCGTATCAGGCCCTAACACCCTGTTCACCTACACTCCTACACTGACACTACACTTGAAAGACGCCACAGAGAGTCGTAACTTTAAATTAATGTTTAAAGTACTAAACAATTATAATTAGCCATGTAAATGCTGCAACTATATTAAAAATTGGCATATAGACATATTTTATTAATTATGTTTTTTATATAGACCTTCTATATTTAACTCTGTTATTTTTTTCTTCCCCAGAGTGTTTCTAAAAGCCAGAATTTTAAAGGGGAGGGCGGTCGTTTTTTTTCTCAAGAATAATTATAGAAATAAGCTATAAACTGGTATATTTTGTAAAGTTTGACACATTTACAAATAAATGTATGCCTAAGTGACATTTCTGTGTAATTATATTGTTAATTTTGTGAATTTCGTGGATTTTTAGACCTCACTACATTTAGATGTAAAAAAAAAATCTCAGTTGAGTGAGTGTGGTTAATCTACATTTTGAAAGTGATGTAAATGTCTAGTGCTATTAATTTTTATATTTTTGAATTCCTCGATTGTTAAGCAACAAAATTGATATATAATATGTCAATAATTGTTACTTTGAAAATTGGCGAAAATCGACCCTAAAAGTAGATGCTTGAGGGTTGAATCTGTTTCCTGCCATATATTAGGCAGTCTTTGGATTGCACATGCTGAAATTCAGTAATGTTTACACTCACCACTTCTGAAATTTCATTTACTCCCTTGGATAGTGTTGACAGGGCTGCTGGCCTTTTAACTGCAATAATTTTTACTGCAGCGAGTTCTGCCAGCAGATAATCTGCGCAAGGTACAAAGTAAGAAAAAATTGTTAATTTTTCATTCAAGTCAAATAAATGCATTAGGATCTTTTTTTAAAAAAGCTACAGCAGAAAACTACAAGTACTAAAGATAATTTACCTAATAACTGTAGACATGCCTTTCTGGATGATAACCTTCCATCCATGGGTCCTTCTGTTAAATTTTTATATGGACAAGCTAATGGAGAAATCAGATCAATTACTTTCCCTTATTTTTAAATAGATCAACTTAAGAGTTAATACAAAAATGTGCAGGCCAACATATATGTATTCATATAAGGTGCAGAATAATAACTAACAACTTAATTAAGCTAACGTTAGAAAAAAACTTATTTTCATTTTCAATAAGACTTTTAGGTGATAGAGTTAGATCTAGTAGCAATGCACTTACAAAACTCTCTCAAGAAACCACTGAGTTCCATAAGAAAAAGTTCAGAGTCACTTGGACCTGAAATAAAATAAACAGCTATTTATGTTGAAAAATCTTACCTATTTGTAATTTAAACTCTGTAGTGTCCACATACCTTGAATGGCCGAAACTTTTGCATCAATGCTACAAAATACTGATAACTGTGATATTATCCATTCTACAAGCTGTGTATAGGCCACAGATTTAGCCCCTGTATCTACAGCCTCCAGCAATGCTTTCTGTTCTAAAAGTGGACCATCATATCTGCAAGGTAAAACAAATGTGTTATGTAATACATGACCACCATGGTCCAGCAGGGAAGTGATCAGACACATTAATACCACTGCTCCCCCCCTCATGATTTCTCACCCCATGATACACAGCACCCAACTGTATCTAACCCACCATAAAACTTAGTCTCTTTGTAGGTAACATGGACTTAGTCCTTAGATCTCAGCCAACCAGAGATAGCATCTTATATGTCATTTATGGCCCTGAGGGTCCAGCAAGGAGAACAAAGGGGAAATCAGTACCAATGCTCTCCCTTCAATCAACATTTCTCACCTCCATGTCATGTCATGTTATGTAATAGCACACATGGCTTATCAGGGGAAAGCATCAAGGTAGATTAGCTAGTACCTCCACTTTTTACATCCAAGAACTCAAGAACCTTAACTCTGGACAGCTACACACTAAGTATACTAATGTGACTACTGTAAACAACTAGACTGTTGGCCCTATATGTAGACCTGCAATTGTATCAACTGTGGACCGATCTCCAATGGGGCCTAGTGATAGTTGGTATCATTTAAAGTGTGTGTACACAGCATTAACTATTTTGGGGTTAGAAATTAATTATTTTTATTGTGGATTTTGGGGGTATGGCTATACATTCTAAATTAGACCAATTTAAAATTAAAGTAAATTTATTATTATTTTTATATTGTATAAGATAAGTTAGAATAATTTTGCATTAACTTTAATATTAGAAAATACTTGGATTAGCAAAAATCTTTTAAAATGTTCAGGTGCTAAAAAGTGTGCCTCACTTACTTTAGTGATTAGTGGCCTTCTTTACCCCTATTTATCATAATTTTAATCCCTGTCCCATTAATTAAGACAACTAATAGGCCTAAACACGAAACTAAAACTTTAGTTGGCTAAACAGCGAATATGTAGATCTAGAATCTAGATGACAAGAAATCCTAGGTAGGCTAATGTGTGTAGAGTAATGTACTGTAGTTATTGTAGACTAGTAGAGCTATGCGCATCTTTTACAAACATGTGAACTTAGGGTCAATTTTAAAAAATTTCAGAATGCTTTCTACAGAATTCAATAATACCACATAGATCTAGTCTCTGCGAAAAAACATTTGGATGATTTTAAATACCGATCATAGACTCTTCCATAAAATAGATGTGTTGGGTTGTTCGTCGTGTTGTTATCTCGACTAATGTCCAATTTTATGATTAGAAATTAGGGTTAGGCGTATGGTAAGACCAGGGTTGGGGTTAGGGCCAGGATTAGCATTGACGTTAACCAGCCATGTGGTGTATTTTACTAATTTAGTTAGTTAACTGGTGAACGGAAAAAAAGTCACAGGAAAAAGTCACAAAGGCAAATTTTTTTGGGAAAAAAAGTTACAGAAAAAAGTAACAAAAATCTTTTAATAAATATTTTTGTTAACTGTTGAGGATTGTAAAATTTTGGGTGTTTATTAATGTGAGTTGTTTTTAGCATTTTTGTAAACGATAAAAGCATTGTGGTTTATAACACTAATAAGTAAAAATACTGTTACCTAATTTACACAGCAACCACAACTTTTGTAATGAATTTAGTTAAATACACTCTAGAAATGTTAATTATAAACGAATTTTAGGCATATCATTGTGTTTTGCATGGTTTTTTTGTTGTCATTCCTTGGTCAGCTTCTCCTCAGGCGGCCTTGTCCGCCCATATTGTGTGTTGTTGATGTTTTGCGTCAATGACAGCCTTTGCACTGTGTTGAGTTTCAGGTTTGATCCTTTCCTTTGTTATGTAATGAGCGTGATAAATGTGGGCAGTACAGGTGGCTGACCTATTGTTGCAATGAGTTGAGGGCAGCAAGTCACATTAACTAATTCTTAATGGTCTTAAATGCCTTTTCGTGCCATTTAAAATTAGTATTTAACAAATACTATGAAAAGGAGAAGGTTGGAACATTTATTTAAATTCTATTAAATATTATATTTATATGTGTATAAAAGTATAGTTAGTACTAGATTCTATCTATACTAGATTCGGTAAAACTCCATTTTAGCGTATTTTATTCCCCCGCTTCACGTTCACCTCCATTTGAGCGTATTTTATTATAAACACACCGTGAGTTCACATTGACTTTAATAATAATTATCAGCATACGTCATGTAGCTGTTTGAAATTGTGTTGGCCTCAGTTTTGGGGTCATTGTAAGTTCATAAATGATTATTTATAGTATCATGCCTGGGAGATACTTGGAACAATACAAACTTAGCCGCCCTGCAATTGTGAGTTACGTCTACGTACTTCACCCGTTGCCATGAAAATTCTAACTGACACACGAACATAGCACATTCAATATTCAAAATCTGGATTTTTCTCAAGTTTTGACAAAGTAAATTATCAAAATCTAAAACAAAGCCAGTCTCTTTGCTTTTTTAAATTCATTTTCATTCATTTGTTAAAATAAAAATACAATACAAATAAATAAATAAATCGTGTTTTCCTAATGTTTTGGTGTGTTTCGATTATTATAATAAAATACGCTCAACTGGAGGTAAACGAGAAACGGAGAATAAAATACGCTAAAATGGAGTTTTACCCTAGATTCCATATAGGCCTACTATATATCTAGTATATAGATAGATCTAGTAGGCCTACCTAAAGGAATTAAAACGTAAATATACTACTTCACATTAAATATTTACGTGTTATAAATTTCACTATAGTATATTAGTAGGCCTATTTGTGACTTTTTTTCCTGTGTTTTTAATTCCTGTGACTTTTTCCTACAGTAACAAACAATCAGTTAACTCAGTAACTGCAGTAACCTAGTCTAACGCCTTGCCTTAAAAACAGCTAACAGACACTACGTACACAGTACACCCCTTTTTAAGTTTTTTTTAAAGATTTATTCATTATAGGACACCGGTATAAAAATTCTCCCAAACATTAATTGCCCGCGTACCCTAAATCCTCAAGAGAATCAAGAATATCGTTCTCCATTGCCACTGGACTGCGGCACTATCAAGCTGTATTATTAGGACGTAAAATTTTTTGCTAGACTGTAACCAAGCTATTGATAGATTCAGATATCTAGATCTAGGCCTAAATGGTACAGGAAGTTGCATGTGGAAATAAATATTAGACCAATCTTTTTACCAGCTTTCTTTGCTGCGATACAGTGATTGTTTTTTAACAGAATTTCAACGAATACAACGCACAGGATATTGTATATGCAGAACAGTAAACAAAAATGGCTACCGCTACGATGAAAGAAATTGTTGCGTTGTATCAAAATTTAAAACGTATATGGGATAGTAAGCCACAAAATTTAGAAAAGTCTGGAGAACTTCTTTCCAGACTCAAGGTAAAGCTAAAATTGCTAACTGATATTTGTTTAAGACTAGCTAGTGCTTGTACATTTTGTCTTGAATCGCGATGACTTGACTGAAAATTTACTCAAAATTTTCTAACCATTCACGAAGTCGTGACTAAGTGAATTTGAAATCCTACCTTCATTCTAGGTCTAGATCTAGAATCTAGTATGCATAATTGAAAAATTAGCCTGATTAATATAAAATAAAATATAGATTTCTAGATCTACATAAATTTTAAAATTAACTTACTATCTCAACTAGAGTAGTATAGCAAAAAAATCCGGTCCCTATTTTCATCGGGCGCTATTTTGTACCCGTTCCACACAGAAACAAACTGAAAGTACCGTGTTATTCCGCTGCCATTCTACTCTAATATTTATAAGTCATTTTGTATTCCTACGCATAGTATTTGAGATATTCATGTTTTAGTGACGTGCCTGCTTGCGATCTTTTTTTCCCCTTTTTTTCTTGCCGGCGGTCACATTTTCCTGTTGCGTAACAAGCGTAGTTTTTTACGTTTTGATCCAATTTTAATAGCTAAAATAAATAATTTACACCTTCAAACGTGTTGTTGATTGTATTATTAATTAATAGACTGCAAAACCAAATAAAAAACACTTTAATTAAATTTATTAACAACACATCACGGATGACCCAGTGATAACTCAAGGGACGCAATTTTAATAATCATAACAAAGGGACGTAACAATTACTAACAAGACAAAACCTAACATTTGCTTAGATATGCTTGTATATGGAGACACAAACTAGTTCTAGAAGAAGTAGATGATCGAAATAATTTAAAACCACAGAATAATGTATAAACTATACAGATTCTAGACTTAGCTTGAAATATAGAGCATCTAGATCTAGGCTAGTCTAGCTCAAGTCATTGGTTACGCAGCGAGGAAAACGACCCGAATCCTCAGCCCAGCTGCGATCACCCCCATTTGACCTCTCAGGTTGCTTTAGTAGCCTTAGCTATAGTATTTACAGTGTCCCACACATATGTAGAAGCTATTTATAGTTAACCTAATTATAAACAGCTTTGATTGGTTGGTTTTATTCGTCTCATCCCGGACCTAGTGCTTTCATCCGGGGGAACTGGGATCACCGGCTGACGTCATACCTCAACTTAAAAATTTAAAAACTTGTCTTCCAGAAAGGGAAAACAAAAGAACTTGACCTGGATATATTTAGAAATGGACATGCTTACAGCAGATACCGGTAGTTTCGTATAAAGCATCCAAACAAATATTATACGAAGCGAAAAACTGGAATGTGATCGCAATATGGCTTTGACCGCGTGAGGAAATCTACTCTAGATCTAGACTAGAGTGAAGTTCCACAACCGGTCACACATAGCGAACTCCCGACTTTCATCGGGCGCTAATTTGTAACCGTTTAACACAGAAACAAACCCAAAGTACTATATTATTCCTCTGCCTTTCTACTCTTAATATGTATCAATCATTTTATATTCCTACGCATTGAATTTGAGATATTCATGTTTTAGTGACGTGCTACTTGCGATATTTTTTTCCCCTCTTTTTTTTCCCTGCGGCCATCTTAACCGGCTTGCGCAACGATCGTGTTTTATACGTTTTAATCCTAGTTTAATAAATAAAATAAATATTTTACACTTTTAAACGTGTTGTTGATTGTATTATTAATTAATAGATTTCAAAACCAAATTAAAAACATGTTAGCCTAATTAAATTAATTAACGACATTAAAAGTTGACCCAGTGATGACTCAAGGGACGCAACTATAATAATCATAACAAAGGGACGTAACAACCACTGACAAGACATAAAGTAATATTTGCTTAGATATGCTTGTATGTTGAGACACAAACTAGACTTAGAAGAAGTAGATGATCGAAATAATTTAAAACAGCAGAAAAAAATAGAAAGTATACAGATTCTAGGCTTAGCTTGAAATGTAGAGCATCTAGAACTAGGCTAGTCTAGCTCAAGTCGTTGGTTACGCTGCGAGGTGAAACCACCCAAATCGACACCCAAGCTGCGGCCACCCCTATTCACCTATCAGGTTGCTTTATTAGCCTTATCTATCGTATGCACAGTGTCCCGCACATATTGTAGAAGCTATTTATAGTTAACCTAGTTATAAAAAGCTTTGATTGGTTGGTTTATTCATCTCATCCGGGACCTAGTGTTTTTCATACGGGGAACTAGAATCGCCTACGACGTCATACCTCGAAACTTTAAAATTTAAAAACTCGACTTCCAGAAGGAGAAAAACAAAAGAATTTGACCTGGATATATTTAGAAATGGACAGGTTTACAGCAGATATCGGTAGTAGTTTCGTATAAAACATCAAAACAAATATTGTACGAAGCGATAAACATGCGATGGCCGCACCAGTGTTTTAACCGCGCGTGGAACTTTACTCTAGATCTAGTATTAGAACCTAAAGATTTCCAGAGAAACCTCATGTTATTAGTCATATTTAAAATTTTAAACATTCTTTTACAGTTGTCACTCACCCAAGTTGCATTTCTACCAACAACAGAGGCGTCAGTGACTAAGCAAGAATTGCTAATTGCTCGTATGTATATTTTATCTTTTTATGTGCAGAGTTGGGGCAAAGCGTTTTACTACCATATGATTTTACTAACTGGGTTAGTGTTAGTCAGCAAAAATATCAAATGTGATGTAAGCTGTAGTTGTATGACTTCTCCTTTAGATATTATTGTTCCTGTGTAAGTTGACACAAACTTAAACTGAAATACTTGCAAAAATACATTTAAATTCCTGCACAAGTTTTCTAAAAACCATGAGCTTAAGAGTTTGGTCTGGGGTGTTATTCTTAATGGGAGTATTATTGGTGATTTTGTTTCCAAGAATTAGAATGCAATTTTTGTCCTCCTCTGTCTTGGATTTGAGATCAGAGCAGGTTATCATCTGTTTTACTAAACATGATTTTTATATTTTTAGGAGATATACTTGAAATTGGAGCACAATGGGCTATTGCTAAAAAGGATATTCCAGCATTTGAAAGATACATGGCCCAATTAAAATGCTATTATATGGATTACAAGTAAGTAATTATAAATACTTTTTTTAATGACTTGCACTTGATAATCCAATCATAAAAACCTTTTTCCAAGAAAGACAGTTAACAGCCTTATGTGGATATACATGTTTAGTCCAAAACACAACTTGGTTACAACTCACATTACAACGATCAAGCCTCAGCTTTCACATTTTATTGTCATCACATTTTGTCTAATTGTATTTTAAACTTTTTTGGCCCTACCAATATTAATAATAAAATTTCAAAATTATAATATAATCTATTATGTATTTCAATTTACCCCATAATGGCAAAATCATATCAGTGTGTTCTTTAAACATTTTTTTTTTTAAATTAAAAATTGTGTTTGATATTAGATATTAGTTCAAGGATAAGGATACTTTATTTTTAAAAATGCACTACTAGTTATTTGAAACATCAATATAAAAAATATAACCAGAAAACTTTGCTGTCACATTAATTATAATGATCTGCAATATTAGGTTTTGTATACTTTTAAATTGAGTGAAAATGTTAAATCAGTCGGAATCTTCTTTTCCAGGGATGACCTTCCAGAGTCTGCATTCAAATACCAGCTTTTAGGACTGAACCTTTTGTGTCTACTTTCTCAAAATCGATTAGCAGAATTTCACACTGTGAGCTCTAATTCTTTAAAGAAATTTTTAAGAAATACCATGGACAGATTTACCATATAATTTTGTGTATATTATTTGTATTACAATTTGTGCTAAATGGAACAGCAGATTTTTAAAAATAAGTAAAAATGATTTTCTTTAAAAGTGTAATAATTCTGAAACAAAAATGATATGAACAAAACATGATTATGCATGTCAAACGAAAAAAATAGGGCTCTGTTACTTGCAAAGATGATTTCATCAATTAAGTCAACTATTAATAGTATTAGAGTTATTTACATTGAAATTTATATGACGGGTGGGCATTATTCATTTTCTGTTGAACAGTTAAATAAGTCTGTTTTCCTAACTTCAACTGGGTATAATTTACTAATGCAGCTCAAAATGAGCATTTTATTTTTCTACCCCATTGGGCGCTGATCTTGGGTGGTGCCCAACCCTTCCTCACCTTGTTGCGCATCTGTGTCTGTTCTCTAATTTTATAAAAATTGAAGATGTTTTAAGTTTTTTTCTTCTTCAATACATGCTGCTAGGAACTGGAACGGTTACCTGTAAAGGAGATTCAGAATAACATTTATATCAAACATCCAGTAAGCATGGAACAGTATTTAATGGAGGGAAGTTACAATAAGGTAAAAAAAAAAATATTTTAACATTTGCATGTTTGTAGTTTGTTAAACTTTGTTTGGCTAAAATGTCAACAATACCCTTACAAATTTCACTTTGACGTCACCCACCAAGTTAGATGAGAAGCCTTCAGTCATTATTATTGACCTTAATTAAAAAAGCTTTTTGGCAATTTTGCCTTCTTATAGGCCTTAAAAAAATCAATACATAAATAATCGAAGTTTTAAAAAGATGCAAATGCAGAGAATTGGAAGGACTTGTTAATGTTTTTTTTATCTTTTGACATCAAAAGTAAGAAACGTTTTGATTGGCTATATCTTGTGGGTTTTATGTCTGTAAAACCCATATTTATATGAATGCCATGAAACTTTGGAAATTTGATAAAATTTCTCCTGGGAAAATTCCTGCAAAATATTTTGGTGGCCAGAGTTCAGATGTGCAGCTTAATTCAACTGCCAAACTGTACCTGGTGCATCTGTTGGCATCCCAGCTGTCATGTTACCTGGAACACCCTCCACTCTCCTATGATAACTATGGCACCTACATTCATTTTTAATAGCCCCATTCAATAAGGACATGGTGGGTCACTATAATATTTGACTAAATTGAACCAGGCTTAACCTGGAAATGGCATCTAAAAGATCAAATAAACCTGGGGACAGATGCATGAAGTGCTCTTTTCAGCTGCCCAGGAGTTGCGATTGGTTAACCTAACCCAACCTAGCACTTTGATGAAACGCTCTTAATATGTATCATCAGCCTTACTTTTGAGACTGCAGCAACACATATGCTAGCAAACATATACTTTTAAATTTAGGTAACCTAGATCTTTATTTGTATTTTTTCAAGAAAAAATCCCCACCAAATATTGCACTACTGAAAGCTAATACATGTGCAGTTGTGCAGTTAGTAACCATCAACAATTATTAGGTATCCAAAAACAGATTAAAGACTAAAAATAGCTAGTGTCACGATACTTATTTATGGCATGCTTAATTTTACAATGTGATAATTGGGAAAAAATTATTTTGCCTTTTTAACATCTTTCTTTACTTCTAGAAAATAACATTAATTTACATCCATATTCAATTCATTTCCTGACAAATTTTAGGTTTTTCTAGCCAGAGGAAATGTTCCAGCAGACAACTATAACTTCTTCATTGATATTTTACTGAACACAATCAGGTTAGAGGACGAGCATTGTTTATCATATTAACTTGTGTAGATTATTTACTGAACACAGTCAGGTAGATAGACTGAGCATTGTTTATCATATTAACTTGTGTAGATTATTTACTGAACACAATCAGGTAGATAGACTGAGCATTGGTTATGGTGTATTAGCCTGTGTAAATTATTTACTGAACACTATCGGGTTGGTAGACTGAGAACAGAATGTATTTATTTCAGAGATGAAATAGCAGGGTGCATAGAAAAAGCATACAACCGTATTGGTCTTAATGAAGCTGCCAGAATGCTTTTCTTTGAAGCCCAAAAACCAATGAAGGAATATGCTACTCAGGTACTTATATTTTAACAATAATTATAAATTATGCATTTTTAATAATCTTTTCCTGCTACAATTGTGTAATATTGTTTATATATTTTTCAATCTAATTACATAGTTTTAAAAATATTTGTATGTTAACTGAGATTTTTATTTTACAGAGAAAATGGAGATTAGAGAAAGACTTTTTTCACTTTATTCATGAAGCTAAGGATGCTGATCACACCATCCCTGCCAAAATATTAGCTACACAAACCATTGAATATGCCAGAGAACTTGAAATGATAGTATAAACTTTGATGTTAAAGCCTTTTTCATCTGTTTTATTTAACAAAATTTGACATATTTGATTTGAAAGGAACTTTCAATTTAATAAAAAAAATTTAAAAAGCTTGAGATTGTAAAATGTGACGGATTGTGTTAAATTTCAAACAATGGATTAATTTTAAAAAGTGCATCTGTATAGCATTAGAAGCATAAATAAGGACATAAACATTTTGAAAAGAAAATATGATTGGTCAGTCTGAAAGAGTTTAGTGGTTTTTGTGTGAGTGAAGTTTTGTACAACATGCAGGTTTTGAACTTAATTTTATTAAACCAGACAATAAAAAAAATGTTTAATAGATCATGTTTGTTGTTACCAGTTCACAAAAAAATACATTAAAAACACCAATTATTTCTTTATGTACCGGTATGATTTATTTTTTCTATATGTATAACAATCCAAACACTATGACAACACATGTAATTGAGATCAGGCCAAAATGAAGTTAGAAAGTCAGTCCGTGCACATTATTATTGTGATGGTTAAATAAACTATTCTGTAAATCTCTTGAATACATGTGACATTTAACAAATATTTCCAAAAATTGCGTTTTGTCTTGAGGAACATTGATAGATGTTTTATTTAGACATAATAGTCTAATAAACTGAATGCAGTTGTTCAAGAAAATGCAGTTTATTAATTTTAGTTTGAGAAAATAACAGTCAAAATGATTTAATCAACTATCATATTTTATTTCAATACTGAGCAGGATGTCACAAAGATGTGACCATTCAAATTTTTAAAAATAACACCCACACAAAATAATCTAAAAATCACATAACAAATTTCTCACTCAAGAAACTACTTTCATATTTAGTTACACCTCGTACTACTATCTTTGACACAGAAAAATGTGTACATTGTGGTTTATAGAAATTACTACCCCAAATCCACAAATCTATTTTTAAAAAAGGAAAAGTATAAGAGAACATGACAAATATCATTCATTACACCCAAAGAAATACCCCAAACATGAAAAGAGAATCCAGAAATCCCAAGACAACTCAAGCAAGACAAATGTCTGACTTGTATTATATATAATTCATATACATTTTTCAAATGCATTAAAGGTGCTATGGTTGAACTAAAACTGAGAGTAAATGTTTTAATAGTTATTTTTTTTAAATAATTAAAACTGTTTTGGTTTTAATTAAATTACTTTATCAGTATCAACATCCTTTGCTGTGGAATGTTTACAGTGTGATGGGTTCACCAACATGAATTACTTCATAAAGGTATATAGTGTCCATAATTGAATACAGAATCACTGAAATTAAAAGAAGAGTCTCATGACAACACACCAAGATTAGGTTTCATTCTCACAATGATAGATTAAAAGCTGAATAGTACTGTAAAATATGAAGGCAAATATTTGGTTATAGAAGAAATACAGATGTGGAGGTTAGTAATGTGAAGTGTTTATACACTCAGTTAACAGGACTATAATTAAAAGATGGTTTAAAACATTGCATGGTAAAATAATGAATGGTATGCAGTATGCAGATTTTATTAATTTTCATTACCATTACTGTCAGACCTGACTAAAGCCAAACTCGTGTTATTACCACTTAATAGAAACTGCAAGAGTTATGTTTTCTTAATAGCCATCTGAAATTTAGGTAACCTAGATCTTTATTTGTATTTTTTCAAGAAAAAATCCCCACCAAATATTGCACTACTGAAAGCTAATACATGTGCATAGTTGTGCAGTTAGTAACCATCAACAATTATTAGGTATCAAAAATAGCTAGTGTCACGATTACTTTGTTTTTAGCAGTATAATTATAGTCCAAAGTTGTAATATACTAAATAGCTAGATCTAAAAAAATATCACATAGCAAATTATATCTAATAAACTTATCTACTTGAGATTCCTGACAGCCTCAGCTCCTCATCTTGATTGACAATTCTATTTACTTTTATTTATTAAACAATCATGATTTTAAAATAATACTTCATAAAGAAAGGCATCATTTTTAATATTTGTGTATAGGCCTTGTTCATTACTACATAAATATGCTAACATAAAATGATTCAAAATATTTATAAAACACCCCTATTAAAAAAATAGAATCTTCCTATAAAAAAACAGTTTATAATTAGTTGAAATTTGTTTGTACAAAGAGCACAGCCTTAACAATCTTTCTATTTGCCAGAACCTGTAAGTTTTAAAGCATATAGTGGTAACTGAGTGACATAAGTCAAAAAGTAAAATCCATTAAAATAATTTACTAACAATGGGTTATTACAAAGCAAGTAAAGTACATATTTTTTAATAATAATACACTAAAATAACACTTCATACTATGTACATTAAAAGTCTGACTTAGAGCAATCCAGGCAAGTAAGTTGCAGTCCTGTGGATTACATTAGGGATCTCCACCTCAGCAATACATTTCAGGATTGGCCATAATAAAGATGTCAGTAAACAGTCCACAACTTTTTTGCTTGTTTTACCAAATAATTCACAATTTAAAACAAAAGTACGGCCAAAATTACTTAACATGCAAATCAATAATTATTAATGCTTGTGCCCAACCGCTAATACAACTGGCAACAGAGAGCCTAATATTAAAGCAGCAAGTTCAGTAATTTTGAAGCCCTTTTGATCTCGGATTATGACTGTCCCATCAGCAGCTTTATGCTGAGTTTGACTAACAGAAATTTCTGGCAGGACATGAACAGTTGCCACATATAAAAATGTTCCTGCACTAAACAACATGGCGATTCCTGTTGTTTGCATACTTGATAAAGTTTCTTTGCTTTGCTGTAAAACAAAAAAAGGTGTAATAATTTTATAACTAGTAAAATATAGTTTGAAATTCATGTATTATCTTATAACCACTAGGATACTTTTTATACATAACATGCAGAAAAGACAGTAGTATGCAAGGTTTCTGGAAATGGCAGTGTGGGGTTTTATTTTTAAACAAGTTTTTTTCTATTAATGCATGAATGTGAAAGTAAGAAGAGCTAATAATAGAGAAACCTATATACAATGTCTAGTCAGCTTACCTGGCTTAGACCAAAGTATGTAATAATTGTTAGCAGTGGTGCGGCAGCTGAAAACACTGCTAGATGTTTTCGTATTCTCGTACGGTCTAAGCCCTCATGCATTAAAAATGAAACTAAACCAAAAGCAGCCGGGGCCTGAAAATTGATTTTAAAAATTAAACAATAATTAGACCTTAAGACAGTACTGGAAAATAAATTTTGTAAATATGTACAGAAAATAATTGCCAACAAGCATAAAAAAAAAACAACCTCTGTTCTATCAATTACAAAAAATGCTTCTAAAAAAACAAATCAAAGAAAAAGATCCAAGGGTCAGTGGCAATATCTTCTTTAAAAAATACACAGAGAAACTACCTTATGCAACATTATAGCCACAAAAACAATCATGGTGATGTGAGTTTCAGACAATGTAATGGCAGCTCCAAGAGCAATGCCATCAGCTGAAGATACAAATAAATTATTGCTAATTCAAGCTCAGAGGGTTAAAAGGCTATTCCATTTTCAGAATCATTTTAAAAAGCAACACTAGTAAATCTTAAATAAAATTGCTAAAGAATAGTTAAGATGTTTTTCTTTAATATAATGATAATGCCCAAGGCTGTCCAATTAAAGTTATGAAAGAAGAAACAAAATATTATTTTAAAACCTTAATTGTAAATGCTGACAAACCTGCTGCATGAACTACTAGGCCCAGAGTGGCTGTAATTTTGTTTCTGTTTTGAGAATGCCCTGGGGATTCAGTATCAGTGGGTGCAGAATGAGAGTGCATACTGCCACCTATCTGATCAACAAGCAACATGAAAATAAAGCCTGCTACAAGGGTAATGCCAATAATAGAGTGAACATCTGATTTACTATGGTCATGGTGCTCTTCATGCTGTAAAATAACTTCTTTGGCAGCTGGAATTTCAACTGGTGCTTGTTTTGGGTTAGACGCTGGTAATAATTTATCATGTTCTGCTTCCCTCACATGTTCATGAGCAGCTTCATGACCTGGAGATAAACCCATAAACCTCATTAAAAATACAGAAAATGAATAAAATACTTAAGAAATCCCTCTAGGTTCTTAATTATATTATTGGTGGTGATTTCCTCCAACATATAAAGTATTTCATATCAACATGTTATGCATTATACACAAGTCAAAATTGAATTGTAAACCCAGCAACAAAATTCCATGAACAAACCAGACATTTTAAGAACATTGAAAGATCAAATACCAATATTTTTCATAATATTTGTAATAAAATTTGCTAACATGTAATTACCATCAAAATCTGAGTACATAGCATGAACCCCTTCTGGAATTATAACTGCTAAAGCTGTTCCTACCAACAATCCAGCTCCAAGAACTGTGACCAATTTCAGTTTCTCCTGCAAATATTAACAAAAAAATTACCTATGTCTATGAGTACACACATACTAATAATAATTTATTATGAAGTTTTGTGGTAGCAACTCTTAGTTCTTAGCCTCAAGACTTCATTTAAGTTTAGGCAAAAAAATTTAATAAATAGACCAAGACATCTATCTTATAGTAGTCAGTAGGTAATTAATAGTAAAAATGTAACCTATAATTATTAATTAACTATGGGCGGCTAGATACTAAAGTAGAACCCAGTTTAGTAAACATCACTCTACTATTGAGTGATGTACAGTCACAGTAGGCCCTATGTCAGGTCTACTAAAAAAATGTTAGTTAATTTTAATCTAGTAACTAAGCTTTTAGCTCAAACAAACCTAAAAACAAAGTAACGGTAATGTATTGAATAATATAAATATAGGTCTAATCACAGAATACTCTGTAATACTGCCAACAAATGTTACAAGTTACAATATATAGTTATTTATTATATATAGGCCTAGATCTATGATTATAATTATAATGAAATGTATTATATAAATCTAGGCCTAATTAAGCATAATTTTTAAATCAACAATGTCAACAAACAGTGAGGAGTGCTCAAAGACTAAGTTTAAAAGTTGAGTAATATTTATATATATTTAATAATATTTTAATAATAATAATAGGCCTAATAAATACTAATAAGGTTTAATTGCTATAAGGAATTAATTAAATGGTAGGCCTAATTAGATAGCATTGTGACTTATACAATTCATGCATAATTAATTTAATTATCATGTTAATTCTAGCTGGAAGAAGATGTGCATGCTATTAAGGTAATTGTGTTTTGCATATTTTGCTAGCCAAACTAGCTCTGGGGGGGAAGAAGCTTCTTCTGAAAGGTCAGTTAATAATTATATTAATTTATTTATTATGACTTTATGAGCATATCTATATATATAATTCTCTTCTGGGAGCCTTTAGAAAACAAGCGCCTCCTTGCAGTCCCTTCTCTTTCTCTCTATCACTACCACCCCCACATTGTCTGGTGAGTTGTGGTCACGCTAAATGTTTACAAATCGTAGAGTCGGGTTTCTATTAGGGGCAGATAATTTAGTTCGATTTTAAACTTACAGGAGGTAACTAAGAAATAACTAAGAGGAGGCTGCTTTCACGGGGGGGGGGGGGGGGGGGGGTGGTAGGGTCGGGGTTAGGGGAAAGGGGGGGGGGGGGGTAGTGTTTTAAAGCAAATATTTTCAGTGGCAGCATTGGTACTGTCGAATTCACAAATTATGAATTACTGAAAAGTAGAAAATAAAACAACTAAATAGCGGCGTATGATACGCTGCGGGTCGGCTCGTTAACTAATATTAACTTAATGATTAATGGGGGCTCACATTAATAATTAAAATTTTAGGCCCTAACTAACCAAACTTTACTTACTAAACTAACACTTTTTGGTAATCTATCGTTTTAGTTTTAGGTACGTAAAATCGCCAGCGGCTAGCAATGTACGAAAAAGTTACCTCATTGTCAAGGCTTTTATAGAAGTACTAGGCATGCTGCCCAGCTTCGCTTAGGCTTTCGAAAACATTGAGAATTTGAATGCTTAATTAATTCGCCCGAAGGTCGGTCTACGACCTCAAGAGTTATGAAGAGGTTCCTCCGTGGACATTTTTTTTCGATTTATAGCTCATATAAGGTACCGGTCAGTCGAGGTCAGTTTTGACCCCCACATCGTAGACTTTTCGGCCAACCGCATTAAGGCAAGATCATGCCAAATTTGAAGCGCCTGCGGCGCCGGGAAGTGCCCTATCGGACACCCGACAATCTAGATCTAGATCTAGATTTCTAAAAGAATTTTTTTTTTAAGTTTAGCCCGAGCATAATAAAAAATAATACATTAACCAAGTTGACTTGCTGTGTCTCGAACCCGCACCACCTGCGTGGTTTAATGTACACTAACATCTTCGCTATTTAGGCACCTTATAAAATACTAAGAATGAAACACGTATTTTAAAATCTTAACTTACGCGAATATGCCTATTCTTTCAAATTAATTTTTTTTATCCCAAATTAGCCAGTTCCAAACAAAGATTTTGAATAAAATAAATAAGTCTTGAAATAGTTTAGTCATAATATAGAAATTTATTTTTGGAATTGATTTTAGAGAAGTTAGAGTCTAAATCTAGATCTTAGCGTCTACGTCTAGATCTAGTTATTGCGTAGATTTAGATTTAGATTTAGTCTAGATCTAGAATCTCTAGATCTAGAATCCAAATACATAAAATAAATTTTATGAGTTTAGGCCGGAAAAATTGTATTGTATACATTTCATAGTGTACGTAGATCTAAATCAAATTTGAATGAAATAGTTCATTTCTTTTCATTCTAAACACGGCAGATGACGTCATTAGTTAATGTATAAGCAATAGTGACGTCACAGTTTTATGCGTTCTTTTTCACATATATTAATGCTTTTCCGGTTGCATAAATAATACTGTTTCTCTATATTCGAATACGCCTTTATTTTTTATATTTCTTCTTTAAATAATTTTGTGGATATACATTTAAAACATCTAACATATTTTTTTCAACAAAAGTCCGTAAAAAGTTCTCGATATATCGCTGCCGATTCTGACGTGATGTCCGGCGAAAATTTTTTGCGGACAGAGAAAGAGAGAGAGATGTGCGAACGTGGGGATTTATATATTAGGATATTGTGATATATTTGTGTCAAATATTATAGATAAATGAATAATAAACCTAAATCAATGGCTAAATAGTAAATATATCAATCATCATCATCATCACTCCTTTATGGCCCCTGGGGAGCAAAGGGCTGCAACCACACATTTCCAGCGGACTCGGTTTTGGGCTGCTCCTCTAATCTGTGCCCATGAGAGCCCAGCTGTTTTTGCCTCTTCCTCAACCGTTCTCTTCCATGTTTTCTTTGGCCGGCCCACCCTCCTTTTCCCCTGGGGATTCCAGTCCAATGCATGTTTTGCGATGTTTTCTTTTTCTTTTCTTAACGTGTGTCCGATCCATCCCCATTTTCGGGCCTTAATATCTTTCTCTATTGGCTGTTGCTTTAAAATTTGCCACAGGTCTTTGTTTGATATTTTGTCTGGCCATCTTATTTTGAGTATATGTCGTAGGCATTAAATATATCAATATAGGCAAGAAATTAACTTTAAACAGCAGTGTTTGAGAGCAGGATTTGCTATATAAAAAGTGGCCATCTGTAAGTTATAGTGGCTTCTTCTGAATCTAGCGCTATAAGTTAACAATAAAAAAAATAAGATGGCTGCTAGATTCTATAGTAAATGAGCATGGTTGCATCTGTTGGAAACATCGCTAGTCTTCAATTTTTACTGAAAAGTTTTAATTCAGTTGTTTAAAAATAGGTATATAAATGAGACAAGGAAACATTTTTGTATTTTTCAAAACATAAATCCTCCTCAAAATGTGAAATAATTATTATAATTTAAGGAGTCACCTGTTTTTCACATTAATAGTCGCAGGCGATTTTACGTACCTAAAACGATAGATTACCCACTTTTTATAGGCCTATAAATCCTAGATTCTATAATTTTAAAAAATTATTTAAAATAACACTACCTACCTGCTCTACGCTCAGGATGTGACCAGACAATGAAAATTGAAAAAGGATAGGCCTAGTCTACTATTTTTGTTTTCTATTTAACTATTTAGTTAGGCCTAGATCTAAATGCCATGGAGGTTTGCTAAATAACATATAGATCTAATCTAGGCCTACATAGATTCTATTTTCTTTCTTAAATTTAATAATAATTTTCGGTAATCTATCATTTTAGGTACGTAGAATCGCCCGCGGCTAGTAATGTACGAAAAAGTTACCTCATTGTCAAGGCTTTAATAGAAGTATATTGTGATAAATTTGTGTCGAATATTATAGATAAATGAATAATAAACCTGAATCAATGGCAAAATATATCAATATAGTCAAGAAATTAACTTTAAACAGCAGTGTCTGAGAGCAAGATAAACAGCAGCCATTTGTAAAATAGAGTGGCTTCCCCCTGAATCTCGCGCTATAAGCTTATAAAAATAAAACTTAAACAAGATGTAAATGAGCATGGTTGCATCTGTTGGAAACATCGCTAATCTTCACTTATTACGGAAAAGTTTTAATTCAATTGTTTAAAAACAGGTACATAAATCATAATAAATGAAGGCTGCGGCTATTCGTACTTCACTACAAATAGCCCTATGAAGGCTATTCGTACTCTGACCAATCAGCGTGAGGCATTGTTTCTGTGATTTTTCATGTTGTGTAGATCGAGAACTAATTATTTTTCAGATCTAACCTTATCACTAAAGTTAAACCTAACCCTATGCCTAACCCTATGGCTTGACCCTAATCCTTAAATAAATTTTAAAAAAGAAAAAAAGAAGAAAAAAATCTCAGAATCAAAGGGAATTAGAATAGAACCCACGCCCCGAAAACAAACTAGCCAATGCACAACCACTTCGACCACCGGTACAGTTACAACCAGCTTCATAATGTCATACACAAGCTAATAAAAATAATAAATTTGATTGGTCGGCTAAAAATAGCAAAGTACGAATAGCCTTCGGAGACACTTTCTAAATGAAACAAGGAAACATTTTTGTATTTTAAAAAACATAAATCCTCCTCAAAATGTGAAATAATTATTAAAATTTAAGAGTCACCTGTTTTTCACATTACAAGTCGCTGGCGATCTTACGTAGACTACCTAAAATGATAGATTACCAAACTTTCTCATTCATGATCTTACCTCTGAAAGTGAAATAGTTAGCGGTATTACTCCTGCCAAGTAACAACCAACTAACATAGCAAACGATAAACCAAGAAGAGTTAAAACATCATCCATGATTAAGAGATGTTAACACAATCAAATTGCACAAGGTAATGTGTAGTACTAAAAGTAATACTCCATATTCTTAAACACGTAGACTTCTGTACTTAGACTATACTACATTTGTTTTGAGACCAAAATGATGGCAGCAGCGACTTCCGGTTTTAAAAAAAAAGGGGGGGGGGAGGGGGGGACTAGAAATTAGTAGGCCTAGATTTTAGATCTAACTTGCCTAACTACAGCAACTATCATTCTTATCTGTTTGGTGAAAGTAATGAGATTGTAATGTTAGAATCTGTTTTAGTTTTAGGGCTAACAGGGTTTAATTATCAAAAGGGCCTAGTGTGACCGAAACAATATCAATTACAATAAGGCATAGGCTAAAGATATCCCCTTGGGCTACTTCGTGAAGAAGGAAATCCAAGCTATCCGTGTGGAGAAACATTAGTCAGCACATTATTCTCTGAGTCCACCGACATATCGTCTCTAGGGCCTAGTCTTCATCACGTGGAGTCCGTAGGACTAGGATGGATGTGACTCAGGACTGTATTAATTCGGTCAAGGTTTATTTGCCCCTCGCAACTAATAAAGACAGCCCTGGCCATGAAATACCGGACTGGGTGAGACCGAATAACACCCACTTTCCGTCGTTAGCGGACTAAGAATGTAATATATTATCTACTATATTAGCGTCTCCGTTGTCTTTCAGGCCTCTATTCGGACTGCCCCCTCCTGTAGCTCGTCCACCGCCCCCCCCTTCCCGGATCAAATTTAAAAAAAAAATAATGGTTAATTTATACCTATAGAAAATGTTTACTTTAACTAATGCCCCCCCCCCCCCCAGACGCTACAAGCCCTCTCCCGGTAGTTTCAAGTGGAAATTTTAAAAGTATTCACAATGAAGTATATATTATATAACGTCATACAATTTTAGCTGATTTTAAAGCTTCCAATCCTTATCGTTGTCACAAAAGCAAGAACAATTTTTTTTAAAAATCATATTTTAACCAACTTTCCCCACTTAGCACATTTTTACTCTAGTCCGAAGTCCAACGAGATGGAATTTATATAGAAAAACATACACTTTTACTAGTGTCCGCCCCACCCCGAAAAACTGTACACCGCTCCCCCGAAAATATCACGTCCCCGTCCCCCCGGAGAAAAAAGTCTGGAAGAAACACTGCCCTCCATATGCATGATACGCTTTTTGTGGACGTCCCTTAAAAGAATAAGCTAACAGTTGCTAATCAATACACTGTTTGATGTAACTGATAAGTAAAAGTAGTTTAAACTGTCATAGCTTATTATTAAGTTATACAGCATTTAAAGCATGTTACCCATCATATTTGGCTTGATCTATATCGCCTAAATTATTTTTTAGCTAGACTATTCATTTTGGACACGTTGACTTTTAAATTATAATAGACTAGATCTAGATCTAGTAATATTTTATATGAATATTCATAAACATATTAAAAATCTGTAAAAGAATACTTTTTAAAATGAAAGTTTTGATAGATTTATGATTGCTTTTCGTCTGTTTTTGTTTTGTCGGTAAATATAAAGACCTAAAGTCTCAACAGCTACTTTCTGTACAGACACTTTGCCTTTACAATTTATTACAATGGTGGGTACAATAATTAATAAACTATCTGCAAGCGATTGCTTAATATTTCATTGTAAAACAGAAGACAATGTCAATAAAAAAAGCTTTGCATTATTTATTTCTAGATCTAGACAAGATCTAGATCTAGAGTCTAGCTAGAGCATCAGCATAAAAAAATTTATAAAAAGAATGTTAGTATTGTTAGGTGCTATGCCGCAACCAATTATCGATAATATAAATAAATGGTTAATCTCTATCGCTTTTGTCTTAAGTGTGTAAAATCGGCCGAGGCTAGTAACGTGAAAGAGTTGCCTCATTGTTAAGGCTTTAATAGAAGTATATTGTGATATTATATTTGTACCAAAGGCCTAATAATAATATAAGAGGCAGTGGTAAAAACAAAATTAAAAAAAATCAGTAAGTCAAGACTAGTCAAGAGTCAAGAGGTTCTTCTGGGCAGATTTTAATAAAATTTATATTAAAGTTATCTTCCCTTTGCCTGAATGCTACATACTAATCTATACGGTAGGCCTAACCTAATCTATTGTTAGTTATTGTTAAAAAGGTGACTAATTAAATTTTAATCTGCTCTAATCATTTCGCAATTTTTAAAAATATATTTTAAAAAGTTAAAAAAACGGGGATGATTGTAGATACTAGATATTGCTATCTGACAATAGATTTCCGGACAATGGTTGGTGTTATACACTCTAAAGAAACTCACTTAGACCTAAATAAGTCGCATTAGGCAGAGTTTTTTAACCCATTCAATCCCATAACAGCCGTATCCGGCCGCTACCGCGTCAATCCCGCAACGGCCAAATCCGGCCGCAAAATACACGGCTCAGGCGTTGATAAACAGCTACGGAACTGTAGCCTATAAAAACGAAATCTCACGTCTGCGAGACTAGACGAGGCCAGGGGAGATTACTAAAAAATTTAATTTCAATTACATTGATCCATCTCGGAGATATCGTAGTTTTAAAAAATGGCTTTCAATTTTCTTACAAGTTTGATAAATGATGGCGCTGGACCCTCTCATTTGGATGAGGATATTGATCAGTTTGATAACGATGAAGAGTCTGATGTAGACTATGAATTAATAAATGATGAAGAAAGTGGGAATGTGCATTTTAGTGATGATGATGCTAGTTCTAGTAGTGATGGTGAGGGCACTAGGCCAAGAAGGAATGAACAATTCAATGAAGATGGTGATCGAGACTGGTCAACGATTTTGACTGAGGTACAGCTTCACGATTTCGTTGAACATGTTGGACCTTGTACTACAATAAATGCTGATGATTCTTTCACAGCATTTGATTACTTTTCAGTATTTATTCCTGAAGAGTTTTATGGACACTGTGTTACTGAAACAAACCGCTATGCATTGGAACGAGCTCTTATAAAACCAGATACAACATGGAAGCCTGTGGATATTGCAGACATCAAACTGTTCATGTACATAAACTTTATGTTTGGCATTCATCAGTTGCCCCATTATAAACTCTATTGGTCTACAAATGACCTACTAAATGTTCCAGCAGTGTCCAAAGTTATGTCAAGGAATCGATACGAAGCAATTGCTAAGTATTTTCACCTGAACAACAACGCTGTATTTATACCTCGGGGGACTGTTGGACATGATCCTATTTTCAAAGTCCGACCACTCTTTGACACTGTCCTCAATAATTCTCTTAAAAGTTTGAAGCCAGAGAAGGATATTTCTATTGATGAAGCAATGGTAGCCTACACTGGGAGGCTTGTGTTCAAACAGTACATAAAAAATAAGCCAAGTCCCTGGGGTATCAAGTTGTGGTGCGCTGCTGATCCACATTCTGGTTATTTGTATAACTTTGATGTGTACATGGGGAAATCAAATGTGAAAATGCCCAATGGACTGGGTTATCATGTTGTTTTTAAAATGGGTGAGCCTTTCCTAGACAAGTACCACCATTTTTACTATGACAACTATTTCACAAGTGTCAAGTTAGCTGAGGACTTGCTTCAGAGAGACACTTACTCGTGTGCGACCATTAGACCCTCACGAAAAGGTTGGCCTAAAGAATTTAAAAACCTCAAGCTAAAAAAGTCAGCAACTGAAACTGGAGTCCGGTTTCGACAAATAGGAAACCTAGTTGCTTGCTTTTTTCATGACAAGAGGCCAGTGCAGGTTTTATCTACAAATGCACAACCCACTATGTCAACAACACAGCGAAACACTGCTGGTGGACGTGTGGATGTGCAGATACCTACACCAGTATTCACATACAACAAGGGTATGGGTGGTGTAGATCTACATGATCAACTGAGATCATACTATCCCATTGGCAGGAGAAGCAGGAAATGGTGGAGGTCTCTGGTGTGGTTTTTACTTCAGGTTGCCACAATAAACTCTTACATAATTTATAAAAAACAGTTTATGCAGAGACATCCTGGGCAGAAACCTAAGACACACCTAGAGTTTCGCCTTGATCTTTGTCATCAGCTCATGGCTGGATCTTCTGTTCGGCAACGTGCAGCAACTGACATCCCTGCAGCCACTGGCACAACCACACTGGACAACACAAAACATCAGCCAAACAGAATGTTCGGCAGGAAAAAAACATGCTACGAGTGTTCTAGGTCTAAAAGAAAGACCCCCACAAATAGGCCCATAGAAACCTCTAATGGATGCCTCCTCTGCAAAGTACATTTGTGTAAAGGACATTGCTTTGCTATATTCCACAATAATCTATAACTATAATAAAAATGTTCTTTGAAGGTTTATGTGACTTTTTACTTCAATTTTTTCTGTCATTACATCATTTGATTGACTGGCACATAAATTAATGCAAAACAAAATTATCAAATGATAATCTTTCATGTGGAGCATTCAATACTTAATACAATGCACTTTATTTCTTGTATTTATGGTGTAAGATAGAGTTGCTATTAATTTTTTCCTGAACCAACCAGTGTAAAGTGCGGAGTTATTCCCCTTTGGCTGGGATTTCAGAGTATAATATTTCGGAGTGGCCGGGATTGAATGGGTTAAGATAAAATATTTTTGCTTAGGGCCTATGAATTATGAAAATATGAGGATTTTGCAATATAAAAAAACCCCATCCCCCTTCATTATCATTAGTGCTTATTAATTAATTAGCTTAATTGCAATATGTAAATTATGCTAATTACTTTATTAATTGTGGGTTCATTTAAAATTGTTTTTTTGCTTTTTTTTGGAAATAAGATTTTTATTTCTGGAAAAGACTTCTTAAACTGAAAATATTAGGCCTATTCTGAACTCCTTCTTCTTCGTTCTTAATTTTTAGTGTTGGGAGGGATTGAGCCTTATCTGCCAGAGGGTTTGAACTCGAGACTTTTTTCGAATTTATGAACCATGAGCTTTGCCGACTCGACCATGCTTCCATCACAATTAAGGATTACGTTCAACTGGTTATGCGCCATTGAGGCCATTGACTCCGATTTCAGCCTGCTTTTCTTTTTGGATTTGCTTCCATAGCCTTTGTCCAACCAAGAACAAACTACAAGGCAGCAGTTGTTTGATTTTGGAATTGTCTCTCCTAGAAGAGTGGCTGTCCCCAGCTAACGAGCCTCATCTGCCCGAGGGTTCGAACTCGAGACTTTTCGGTTTAGCAACCATGAGCTTTACCGACTCGACCACGCCGACCCCCTATTCTGAACAAATTAGGCCTAATAATGATGTTAATCCAACAATAAAATAATTTGATTTAAATTTTAGAAAGATTTTAAGTTTATTTTTTTTTGTGGAGATGGTTTAATTTTTAAATTAACTGATTCTAAAACTACCTAAAATAATTATTAAATCCATTTAAACCCCTAATTATGTTGGGCTCTGCATCAGGGTTTGTTATACAGAGATTGTGAATACATTTTCTGTTATTTTTAAGAACAACGATGATTTGTGTTTTGAAACATGTGTAGGGGTCAGCATGGTCGAGTTGCTAAAGTCGCTACTCGAAGAACCCAAAAACATTGCATAAGATGAATATTCTCATGTAGATAGCTATAGTCTGTTGAGCAAAGCCAGCTCAGATCTCTGTGTCACCTAAAATATTTCATTTAATTTTGTTTCCAGTCTCATACAATTCTTCTGGTGCAGCCAAATCAGCGTCCTGAGACAAGAACCTACTCAGACTATGAATCTCTAAATGAGTGTTTAGAAGGTAGTGTTTATTATCATATTATGATTTTTACTGGTTATTTTGGTGGTTAGGTGAGAGCCAGGTTTGTCAAACAGCCTTAAAAAATGCAGTTTTCGCCCGTTTCGCCCAAATGTAGTTGCTTTTCACTTCATAGTTTCTATAATAAAAAGGGCTCGTATAGTAATAAGCTTGGTACCATTAAAAGTAAATTTTAAGCCCTCTAATTCTGCATAGTTTTTATAGTTGTTGATATTACATAATATATCTCATTTACCAATTGAAAACTATCACTGAGATGATTTTTAATTGGCAGTCAAGCAACAGATTTTGACCCCTCTACCATTCAACGCGCTGGCCTTTTTTGACCATTCAACGTATTTCTTTACAAATACCTGTAAAATGTGCAGAATTGAATAGCCTTTAGTGGGATACTAAACACTTTATGCATTATAGATTAAGTATTTTAAATGTTAAAAAAACAAATCAAATAGAAAATTAGTATGTGATTCTGATATGGTAAACATTATTTATTACCATTTTCAAAAAGGTGGTTGTTTTTTCTGTTGAAACAATTAAATTGTTAATAATTTCTGAGCATGGTCAAAAAGGCCTAGCTCTACAAAGCACACTATAGCAATCACTCACTAAAATAGCGCAAGGCTCAGTAGAAGAAAATGGCAGTTTTCTACATTAACAACGCACCACCAAGCTTTTCTACATTTATGTTAGTTAGTTTTAGAAGCTTGATAGTTCAGAAAAAAAAACAACTTGTAGCTACTTAAAAAACAGGCTTGTTAGTCTAGTTTTATAGTTTATTTCTTCAGTTTATAAATTATTATTAAAGCTATTGCTCTGTTCTATATTACTAGTAGTTATTTGTTTGTATATTTCTAGCCTTATTTTAAAAAAGGGAAGTCATTTTGTACTTATAACACACATTTTATAAAAAAAATCAATTTTGGTTGAAAAATATGCTTCCTGGCAACAAACATTTGGAACCAGCTTTTCGAGCCTATTTGAGCAAAATGTGCTTTAAATACACATTTCCTACAATAGTAATAGGTTTTTTATTTAGGATTAATATTTGTTGCTTCTTTTTTTTAAAAATACTTTTGTTTTACACCTCACATTAATTGTTTCAGGTATCTGCAAAATTTTTGAAGAACATTTGAAACGCCTGCACCCTCATGATCCTTCTATAACATATGACATTTCACAATTGTTTGAGTTTATAGATCAGTTGACTGATTTGAGTTGTTTGGTGTAAGTATTTAGAATTAAGTAAGATAAATAATGACTCTTTTAAATAAATTATACAACAGATAAAAAGTGTTTTATTTTGTCTGACTGAAACTATTAGTTGAAACAATTTAATTAATTATTTAAACTACACACCTATCATTTGTCACTATATATTAATCAAAGGCCTGTAAATGTATATATATATATATTTATTTATTTGCATTACATTAGGGCATTGAATGACTTGTTTGACCAATGTCCAAAAAGCTATACATTACCAGTGTATTGTTTATTAGGAGGCCAATGTGAGCAGTAACCATGTTGTCCTTGCAAACCTTCCCGTATAGGTTACAGTGTGTTGGCTTTTTAATTATTCTGGCTGCAGTTTCATTGTATGTTAGTATACCTAGGTTCATGTTTGAAATGGGTCATGATAAAAAGGGTCTTTGACGTTACCCTTATTGAAAATACCTATGTATTGGGATACCAAAGAGAGAGATAGTTTCGTGTGTGTTTGTAAAGGGCTAATAGACCTAAAAAAAATCCACACCCTTGTTAGTTTTCTAATTATGGGCTACTACTTTAGGTAATAGCCCTCCCTAAGATGACAAGGTGAGACAATCATCAAAGAACAAAATCTGTCCATATGCCACTGGATGGAATGTTCAAAAGAGAATGTGTGAACAGTAGTGTTCAAACAAGTGGAGATGATGGTGGGCTTCTTTAACCATACTTTGCCAACAACAGGGGAATACCAAATAAAGTAGAATAAATGGTCAGCAGCTCATGCTAGTTTGCAAAATCAGGGTACTAAAGAAATATCACTATGAACCATCACTACTTCACAACTAGCTGGCCACTGTCCAAAATCAAGAAAAAGACTTGACATTGGCCAATCTTGTTAAATTTTCATTTAATTGATTAAAACAGATTGAATAGAAATGGAATAAATGCCTTCTACCAAAGTACACTATGAAATAAAAGAATTAGTCTGGGAAATAGTATTTAATTTAAAAGATTGCAAATATAAATGTTGATAGTTATATTTTAATGTGATGACATCATTTTTATAATTTTCATTTCCATACTTGAAATAATAGAATATCTTAATAACATTCTACAGATTTCAGAAGTCTTATGGTACATACACCCCACACAACAAAGATTGGCTGAAAGAGAAGATCTATCATATGTTAAGGAAACAGGCTGGCAAATAAATATGCTGATGATTTTCTTAATCCTGCTATAACTATTTTATTTTTGTTTGTCATACTGTTTGTCACTTTTACTTTGATAATGATAGATTGACTTGAAATATTCATTAGGTTAATTATGTAAGTATTCAGTTTTACCATTCATTTTTTTATTTTCAATTTCTGATTATTGTTTATAAAAATTAGGGACATTGCTACAGTTTGTTTTTTATTAAGATAATGTTAAATTTAAAATATCTTTTTGAGACTAAAACTTAAATAGAAATGTCAAAATTTAAATAGAAAACATGTCAAAATATTGTACCATTAAAGTTATTTATTCTTTATGTGTAAGTAGGCTATTTACTTTTGAAATTGCCAAAACAACATTCAAGTTTTAGGTTTGAAGACAATGTCCTTGTTGTTTAAAGACATCATTTCACCCTTTTTAATGCACAACCATTGTAATAAAAGTTACCATTTTAACAATTTCTCTTGAGTTAAAAATTTATAGTATTCATGTTTAAATGTGTTACTTTATTGCTATCTAGTATCTCTAAATAAAAGTAAAAATGTCCCCTTGTGAAAACAGTAAAATCTGTTGGTGCACATTACTCACAATTTTCCAGCAAGTTTAGATTTACGAAGCACTAAGCATAACAAAAAAAAACAAGGAAGCAATTACACTAATAAATTAAAGCCTTGCAAAAAAAAAAAAAAGTCTAATTTAAAACAGAACCACAAAGTAAATAACTTTTAATATAAAAAAAATCATCCTAATGAAACTAGTCAAAATAGAAAGCAGTTTTAAAGTACAAAGATAAACAGGTAAAGAGCAATGTAGTTTCTTGGATTTTAAAGAAAATGTAGGCCTTTTTTTAAAAAAGCAAAATGCACTGTATTTTGTAAAACTTTGGCTTTTGTGCATTAAAAATATTTAATATAAAATGGTTTACATATAAATAATATAATATTAATTTGAGACAGAAATAATTTAAAATTTTTTTTTACAAATACAAGAAGTTTTTATTTAATACTAATTTCAAAATGTAAATTATGTTAAATATTGTTCATACCACATAGATGAAATTCAAGTTTCTTCACTATCTTACTTAAAAATATGCTTACTACAAATTTAAAAAAATGTCTCTTAACTTGGTAATAAATTTCTGTGTTATGATAAGAAAAATAATTGCTTACAAATAATACAAGCAGTTTCAGCAGTTTAACGTATTATTGGATCAAGGTAAGCCTCGAGAAATTGTTTTTCTTCTATCTCCTTGTATTGGACTGATACTGAAGCACATGTAAGAAAACTAGCTCTGTCAAAATTTGTGTTGGTCTGTAACACTTTAGCTTTACCATCTTTCACAAAAACAACAAAACTATTCATGAAATCCACCACTGGGTAGACAACTGAACAGTATACCTTGTATTCAATAAACACCTGGTCACGCGGCAAAAAACGCTTGATTGTTTCACTTCGAACTTTGGCAAATCTACCATGCAGGTTACTCAGTGGGACACACATCGTGTCCAGACAAGCTGTTAACTTGTGGTTCAAGAAAAGTGAGCAAACATCAAAGAGTCTGTCACAATCAATGTGTGGAGTTACAATGAAAACTCTCCCATCTTTGTCTGAAAACCAGAGATTTAGGGCTGATTTCCACAATCTGTAGAGAACATTCCCTTGAATTACACGTCCAGACTCCAGTTTCTCTATTTGTTGAACAGTTTCTTGAAAATCCAACTGAAAATTAAAGAAAAACAAATAATATAATTGTAATGTAAAAAGAAATGTCCTGGTGTTCATACATAGAAATGGATAGCTATTAAACATACCAAATCTGCTATTGGTGAGTATGACTCCAAGTCTTCACCCTTCAGAAATCCTTCTTGATTAGAAGGTTCGTGATAAATGTTCTGTGTGCCAGCCTCCATCACATTGGTATCTTCGTGTAAAACATTGTCGGGCCATATTTCAATAGCTGAAAGAGTAATGATAATATTTTATTTATAAATAAGAAAGCAATAATTGATCTTTTTTTTTTGCTACTGTTAAAAAAGATATACCACTGTTATAAGTATATGTAGTTTCCTGTTTTTATTACACAATGAACCAAAATTTTAGTTTTGACAATTAGTTTACCATTTACAGCAGCAACTGGCTTATTTAACATGATGATATATAAAAGAAAAAAAAAAATTTATTGAAGATTTAGCACTGTTCCAATGAGTAAAAAAATTACAGAAAAACTTACCACGTTTGTAGTAATTTTCTTTTTGTTTTTTAAGGGCTACCATTTCAGCTTCAGTATAATGTTCTTTAAGCTCTTTAGAAGAATGTCCTGGTGGTGAAGAGAAGCCATCAAGGATACCCAAAAATCTGCTAGCAAACCAGTCTATAACATGTGGGCCTCTAAGAATTAAACATCCAGTAGCAAGATTTATAATGATAGATAGTCCATCAATTTTAAGTTTCAGCTCATATTCACTCCCTGCTTTATAGAGTTTCTTGTATTGATATGAGTGAACCTGTAATGTTTATTTGTAAAACTTTGTGAGCTAGTAAAAGTTTCAATAGTAATCCTTCTATTTAATAAATAAACCAAATGCTTAATATAGGTTTGTTTAAAAAGGTATTATCATAGTAGGTATTAAAAAAAAAAAAAAAAAAAAAATCTGACTTACTGGATAATTATTTGGGTGTTGAAATACATGGACCCAAAAAGACCCCAGTGACACAGAGCCTCTTTTACTCAGAGGTCGCAACTGAATAACATTTACTGTTGCAATATCTAAGTATATTTTTTCTCCTGTTTTAGAATGAATGAAATTGTTGATTGTTTCTTCAAAGCCTACTGCTGCCATGTTGTCGGTTTACTGAAAATCGTAAGAGGCCCTAGTAAAAAAAATAAAATAAAATAAATACACAAATATATAAAAAAATAATGTATACAAAATTATAGAAATCTAATTAATTAATTTTGTAGCAGTAGACCTATATATATATATATATATATATATATATATATATATATATATATATATATATATATATATCTTATATAGATCTATAATAATTAATATAGATCTATAATTAATATAGTAATATAATTCAATATAGGCCTACTGCAACAAAATTAGACTTTTTCTTAAATCCAAAATTTAAATTATCTTTTAGTTTTACTTTTAATGGTAAATGTCTTTTATAAACGTAAAATATAAAAATAAAGTAAAAGTACGGATGCCTGGTACAAATGATGAGTTAACATTGCCTTTTTTAAAAATCACGGATTACAGAGATCTGCATCGTTTCGATATTTAAATTGGCTGTAATGTAATGATCTTCCTATTTTTAATTTTATTTAGTCTACTTTTGTGCTAGCTTTGTTTATTGTAGTTGTTATTAGTAACAGAAAAAAGGGAGAGTACTCTGTCATAAAACGGCCCACACTGCTGAATGTTTTCTTTAAATTATTAAATTTTTCAGTATCCACCACTCTTTCTCTATAAATCCAAGTCTTGCTACTTTAACTTTAACATTTGATAATAAACGGTTTCAAGTATCATGATTTAGCACGGCTAGTATTTTATGTGTAAATGCTGCATGAAAAGTTTTCTAGTAAGAAAGTGATTTACAAGACGTAGACCTACCGACCAAAAATAAATTTGTGACAAATATTATTGTTTAAAATTTAAACTATTTTATTTAGTTAAATAAGTTCAAAAAAAAAAAAAGATCCATTAATGCACTATGCACAAAACAACCGAAAAAGGAGCGGCCGCTTCCCCACGAGAACGCTATTGACCTACAATCATAGTCACTGTCTTCATTGGGGGGGGGGGGGGGGGGGGGGGACAAAAAGGACAGTGATCGGGACTGATCTCAAACAATTAACGGTATTTCATGTGTTTTTATACGTTTAAAAACCAGTCTAGTTTAAAAACTAGTATCGAATCAGAGAATAGCCCAGAATTAAACCACAAAATACTTAAATTTGATAATTTAAAAAAATAAATTAAAAAAAATGCATTAAAAATGTCGATTATACATTAAATCGGCAGTTTTCATGTAATGTAGCTGTTTACCACCAGCCTAAGAAAAAAAAGCGATTTTTGTTTTCTTTACAGGGGTGGGATGGGCAGTGACCATGGCAATTTTCTAAAAGAATGCATGCATGGTATTTCAAATTTATTTTTAAACATTTAAAATGATTATAACTAAATCATAGTAAGCCTACATCATTATTTTGTGTCAAAGTCTAAGATGATGTAGATCTTGTAGTTTTTTTCAAGTAAAAAAACTCAAAACAACCACGTTACAATTAGATATTTAAATAGCGCGTGTATAATTAATTCGCTCGCTTGGTCAGATGTACGTTATAGGGCTAACGGTCAGCGCAATTAAAAATAAACCGGGAGTGATCTCCCCTAAACTTTCTCGAATATTCTTATATAAAACAACAGGGGATGGGAACTCGGGATATAGTTATGATTTTTAATCCATTTTAAATACATAAACTTTTTAAAATAAAATAGAATCTCACAGAAAAAAGTATTGCACACCAAGCGAACGCCGAATAAAGATGTTCATAATGGTGCGCAATATTATTAGTACTTTATAAATTTAGATGCGTTTTTGAGAAATCGGAAATAGCGTAAATTAGTACTTCCCGTCAACGGAAATTACTCAAAATTTAACAGAAGGTAGAGAATTAGATCTTTTACTTATATGTGAAATTTCATTTATCTATCTGAAATAGTACTCAAGTTATAGGCTTTTGAAAAATTCAAAGTAGAAAAAGTACCACTTCCGGTTATCGGAAATCGCTCAAAAGTTGATACAGATCTACGATTTTGATAAAATACTTATATATGAAATTTCATCAACCTAGCTGTAACGGTACTCAAGTTATCGTGTTTACACACACACACACACAGACACACACACAGACACACAGACACACGGACAAGATTGCAAAATTATGTTTTTCCGTATCAGTGAGGTGTAAAACGTCGAGATTTGTAAAAATCTCGATTTTTTTTTTTTGCACGATTACAATACTTTCTCTATACTACGTATATACGAGAAAGTAAAATAAACCGGGAGTGATCTCCCCTAAACTTTCTCGAATATTCTTACATAAAATAACAGGGGATGGGAACTCGGTCTATAGACATGATTTTTAATCCATTTTAAATACTTAAAGTTTTTAAAATAGAATAAAAACTCGTAGACAAATTAATTGCACACCAAGTGAACGCCTAATAAAAAGCGCATAATAGTGCGCAATATTATTAGTACTTTTAAAATTTACATTAGTTTTTTGAGAAATCGGAAGTAGCGTAAATTACTACTTCCGGTCAACGGAAATTACTCAAAATGTAACAGAAGGTAGACAATTAGATGTTTTACTTGCATGTGAAATTTCATTTATCTATCTGAAATAGTACTCAAGTTATAGGCTTTTGAAAAATTCAAAGTAGAAAAAGTACCACTTCCGGTTAGCGGAAATCGCTCAAAAGTTGATACGGATCTACGATTTCGATAAAATACTTATATATGAAATTTCATCAACCTAGCTGTAACGGTACTCAAGTTATCGTGTTTACACACGGACAGACACACAGACACACACACACACAGACATACGGACAGAATTGCAAAGCCCGGTTTTTCAGACTGGATTACGCATAAAACCTCTTAGTTTTGATAAATCTGGATTGATAATTTTTGCCCGATTAAAATAAGTCCTCTAAACTTCGGATGTGATGAAGGACTGAGGTGTAATACGGTGAAAATTGTTAAAATTTCAAGTGATTTTTGTGCACGATTACAATACTTTCTCTATACTTCGTATATACGAGAAAGTAAAAAGGGGGATATGTGGTATGCTATGGAATCACATGCAGCGTAAAGTTGAGTAAAAGTAATATAATGACCTCACGTTGATTAGCCGAATTTACCCGAACCCATATATAGTCGTTGATAGCTAGACCAGTAGCGTAGAGGGGGGCGGGGGGGCGGACATATGCCCCCGGGCGCCGACCTTAGGGGGCGCCAAAATGGGTTGGAAAAATAAATTGAAAGGTCGAGGGGGGTGCAAATCGAAAGTTTGAGGGGGGGGTGCAAATCGATATCTTGAGGGGGGGGGGGTGCAAATCGAAATCTTGAGGGGGGGGGGGTGCAAATCGAAAGTTTGAGTGGGGGGGTGCAAATCAAAATCTTGAGGGGGGGGGGGGGGTGCAAATCGAAAAGTTTGTCCCCGGGAAGAGTCGCTACGCCTCTGAGCTAGACAGCCAAAAATGACCGTAAAGTTCGGTCTACAGCATCTTCAATTTAAAAAAAAAAAAGATGCATGACTGCCTGCAATCTCTCTTTATAACAAATAGTGGTAAAAAAAAAAAAGCCTTTAAAGTCGAGAAGCATAGTACACAACGTCCATGCGCGATCACTCTTTCAATAAAGAACAATTTCAGATAGTCTTAGCACATTCACATGGTAAGTTAACATGCCGTAGACTTACGGACATCTTGGAAAAGTCCAAATTATTATTTAGGCCTAGTAATAGATGTTACCGAAAATATCAAATCCCTATTTTGCATTATTAGTTAATGTACACATTGCTTTTAAATGAGAGGCCTACTAAATTTTTGTGGATGTCCACAATGGGCAGTGTTTCTTCCAGACTATTTTCTCCGGAGGGGCACTTGAAATTTTCGGGGGGGGGGGGGGGGCGGTAGACTTTAATCGGGGGGGGGGGGGGGGGCGGACACTGTTAAAAGTATATATTTTCTATATAAATTATATAAATTTTATTTCGTTCTGGGGAGGGCGGTAAAAAAAATTCGGGGGAAGAAACTCTGACAATGGGGCGGAGGGAAAGGGGGGTAGGGGGTGTTCGTCGAAAGTGGACGCATGTGGACGGGGGGTGTCTAAAATCCCAAATAAAATTTTTGTGGACGTCATAAATGGATGACCCCTTGCAATTAAAATATTTTTTCATGACTGCAACCTCGGGTAGTCCCACACAGCGTCCACGCACGATTACGCTTTCAACAAATAACAATATTAAAATTCGTGAACGGAAAAAGTCACAAGAAAAAAAACACAGTAAAAAGTCACAGTTTTTGCTAGGAAAAATAGTCACAGAAAAAAAGTCACAAAGAAAATATTTTAATGGAGAAGAGTCACAGAAATAAAGTCACAAAATCTTCTAAGAAATATTTTGATTTAATTGTTGAGAATGTAAAATTTTGGATGTTTATTAATTAATGTGGGTGGGGTTATTTTTTGGTAGCATATTTATAAAATAGTATTAAAACACGATTTAAACCGAGAAGGTTGGAACATTCTATTACATTTTAAAATTAAATATTATATGTATAACGTAATTAAAACCTATACACTTCAGACTAAATATTTTTAAGTGTGTTATATTACTACGAGCCGACCCGTATCATATGCCGTTATTTAGTTGTTTTATTTTCTACTTTTCAGTAATTCATAATTTGTGAATTCGACAGTACCAATGCTGCCACTGAAAATATTTGCTTTAAAACACTACCCCCCCCCCCCCCACTTTCCCCTAACCCCGACCCTACCCCTACTCACCCCCCCCCCCCCCCCCCCCCCCGTGAAAGCAGCCTCCTCTTAGTTATTTCTTTATAGTTACCTCCTGTAAGTTTAAAATTATCTGCCCCTAATAGAAACCCGGCTCTACGGCTCTACGATTTGTAAACATTTAGCTTTGTAAACATTAAGAGTGAACACCGCTCACCAGATAATGTAAGGGTGGGGTGGGGTGGTAGTAATAGTGATATAGAGAGAAAGAGAGGGGACTGCAAGGAGGCGCTTGCAGCTTGTTTTCTAATGGCTCCCAGAAGAGAATTATATATATATAGATACGTATACAGGGGTTTTTATAATGGTTTTATACATAAAAATATACTCGGCGTGTTTGAAACAAATCATAAATATTAAATAACTGAAGTCAGAACTTTAATAAAATGGGAGTGATCTCACCTTAACTTTCTCGAATATTCATATATATCACTGTGGGGGATGGCAACTCGGGATATGGACATGATTTTTAATCCATTAATCCAAGTGAACGCCAAAACAATATGTGTATAATTTAATAGTGCGGAATATTATTAGTACTTTATAAATTCACATGCGCTTTTTGAGAAATAGGTAATAGCGTAAATTACTACTTCCGATCAACGGAAATTACTCAAAATTTGACAAAAGGCAGAGAATTAGATCTTTTACTAACATGAAATTTCATTTATCTATCTGAAACAGTACTCAAACTACAGGCTTTTGAAAAATTGAAAGTAGAATAAGTTCCACTTCCGGTAATCGGAAATCGCTGAAAAGTTGATATAGAACTACAAATTGGATATAGATCTAATACTTTTATATGAAATTTAATCAACCTATTATAGCTTAACGGTACTCAATTTATCGTGTTGACGGACACACATACATACACACACACATACACACACACACAAGTAAAAAGCCAATAAAGTTGAAACTAAAACTTCAGTAGGCTAGCCAGGCCTACATTGAGCATGCGCATTGAAAATGAACCCGCGAAACTCAAACCCGGCTTCCGGTCCTATTTGTATTTTGAAGACTACTCTTGTTAATGTTATTTTTCAAGTTCACGTTGTTTCTATCTTTTAACAATGAAATCAAAGAAAAAAATTACAGAACGCCAGAAAAAGACACATTTAGATTCTGGTAAATCATTTCTATTAACATTTCATTGTCGAGAATCTAGATCTAGATTAGATCTAGATCTAGATCTAGATCTAGAGTCTAGCTAGAGAGAGAGTGAAGTCAAGTTTAAGTGTTAGTGTAGTTGAAGTAGAGTCCAGAGTAGAATCGCTAGCTAGAGGATTAAAAAGTAGATTTTGCAATCAAAGCGACCGGAAAAATAATAAAAAAATAAAAACTTTAGTCTAAAAATAATTCAGAAATTGAATATTTTTAGAATCAATGGCGGGTAATCTACCGTGGTTAAACTCCATTTTAGCGTATTTTATTCCCTGCTTTACGTTCACCTCCATTTGAATTTGAGCATATTTTATTATAAATAAACATGACAAGTTTAATGCAAGATATCAAATAGAATTAGAAGAGTCTACTAGATCTAGAAAATATCACAACAGAAAAGATATAGGCCTAGATCTAGTCCTAGAGACTAGACTTAGACCACTAGTCACTAGAGAGTCTATTCACTATTCTGCATCTTTAACTAAATCGTAACAAATTAATTGGTTGTTCCGAATAGCGGCCGTGGCTATACTATAAACTATAAAGACCCAGATCCTAATAGACTTGGCTATTGGGACCTGGTCCGAATAGATTCAGCCTAAGTAAGTCTGAAGTTCGAATCCAGGTTCAAGTCAGTAGACTGTCCCTGAGTCCACCCAACTCTGACGAGTACCTAACTCAAGTTAGGGTTAGGGAAAGTAAAGGCACACTACCTCTTCATATGCCGAGGTCACAGAAACAAGTGAACTCTACTTAACTTGCCCTATATAGTACTATATACCGCCAGGTTTGAAAGTGAACTTTACTTTCCTGTTTAAGGCAAGGTTAGCATAGACATTAGCAAGCCATGTGTGTATTTTGGTTAACTACCAGTAACCTTACACCCTTTTTTAAGAAGATTCTATAAAAATTCTTCTGGCCTAACATTTAGAATCAGATTTTTTATTTTAGGCCTAAGATCTAGATCTATATTATTATATAATATTGTTGCCTTAGTGGCTAGTAATGATTCATTTAGTAGACCCACAAATATTTTCATGTTATAAATATTCATATTGTAATAGAAAGTGTCATAGTATGAATTATGATAAAAGTATCATAGGATAAACTAGGGCTTAGAGCAATTTAGGCTAAAAGGTCTTAACTTATTTTAAGTTAATGCTTTTATTCTTAGCTTACTGCTTAGGCCTATATTTAGATTCTACTGAAAATTTATATTTTTATATAGGAATATAGGCCTAGATTCTAGATCTAGTGACTTTAAGTCTTAATAATAATATGAGCCTGGCCTAGATCTAGTACATGCTGAGGAAACATTCAAAGCTAGATTCTAGATCTAATTTCTAAATTAGGCCTATTGCTAAATATTTTACTGAACATTGAAAAATAATGTGTTGAGTACAGTTGTAGACACAATAACCCCTGGGCCATTTATATTAGCCTCTATAACCAAGTAAAAGGTTAAAAAAAATTTGTTTATAAAGGTAACAGTTCTCTGTTTTCCCCTGGATCTGGATGTGCCAGCAAGGTCAAGGAGAGTGTAACAGCAGGGAGGCGCTATTCAAACAGAATAAAAGTATATATTTTAATGTTTTTTTAAAAAATAGAATGGCTTTTGTTTAGCTTAGTTTAAAGCACATAATATAATAGATAACTGTTGTAAATATTTGTTTATAGCTTTTTTGTGTGGATAGATTATTAAATTTTAGCATAACTTTTAAAGAAAAATATTTTTTTTATCAAATTAAAATGTAATCTAAATACACATTTTGATTAACAGAATCAACAAAGGTCTACACCGAAAACAGAAACCACTGGCTTGGTAAATTTTAAATTTTTTTCTTAGGTGTTTGTATGTTGTTTTTGTTTTCACATACTTTAAATATACCTTAAATTGTTTTCATTTCAAGCAATATCATTTAATATTGAAATTCTTTGAAATGTATGCTTATAAAAATTATAAATTACATTTTACAGATTGATTCAGCCTATGATGCAGATGGTGAATCCACCCCAAATGTTAGTCCTGCACAGGGTGACATTAAAGATCCATATGATGTTTCAATGATTGAAGATGTTCCCTTTGTTAAAAGTAACAACTTAAAAAAGAAGAGCAAGAAATCAACCCAGAAAGTTGACAAAAACATACAGAAAAACAACAGAATTAACAAAAAAGACAATGCTAAAGAAACTGGCATGAAAACTAATTCTACTAGCACACCGGTTCTGGGTAGTGGAGAAACTGAAAAATTAAAATCCAAGCAACCAAACACAGTATCAGTTACACCTGAGGTGACACCTATTTTGCCAGTCAAACCCTTTGAATGCAAAACCCCGTCAGATGACAGTTACATAACTCCCCAAATTAGGAGATCTGCTCGTAAGCGTGCGTGTGAGCACACAGAGTTGGCAAACATTTCTCTTGAGTTAAATTATACGTCTCAGGGAGATTCTGGCATTGCTTTGTCACCTGCTATTAAGAAAAGGTGCCCAGAGACACCAAATGAGGACGGAACTGTTTCTAAACATGATCAGCAGAAAAAACCCACTACAGCATCTCAGTACAAATCAAACACAGATCACACAAAATCCTCATCTGGAATAAGTCGACCATTTATGAACAAAAGAAACATTTTTAGTCCCAACAGCAAATTAAATATCCCTGAAATTCTGGAAGTGGACAAACCATCAAAAGGGAAAAGTTTGGATAATTCTTGTTTTGGTTTTGATTCTTTAGGGTCGCCCAAGCTGTCTCCACCCACAAAGCCAATCAAAAAAACAAAGACAAAGAAAACTGTGAAGTCTAGTTTGTCATACCGTCATGTTCAAAACAACTTTTCTGATTCATCATCAAAGGAATCATCCCCAATTGAGGATTCTGATGTCATGCAAGAGAATATCCCAAGAAATGCATCATCATCACCTTCTCTTTTTTCTGATGATGTATTCTCAGGAACTTCAGGTGATTAAAATACTCAATTAATAACCATTCTTTTAATGACAGCCATTTCTATGTAGATACTTTTTTATCCTTTATTGAATTATGTTTGTAAAATAATCAGTGATTTTCAAGTGAAAAGTAGTCATTTGTTTGATTGTATATAGTACATGGTGACTGGTTTGTTATGTGTTATTTAATATTTAAAAAAATCTACTTTTTTTAAAGAATCTCTTGAGGTGAATAGGAGCATAAATAAAACCTACAAGCACAGGACAAAGTGTAGAGACATCAAGCCTAAATCATCAGTAAGTTTATTAAATTATTTGAACAACAGAATAAGTTCAATCTAGCTGACAAAACGTGCACTTATTTTTTCAAAAAAGAAAATTAACTTGAAACTACTGTGTTTTGTATCATATATTTTTCTTATAAAGGGTTAGGACTTTTTGGAAATGTTAATGGTCACATACTTGCAGTTTAACTCATAGTTTAAATTAATATCTTATTTTATTATATTTAATCTTTATTAAAAAAAACTAAGTGACTTGTATGAATTATTTAAAACTAAATTGTTAATTTAATGAATAGCAAATATTGTTGTCTTTTACTGGTGCATACTTTTTTTTTCTTTTCCCTCATCACCAGTTGCATACAATTGATACAATTTACTTGTTTTATCCCCTCCCCATGTTAAGTTGTGAAAATCCCCAACAGATAGATCTATGTACTATTTATTAACACAATAAAAATAGCTGAGACAGGTTGATATTATATTTTAGGCAGAAGAATGTAATAAACTTGAAAGTTTAATTAGATGTAGATAAGGATTATGATTAATTTAATAGTATTGCTTTCTTAAAAGTGTAAACATTTATGATGATTAATCTTCATTGGACAGAATTTCCACACTTTGCACAGCTACTCTGGTTTGTCTAATATCAACGACAGTAAAATATATTTATTTTGGTCAGCTGATATTATCAACACATTGATCCGCGTCTTTTTCAATGTCTGTCCAATAATTCTTGACAAGTCATTATTGATTTTTACAATAAAAACTACTGCATACTTTGTGGAACCCGTTGAAATTTAATTTTTGTACAAGGCAAAATAAATTAATGTCTGGGCAAAGGGAATTCATATTGCATGCACTTGACTAGATCTCTGAGATAACAGTTTTTGTGGAATCAGATTTCACATTCTTTAACAGTTGTGCTCTAACAAATTGTTCTGTATTTTTAGTTGCAGGTTTCCAAATTGGATGTTTGGGCAAGCAATTTCAACATGGAAATTGAGGACATTGAGAAGTTTGATTTAAACATTGAATGATATAGATGTAGATTATATGGAGTATGAACATTCCTTGAAAATAGACTGTTTCAGTATGCACAAGTTGACAATTTTGAAACAGTTGATGTGTGGATATGAATGAAAGTGAGTTGGTAACTATGTGGGCTCATGTATATAAACTATCATTTTTTAAAAATATATTTGAAATGTTTTATATGCATGATTTGGCTTAAGGTGTACAATCACAACTGTTTGGGGTAGGGTGTGAATATAAAGATGTTTTGTTATTATACACTCAAAATTAAGAATTTCATACTGTAGGTTTACTTGTACTTGTGTTTTTTATTTATGTTAACCAAAGGTCTCCATTATCTTTTTGTTTTTAAACGACTACACCTTCATCTAATTTTTTCTACACAATACTGGTAAACTAATTTCTTTTTTAAAATGAGAGGATTGTTTAACCCTTTTATAAATTATACTACCTTAGCAATTTTGTTACCACTATGTTTGTAAATTTTTAGAACATCTCTTACAATCATATATTAATGTTGAATAATGTCAGGAAATGCTTCATGTAAACCGTCCACATGTAATATTTGTGTACATAAATTATTAACATTAAGGAATATATTATGTGTATATATTGTTAATAGCAATGGATTTCGGGCAAATCATACTTTTGAAATAAAGTAAATATTTGTTTTCAAAGTAGGGATTTCTTACACACTTGCACCATGCACACAAAAATGTCAAAGTACATTACATTTTACATATTTTCATGCAAAAAAAATGGTCACTTACAGATACAGTTCAAGCTTTTAAGTTTTTTGTTTTCCTGTTAGTGTTTGGATGACACATCAATTCATCAAATTATTAAATTCAAATTTTATATACTTTTTGATGTTTTTTTTTATTCATATAGTGAGATGTACTGAGTTAAGGTCTTTGGTCTTGCTAATTTGTTTAACCAAATGTATGAAATCAATGGATAAATTCCAAATAAATCTCATGACCTCATACAATGACTAAAGGATATGAAATTAATGAAAAATTAATTCCCACCACCAAGTTTTAGAACTCCCCTGGTCATGGTCAGCTAGGAGCTTGTTCATCATCATGCCACTGGAGGAACCTGGTTTTGCAAATGGTTTGTTAGAATAGAACCTCTGTTGTTTGTAGGCAAACAAGGGCCATATAATGATGCAATTTGAAAATAATTTTGCTGTTTTTGTCAGTCACAACCCTTTACTGTAAAAGTACCATCTTCATTCTTGGATCACCACAATCTTCCACGGGAGGGGGCACAGCATCATTTCATGTGCATGTTAGTTAAACCACCTCAAATCTTTAACTTTATAAACCTGGCTGGCGCCATTTCATTTAGTCAACAAAATACATGTTTTTTCCAGCTACTCACTTTTAATTTGAAACGATTTTTTTTTTGCGTATCTAAGTATTCTAAGAAGATGTTGCCAAATTCCTGCATTCACTACCTACCCTACAAAAGGGGAACAAACGAATGATTACTACACAAGACCGGACTACAGCATAGCACCCTTTTTCTTACTTTCTTATTTTCTTTGTTTTTAAATATTTGTAATTACTAAATTACTCTGTATGATCTTAATTTTTTTTAGTTTTATTAAGAAAAAAATAGGGCTGTGGTAGATGATAGGTATAAATGAGCAGAAGGAACAACGCGTTATACGTTTTACATGTCAATGTATATTATTTATGTTCTCTTTTTACTCTTAGTGTCTTAGTAGTATTTTATGCAATTATTGCAATGAGTGTAGTAGGATTGAAAAGTGATGCGCAGTGACTATACATAATTTGCACAAGTACTGTCATCCATGTCGTGTCACACGAAAAATGTACACATCAGAAAAAAAAAGTTAATATTACTGACTTCACACCACACCTACCCCTTCCACAAGTTGTTTGGTCCATAGAAGAATATTGACCTACAATAGATAATAAGCAACAGTGGTTCTGCCGTCTTTTGGCTTTTCTGTAAAGTAGGCCACAACATAAGACACTTCCCATTTCTACAACTGTAACCCATCCCCCTTCCCAAAGTACCAGTGAGGCTTGCCATGGGGAATATATTTTCGGCATTATCTGGGGCCACAACTCCTTGCAAAAATATTAACTTTGTAGTTTCCCTTTGTACATACAATTTTTTTTTTGTCTGAAAGGGTTTGCATCTAGATCTACAATTCCAATATTTACTATCTATAAATTTTGAATGCTATGATGATTGTCATTGAATTTCCTTTCTTCCAATATTGATGGGTACACTAGTAATTAATATTAAAACTTGAATATAGATCTAAATTGTTTTACTTTTACCTTCATGATGAAATGTTTATGTTCCTCTGCATACAACTCATTTTTTTAATAACAATATAATAATATGCATGAATGGAAAATGTTTATGTAATAGATTGGGATTTGTGAGGTCAGGGGAACTCACTCTTCTTGTATTAGTTATATTTATAATGTTGTTATTATGAGTGATGTCCCATATATATTGTTCCTCTTCCGGTCTACCATTAAAGACTTCTACATGTTGATGGCTTCTGTCTCCGTTGTGTAATTAATAATCTATCACATTTTGGCGACGAGGATAAAAATCGACTAGAAAGAGCACCTACTTACGCAAAAAAGAGGTTTGCTAGAGCTTATTAGCTAAGTATTTCTAGAATAATGGCGCTGTATGGCCAAATAAAAGAATTTGATTCGAATGATGAAATCATTCAAGATTACCTAGATAGGTTAAGCTTTTACCTTGAAGCAAACAACGTGACGATAGAAGCCAAAAAGAGAGCTATTTTGTTAACAGTCATAGGGCCTCAACAATTTAGGCTACTAAAAGACTTATGCACACCAGCTAGTCTAACTACCAAGAGCTTTAACGAGCTGAGCAAATTGCTAACAGACCACCATGCGCCTACCCCATCAAAGTTTCTATGTCGAGCCAGATTTGACAGTAGGACTCGTCAACCAAACGAGTCAATATCAGAATATGTTGCTGCTTTACGTCATCTAAGTAGATTTTGTGAATTCGGCGATACGCTGTCTGACAGACTATGTGAAAAGTTTGTGACAGGTGTAAACAGTCCTGATGTTCAAAGAAAGTTGCTGCTCGAGTCAGATCTAACATTGGAAAAAGCAATACAACTAGCAACTTCATTCCAGCAGTCATCTGATGCGGCGAGATCTTTAGCACCTTCAGAGATCCATGCAGTAAACAGCAGGTTAGTCAATAAACATCAACCCCATCAGAGCATTCCAACTTATGCTAAACAGCCTGCTCGTTCAAATCCTAGATCTAAATCTAGTAATAATTATCAAAAATGTCATCGATGCAAAGGTCCCCATGCATCTCATCGGTGCAAGTTCAAGTTAGCAACTTGTTATAAGTGCGGTAAGCAAGGTCACATTGCCAAGGCCTGCTTTGCAAAGTCTTCGTCTGTTGCTAAATCTAGCCAGTCAAGACAGTACCGCAACCAAAAGCAGCACTATGTTAACTCTCACCAAGACTACCTAACCCAACCAATGAACCACTCTACCTGTGAAAATGCTCAAACTGATTCGCAACCGGTTTTCAACCTGTTCTCTGTGAAATCAATAAGTCATGCTCCCATCAATGTACCAGTTTATATCAACGGTAAGAGCATCAGCTTCCAACTTGACACTGGAGCATCTCTAACAGTCATAACAAAGAAAGATTTTGACGCTGTCATAGGAGGATCAGTGCCTCTACAGCCATGTCACAAGTGTCTAACAACATACACTGGTGACAATGTTCCGGTAATAGGAGAGTGTATGGTTCATGTAAGTTACAATGGTCAAAGTGTTAAACTTCCTCTTCTTGTGGTTGAAGGAAATGGACCACCATTACTAGGTAGGAACTGGTTAAGTAATCTTAAGTTAAATTGGGAGAGTATTTGTTCATTGACCAATGCAAAAGAATCTAGTCTTACTTCACTAGATAAAGTAATATCTCAAAATAAATGTGTTTTTGGTAATCCTGGATTACTAAATGATAGAACAGTGAAGATAAGCATTAAAGACACAAATCCAAGATACTGCAAAGCTAGAGTTCCACCTTATGCAATGAGGAATAAAATTGAAAATGAGCTAAGTAGATTGGAATCTAATGGCATCATAAAGAAGGTAGACTATTCCGATTGGGCAACGCCCATTGTGCCAGTGTTAAAGAAGGATGGTTCTGTAAGAATTTGTGGAGATTATAAAGCTACACTGAATAAGCAAATAGAGCTAAATAGGTACCCTATACCTAACATTGAGGAAATTTCTTTGAATTTGGCAGGAGGAGACAAATTCACTGAATTAGACTTTAGTCATGCTTACACTCAACTAGAACTGCATCCAGATTCAAAAGTCTATACGACAATAAACACACATAAAGGACTCTACCAATATGAAAGACTATGTTTTGGCATATCATCCAGCCCTGGAGTTTTCCAAGCTGTCATGGACAGTATTTTTAAGGATATTCCAAATGTTTGTGTGTACTTTGACAATGTGTACATAACTGGTAAGAATGACACTGAACATCTTAAAACACTTGATAAAGTATTGAAAATTGTTGGTGAAAAAGGTTTAAAGATAAACAAAGATAAATGTCAATTCATGTTGACAGAAATTAGTTTTCTTGGTTATATATTGAGCAAACAAGGCATCAGACCTCAACCTGAGAAAACAAAAGCCATTAAGGAAGCACCCAAACCTGAAAATACTCAACAACTAAGAGCTTTTTTGGGCTTGATAAATTACTATGCAAAGTTCATAGGAAATCTGTCTGGTAAACTATCACCACTGTACAAGCTGCTACAGAAAAATGCAACTTGGCACTGGGGTAAACAACAAGAAGCTGCTTTTAATACAGCAAAAGAGGCTTTGTCTGCTGACACCTTACCAACTCACTATGACCCAGGGAAAAGACTTGTATTGACATGTGATGCTTCACCAGATGGTGTAGGAGCAGTCTTGTCCCACATGGATGAGAAGGGTGACAGACCCATTGCTTTTGCCAGTAGATCTTTGAACCAGGCTGAGAAAAATTATTCTCAGTTAGATAGGGAAGGCTTAGGCATCATTTTTGGTGTTAAGAAATTTCATAAGTTTCTGTTTGGTAGGAAGTTCACCATCTTTACAGATCATAAACCATTGCTAGGTTTATTTGGAGAAAACAAAACCCTACCTGAGCATGCCTCACCAAGAATTCAAAGATGGGCTATCACACTAACTGCATACAATTATGAATTGAGATACAAACCTGTATCTGAGAATAGTGCAGATAGTCTTAGTAGATTACCTTTAAAAAAACCAAAGCCTGAGCTATGTACCAGAAGATGTATTTGTTCTCTTCACTATCATGGATAACTCCAATATAAATGTGAATGATATTAAAAGAGAAACACAAAAAGATGAGTGCTTAATAAAAGTATACGAGTACTGTAAGAATGGTTGGCCTGAAGAGTCTGTGAATGATGACTTAAGGCCATATTAAATAAGAAATAAAACCCTTTGTGAAGATAATATAAAAGATGGAGAAGATGCAGTCCATTATCAGTCAGAGTTGCCTAAACAAAGTATTTGTAACTTAATAAATGATTATGGTGATATGGCAATTTCAAATACATTAGTAAGAAGGAATGTGATCATCAAACAACTTTGCTAACATCATTAGCACTTACAGAAACTAAAAGAAAGGGTAACATCAAAAGTAAATACCAAACAGAAGAAGCTAAAGGTGACAATGAAAGAGTAAACAGGTTATTAGCCAAATACCGCACAACTCCTCATATAACAACAGATGTTGCACCATGCGAATTGCTATGTGGTAGGAAAATTAAAACTC